ATTTGAGCAAACTAGACCCCTCTAGCAGAAGGAGTGTCCGCGCTGAGTCAAAAAGAACCATCTCACCAGCCGAATGAGACCCACCCTTAGTAGCCCCGTCCCACATGCAAACCAAATTAGAAAATTGCTTAACATTGTCAATCCACTAAATTTGACACATTGATTAAGTAGGAATGATAATTTTAGGCGGTCACATAATTAATGATGATTGTTGTTTATACGAGTGTCAAGTCAAGTTGGTGGTTGGTCAACATGTGAGTTTGAATAATTATTTCATTGGGTTTAGTAACATAATTGAGTTTGCATTTTGTTAGTTGTTTGTTGGGATCATGCAAAGTGGGGGTTTTTAATATTATTTGTTTTTAGTTTAGTTGCGCAATTGTTGGTACGAGATTTATATTGTGATTCAGTAAAATATCTTTAGATACAAGTTTGTTACCAATATTACACAGAAGACACTACACAAGCACTTGTCCTATTTAATGACTCTCAAGCGACCACACTTACTTAAAAATGACTCCGCTTAACCTCTCTAACATTTGATTTTTCCTATAAAATTTAGCATTTACCATGTAAGACCGCTTCTAATACATTAGGCTTTATGCTACAAGTTTTTTAGGATTTGATTGTATAATAGAATTTGTCACCGACTTTTCAACCCTACACATGTTACACATATCTCAAAAAATGATTTAAACCGAATGTGAAATAAATCAAAGACACAACAACAAGTGACCAAAATATTCTGTTACCTCCGTGCAATAAATAATACATATTCTAAGGGTAGTTTGGAAGTTGCGATAGTTTTGTTGAGATTGTCATTATGCATGTATTGTTTACAATGCATCATTTTTTTTGTTTTTTTAGCAGAAACAATACATGAATTGTTTCTGTGATGTGACAGAAACTATCACTCATTTTGAGTGATTATTATATCTCAACTTTTAGTTGTGATTGTTGAGATAGTTGAGTTGAGATTGTTTTGTCTCAGCTTTTAGCTGATGCGACATACACAATCACACATACCAAACGTTGTATTCTACAATGCATCAAATTCGACAATACATGTATAATATTTTATACAAGCATTCTCAAAAATACATCTATTTAACAATCGCAACTTCCAAACGACCCCTAAACAAATTAATTACAAATCAAATCGAAACTATCAAACATTGTTGATTGGTTTAATTGGTTGTGGAATTCAATTGGTTCCCTGGCCTTCTTCTTCTTTCTCCTCTTAATTTCGTTATGGGTCCTCCACTTCCCCTTTCCTCTTTCTCTTCCTTTTCTTTCCCATCCCATCACTCCATCAACTGAATCTAAAACTTTTGGACCAGACAATTATCAACTTACTTATGCCACCCGGGAAAGCGAAGTTCCTCGCTAATGACACGCGTTCCCCGCCGGCGCGTGCTTCTTCCTGGCCAATCGTTTAGTGGAGCTAGATTCTTCGCATCAGAAACAGAGGCTTCCTATGGGCGCGTTTCTGTCACGAAGGCAGCGCAGCGAGTGGGACGTCGGGCATGAGGAGCTGGAAGATGGTTGGAAGATGGTTTTCTTTCGCTTGCCTTTCGCAATTAAAGGAGGCGCATGATAGATAGATCACGAGGCCATCCATGTCGCCCCTTTCATTCTCTTTCCCCGTTCGATCCTTCCACAACCACAACTCCAATTCGGTTCTGTTTTAATCACGATTCATGTATATAATCAAAATCGGTATTGTAGATCAAATAGACGAGACTGAAAGAGGTGATGTCAAAAAAGTTAGGGTTACGGTTTTGGTGTTGAAATTGTGTTTCAAAAGTCTCACACAGCTATAAACCGTCTATCGGTTTAGATTTCGATAATAAATATTCTCGATTGGACCGTCAGTACCACGTGGTTTCACAAACGATGATTTTGTAATAGAATATGATAATAGAGTTTTAAAAAAATTGTTACGTGAAAAATTATATCAATATGATAACTAATGCACGATTTAATTAGTATCACTCATCCATCGTAGTATCACAAAACATTTTTCTTCTTCTTTTAAGATGAATGTTGGCATCAAAATTCCAACCCTAGTACACTAATTTTAATTAAGTTGCAATTTCAAGTAAGGTGGAGGTTTGTGAAGATTTTGTAAAAGGTGAACACATTCATTTGGAAATTAGAGTATTGGATTGAAATGAAACAAATGTAATCAAGCTAAACCATTCTTCATAACTTCAATTACCCACGATATAATGGATTAAGAAACATTTGAAAATCGACATCTTAATACTATACAAGATCTATCTGACAACTACATATAAATTTGAATGGTTATTCGCTTCTGGTAAGTGTCGTTCAAAACACTATATACATGTGTCTGGCTCCTTCTTGAGTATAAAACTTGTTCAACTTGGAATATAAAAACAAAGATATAATACTATATTGCTCAATATTGATGGACTTTTGCTTCAAATTCGCATAATTTTGCCCACTATAGAAATATAATTTTGCCATAAAACATCATCCTCCAAAATTGTCTATAATATATATACAAGTTGGGTCAAGCACAAGCCAATTTGATTTTCCTTTGTTTCTCAAGCGTTTGTTGGTTCTGATTTCTCAACCGTCAGTGGTTATGGCTGTTGTTGTCATCCTTTGGAGGATCTGGCGTTCTCGGAATTGGGTTGTCTTTGAGGGCAAACAATTCGGGATTCCGGCACTAATGCGGCAGTTTCACCAACAGTATGAGGAATGGGTGTCTCTACCAGTGGATCAGGCTCCGAGGATGACTGTCCCGATGATGCAACCAGCAGCGCAACCGGGTGATTCCCAGTTGGTTTGCATGTGGGACGGGGCTACGAAGGGTGGGTCGCATTTGGCTGGTGGGATGGTTCTCTTTGACCCAGCGCGGACACTCCTTCTGGCTAGAGGGGTTCAGTTTCCTCAAGTGGATGACCCGGTGATGGTAGAATTGCTTGTGCTTAGAGAAGCTATTATTTGGTGTATGGAGCAAGGATTGCCGGAGGTCCGGTTTGAGGGCGATGCAAAGGTGATTATTGAAAAAATTAATCAAGCCAACACGAGAGATAGCCGGTTGGGTGCTGTTCTAGAAGAGATTGGTCATTACTTTCGTACCCAGTTTAGTTTTAGTGTGCGTTTTGTAGGTCGAGAGAACAATAGGGTAGCTCATTTGGTAGCTAGGAAAGCCCTTTCTTTATATCCGACTATGAGTCGCTTCTTTAATTTCCAATCCTGACTGATTTTCAGGGTGTAAATGTCTATGTTTGATCAATACAAGATATCTTTTGGAAAAAAAAAATAATAATCTCCCACGAACAGGAAAGTTATTCCATTTGCTTCATGGGCGGGCTAGCTAGCTACGTAAAACGAAATAAAGAAGAAAAAAAACCTGTCTTAATCAATGCAAGTAATTTTCAGGGTCATGGGGATTGGACTTCAAAGTGCAGCATTTGAAGGGAATCGTGCCATAATTGGGGCCGTAATTTTCAGCTCTTCGTTGCTAATATAAGCCCCCGTCTCAATTCTTCTTTCTAGGGTTTTCCACTTCCTGGCCAATAATAGTTCATCGCTTCATCCACCACTCATTAATGAGAGGGACTGGTGACTAATCAAATTATTAGAGAGGATCAACATTCTGGTAGTACATCTTAAAAGCTCACAAGGTTACTCAATAGAATCAAATGGCTAAATAGCCAATATAATCGAGGCTTCCACGACTTGTGCAAGATGTTTTATGTGCTCATGAGGTAATTGAATTGTTCTTATGATTCGGCTGTGTAGTAGATTAACAGTCATTTGTTGTTATCATAAATTATACACGAATGAATATTATACTATGTCGAACTTTTACTTTTCAATTTGCATTTTTTATTTTCTCGTTTTCATTCGTGTGTGGATACCTTATGAATAAGGGAAGGTAGTCAGAATCAGACTTAACTCCGATGAGATCGAACGAAAAAGAGAGGGGAAATGAGGACTGTAATCATATAAAAAAAAAGGTTAACATTCATATATGGACATCTACTAACAACTTGAGTTATTGAGACCACTTGAGATACGACATGGTATCAGAGCTGGTTTGTCCTTGAGATCACGTGTTCAAGTCCCCACGATCGTCAATATCAACCATTGTCTTAATGCACTTATGAGGAGCTTGTACAAACTTCATGTACATGAGTTGGTTTTCGCTTGAGGGGCAGTAATGAAAAGGTTAATCCATACATAGACATCTCACAACAACTCAAATTATTTAGATAAGTTCTTATTCTTTAGATTTAATATAATTCATAAAATTAAAACGATATCCGATAATGTACCAATCCGTTGCACACCCATGCTCACAGATTAATGAATGATCCATCCACATCCTATCAAATAAAATAAATTCAAATTCAAAACCAGATTAAGTTGAATACACATATCCAATTGATCTATATCCAGATAAGTCACAGGAACTAATTTGCTTGCGTACACATCAATGATCAATAGCTCACACGCACACAATAAAATTTGTGTAAAAGCTACATTTCCTATACCTAAAACTAATAACATCAGAACCTAAACCCTTGCATAGTTGCATTTGCCTAATCGGTATATTATTATTATTATTATTATTATTATTAGTATTAGTATTATTAATTTTCAGTTTTGGCCAGGGCCAGAGCTAGGATTTCGAGACCGGGGGCGAAAATAATTTAAAAAAAAAATTATGTAAGCAATGTGGATCGAACCCGTATGATGTAAGACATAAGTTAAGTTTGGCTTCCATTTAGAGGTAGCAATTCTCAATCCAATCAACCAATCCAATCCATCAATCCATTAAAAATATCCACCTAATCCACTGCATTTCATCCAAATCCAATTGGATTGGTGGATTCATGGATTGATCCATGGATCCAAATGATAAATTACGATTTGATACCTATACTTTTTGTATTTTACATTTTGGTACCTAAAATTTATTTTTTTATACGTAAAATATCACTGGAAAATTACGTTTTGGTACCTAAAAATTTTCATTGCAACATTTTAGTACCTAAACTTTTCACATTTTACATATTGGTCAAAGGTTGAGGATGTCAATTGGATTCATGGATAATCCACCAATCCATTTGATCCATGAATCCCCTAATCCTACCCACCAATCTATGAATCCGATCTATTTACCACCTCTACTTTCATTAAACCACATAACTATTACATAATAAAATTTATATAACAAGTTCTACTTATAAAATTTGTACTAGCTCGGTTCTGACGGCCACATAATTCATCGCAATTATCTATTGCAAATACAAAGTGAGATCAGCCTCCTATCCAAACCCAACTGCTGCTGCTATCCATAATCGATCAAGGAAAAGAGAAAGAACCCACAACTTTCTCATGCGACTTTTGCCCCCGCTGCACAAGTTGGTATGGTACCCTTATCTGTTTATCTCCACACTCCATCCTCCCCTTTTTTTTTTCTTTCTGAATTGTAGGTGACCTGGAAACCTCTAGTTGTTTGTTGCGTCCCAGAGGAAATCAAAGCTAAAGTTTGCAGCATTCGTTTTCTTTTTCAGCATAAAGAGAAAGAGAGAAAAAGGGTTTCTATGGTGCCAATCATGCAAATGATGCTTCAAAAAGGGAGACGGAACTCATGAAGATCACACATTAATAAGTTGTTGAAACCAAATCCTAAATGTGAATGGAAGTTCTTCGAGATTTCTAGTTTAATTTCAGCGGATAAACGGTTTGATGTCACTCCGCTCAGGTTAACAATGCACATGATGGATCTTCATATGACCAACAATACAAAGTCTCATGCACCAAGGGCAAGACAAGACATTGTACCTTGTCATATATACGAATATCTCGTATCTCTTAAGAAGAAACACAACACGTTAGTCTTTTTCAACTCTAGGCTTTTTAAGTTACACGCTTGGATGAATTAAGCTTTATGGTGCGAACAAGGTAAAAGATATCATTGCTAGGTATGAGGAAGAAGTCCATTTTGAATCTATAACAAAAAGAAAGACAAGCTATTAGCAGTTGCTGATTTAATGAATGCTCGCAAGTTACGTTTGAGTATTGAGGAAGAAAGGCAAAAGTCAAAACACTATTAAAGATTCAAAACCTACGAGACAAAGGGAAATAGAGTGGAAATTGGAGCTCAATTTCATAATTTAGACGATAAAAGTGTAAACACTCATTTTCACAATGTATCGACATGAAATATAGTAAACATACTAATTTTTACAATGTACTAGACAATAAATTGAAGTTATTAAAATTATGTTTAAGAGGATAAAATAATTTAATAAGTCACTTTGAATTCAGACTTTAAGATTAAAAAAAAAAAAGGAAAAGAGGAGAGGAGAGGCCAAAGTAGAATCATTGGTAACACCTTTCAACCGACCAAATATGTTACATTAATATTAGGCAAAGTACAAAACTGAAAACATATGATAACAATGTACATACATTTTCTTTTGCTTACCTAGTTACCTTACGACATGAGAAAAAAGACTGCAAATTTCTGGAGTCTGATCCAAACTTTCATGAATGAGCATTCTTTCTTTTAACAATGGGAAATGTTCTGTCAACCAGACCCCAAGTCCCATACCATCTATTGGTTAAGCCTTTGTTCTTCTATGACCAAAACGACAGCGGATAAGCATGGTCTTTTGTCTTCTGGCCAGGCTCTATATCAGTCTTAAGCAGTTCCCAAGTAATTTACAGTACATACCTTCTGCATTTTGAGAAACTGCCTTCCAGTGAGCTCTGATGAACCACCCAAGATTACCAGGGATTCCATTATGAGGGAAGGAAATCAAATGGCAAGCGGAGAAAAGCAAATTCTTAGTCACCAGTAGTTTTGTCGCCATTTCGCGCCATGGGAAGCTCAAGGATGACCAGGAAGTAAGACCTTTCTGACTCTCTGATGTACTGGACTTCACCATTCATGAGCTTCAGTATCTTCCTGCACATGCTGAGTCCCAGGCCTTCTTGAGTTGCCCATTTGCTGCTGTGAAACATGTCTTGAACCACTTCTGGTGGAAGTCCTTCACCAGGGCAAACCATCCTTCACAAAGAGAGAAAAGCAGCGGTATAAAGGTATTGTTTGGTGCCTACACATCCTATGAAATTGAGATTATACCCAACCAAACAACAGGAAGAGTAAAACATAATCGTCGGCGAAACCCATCAGCTAAAGTTATTCATTGATTCGAATCACAAACGTATCTTAGTTTAACATTATTAGTTCAAGTAGAAAGAGTTTGAAACTTCAAGCCAGTGGAATGCGTTCCTACTCAAGGTCAAAGTAAAGGACTGGAAGATTGAAAGAGCACAAGAGTAGTTAACCTGAACTCTGTACGGACACCAGTGTGACCATCCGCTATTTGCTTCAGAGAAGGACGAACGTGGAGCTCGACATAGCCATCCGAGGAAGGAGCATACCGCACCATATTCAACAAGAAGTCAGCTAACACCTGTTGGATTCTGGATTGATCACCACAAACGGCCAGAGATTTTACTTCCTCTGGAATATCACGTATCAGTTGCAGATTCCTTTCCCTCAGCAACAACATCACTTGGCTAACCACAGCGTTTATGACACTCCCCAGAAAGAACTCGGTCCTCTCGAAATCAAACGTTCTGGTGCAAAAAAAATCAGGCGGACAAAGTTCAGAGTAATTAATCAGCACATTATTGCATTTGGCAGACAAGTTAAGTATACTGCTGTCAGCTTGGTTCAGGACGAAGAGAAACCAATTTAGAATTCCTCTATCTCCAATACACATTCTCATTATCATTAAACTTTCACATCAGCAAAGGGGAACTGGAAACTAACCCGTTTTCGATGTTCTCAAGATCAGCATCTCTTACAATCTTGAACATCTGCCTCTCACAGGCAGCACTGGTCTCAATGAACTGCTTCTGATCTTCACTCAGCTCGGTAGCTTCCAAGAGCGAGTTAGTGAACCGTATACCACTCAAAGGGTTCTTTATCTCCTGACATATATAAGCCAATTCCTTCATCCTCGCAAAATATCTCTTCTCCTGCTCTCTTTGAACTTTCAGAGCTTGCTGCAATTCAGGACTAGCGATTTGCAAGAAGCAGAACGCCCCTATAATCTGTCCCTCAACATTTGATCTCTTGTTTGCTGTCAGAAGAGCTTGAACATATTTCCCATTCTTGTCAAAAAAGGCAAACGGGAATTTTTCCGTTTCTTGTCCTCCAATCGCATTGTGAAGAAGGATCATGAAATTGGTTAAAGCATCTGGACCCTTAAGGCGGCAGCAGCCGCCAAACACTTCCCCAACCAACATCTTCCCTACGATTTCACCTCGGGTATAACCTGTGAGCTTTTCCATGGCAGTATTCCACTCCAGGCAATATGCATTCTCATCTGAAGCAAATATGGGAGGGATCAAAGGGTTTGGACTGTGAACTATGGCCTTGTAATCACCTTGTATGTTAACGAACTTATCCATTACCAATTTTTGACCAGTCACATCTTGACCCACAAAGCAAACTCCAACTATGTTGTTCATGTAATCCTTGCTAGAACAAGCGTTCACCATTACAAAGATGGGTGTTTTCTCATGTCCAGAGCCAAACGTCTTTAATTTTATCTCCACATCTTTATCTTCTTCACCTATAAGAGAAAGAAAGAATCCATGTAGTTAAAAGATGTCTCAAAGGCCCTTCAAGTATGTTTGTTACGCATGGAAATTGAATATACCTTTTAAAGCATCATGAACAAGCTTGTCAACGGTTTCTGCATATTCCTGATAGACAAGGTCATGAACCAAAGATTTCCCCATAGCTTCTTCAGCTGAAAGCCCTGTCAATTCAACAACCTTTGCATTCCAACCATTTATTCTCCCATCCACATCAACCGCAAATATTGGAGCTGTTGCAGTCTCTATAAGCCTCACCATTTCTCTAGCCACCGAGCTCAGTTCATCCACGCCTTGCAACTCCATCTCGTCGAGTTGTGCAGGTACAATAGATTTAGAATTCGCTGCAACTTCTGCATCTTTAAATGAGTCACGAAGAATCAGTTGCAAAGAATGTATCGCATCCATCTCTGCATTTTCCCATGGCAAGCTACGACTCTTCACTACTTCAAGAAAGGCCTTGAATGAAGAACGAGGATGCATTCTTTGGCCATCATCTTTATCCTGTGGGTGATGTTTGGCGCCACCCCATTTGATCTCTTTGCCTGTATGTGACCTGAACCAGAACAAGAAGTCTTTCTTTGTGATATAAGCAACCGCCATCCCACAAACTGCATCGCCAAGTGAAGCTGCACCCGTATATCCAGCATCCCCCAAACTATCAGTACTTAAACCAGTTGAATCGCCATGGAACGCCAGCAACCACTCTACAATATCCTTAATCTGCGCTTCAGTTGGAGTCACACCAAGCGGGTAGTACTTCCCTTGGTAATACAATGCTGCTCCATCACACTTCACCAAATCCATAATGCTAGGACTCTGAGTGACAATCCCGGGTGGGGAATCTCTCAACAACATGTCACAAAGAAGGGTTTGAGTCCTCAAAACACGTTTCTCTGATAATTGAGAAGCCAACTGCAACTCCATGTTCAATTGAAGACCAAAAGCCTGCATAAGAAACTCACAAGCATAACGAAGTGGAAAAGGTATGCACCTAGCTGAAGTGTGATGACAGACCACCAATCCCCATAGTCTCATTGCGTTCCTCCCTCCGCCATCTTCATCATTGGCATTGATGATCACAGCCATGGCTAGCGAAGCAGTGGAACCCATATTTGCCATGTACTGAGCATGGCAACCGTGTGGAGCACGGAGAGTTGAACCAACTAAGCACAATGGCTGCATCAGCCCTTCATCTTGAAACACACGGACTGGGGAAGCATGGCAATCGACTATCATCCTAACCCTATTCTGTTTGAACAAGAACCGGGAAGCTTGAGGGATATCAGTAGCAGGGTAATGCAAACCGATGTACGGCTCCAAATCAGGTCTTTTGTTCTCTGCCACTACTTCTCCATGCTCATCCTCGTGGAACTTGTAGACCATGACTCTGTCATAGCCTGTGAGCTCTCGAACGCACTCAACCACAGTATCGCACAAGAGCTTGATATCACCTCCGGGGAGAGATTGCAATTGGGAGATCGCTCGAACAGCTAGCTTCTGGGATTGTACGGCGCCGGCGATGGAAAGCGCCGGATCCTCAGTTCTCGCAGGCTCCAAATCGATGACGATCCCCACATCGATTCGATGGAGAATCGCGTAGAACGGCTTTCCGGAGTTCTTGGAGTGGATCCAGAGAGGGTTGAGCAGCGTGATTTCTCTGGCTCCGAACGCCTTCTCCAGCAGAATTGAGCTCGAGGAAGTGAAGATTGTGCGGACATCGGCGCCGATTGAGAGAATTTCTTGCTTCTCCAGGGAAGGGACTGATTGGGGAGTTAAGCCGAGCATGTCGCGCGCGTTCTCGCTGTAGGCGATTACGGCGAAGGAAGCTTCGTCGACGGCGATCGTGCAGCCGAACGGCTGGATGTGTCCGCCGCGCTGGATTTTGGAGAGGTACGCCGTGATTTGCTGCTCCGGTACGGACTGGTTAGTCGTCCTCACGGATTGAGAGTAATCGAAAGACCTACCTGACTCGCCGGACCGCTCGAAAACCGCGTGCAGCTGCGCGTCCACAGTGTACTGCGCAATCGCTTTGCTCACTGACTCCGCCGCCCCCGACGAGGACGGAGGCGGCGGCGGAGGCCTCAAGTTGCTGGTTCCCGATGACTGCGGCGGCTGCTGGTCGTAATTCTGGTTGCTGTAGTGGTTGCGGTGGTTAGCAGCTGCTGCTGATGGAGCTGAAGTTCCCCTGCTTCCAGACGCCATTTTTGCTTCCCCAAGAAGCTTTTCTTCTGAGAAGGAAATCGAACGGGCGGAAAGTTATATAAACAATGAAAATTGGCTTGTTCTCATTTCTTTTCTGCAGTGTTTGTGGCGAATAGAGTCGAAACTGAATTCTTTTTGTTATCTCAGTCTCTCTCCCTCTCTCTTCATCCCTCTGCTTTTAGAGGGAGAGAAGAGCAAAAGGCTGGCGGAGTGAAGTTAAAGCCAACCAGCTTTTTCAACTTATTTTTTTTTACTGCTGCGGTGAAAATGTTCTTACAGTATTACTATTGGCCTTGGGTAGTGAGCTTCGTCGGCGTCGGAGCCGGAGGGAGATAGGGAGATTCGGCCGGCGGCTCGCGGTGGTGGCCGGTGGGGTCAGTTGGGCGGCAAAAGAACAAATTTTTGATTGGCGGGCGAAACGCATATCTATTTGGGTGAGATTGGTGTGCTTCTCGTTTTCGTGTAGGCGAATAAAATGTTCAGGGACCAAAATGGAAATTTGGAATTGCAAAACGTGGGAAATTAGTTTTGTTTTTAACGTTATAGGGGGTGTGTTGTGTTTATTGGTTTTTTTCCCCTGCTCCTGATGGGATTAGTAATGCCATTACTTTAATTATGTTACTTGGATTTTGCTTTTAATTCTTTGATTTAAAGACACTATGCACAAACTTTTTTAAAAGAAAACCACCAATATACAACTAATATGCGTATAGGTAGTACGTAATTTAGCTGTGACGCTCACTTTTTTAAAGACGCCCACAACTATTAGATTGCACAATGGATGTTTTGATTTTAGGATGTTTGTTTAATGAGTTACCACATTAGTTTGATTTACTAAAATGATAGATTACCACATGTAAAATGTGTGTAGTTAATGATATGTGTATTTGTAGTAAGTAACATATATAATTGTCAACATTGATTAGTATATTTTGTTTGTTTTCTATTTGGTTTAAGTTCTTTCCAACTGTAATTTTGTAAATGGAGATTGACAATGGAGAACAACAAACAAGTGAGGTATTCAATGTCGTCAATAAATTTGTAAAGATTGGGATTGCAAGTAAAGTTAAGGAACCCTTGATGAATTATGATGTGGCGGAGGTGGCAGAGGAACTAAAACAGCAACGTGTGGCGTAAATGTGGGATCCGGATCGTGGATGGAGGATGGACGAGTTTCAACATCTTCTTCCATCGCAAATTGTTGACAAAATCAGAGCGGTTTTGATTGACCCTCTTGCTGTGGAAGGAGATCAAACCTTATGGAACCTCACCTCTAATGGTCACTTCTCAGTCAGTTCTGCTTTCAAAGCAATATAATCATATCACAATCACCAGGAAGACAAGCTTTGGAAGCAAGTTTGGAAGCTCCAAGTTCCAGAACGAGTTTGTGTCTTCGTGTGGATGGCAGCGCTAGGCAAGTTAACTACAAACCAGATCAGGAAGGACAGACATTTGACAGATGACAGTTCGTGCCCTGACTGTAGTGGTATTCCAGAAGCAAGTGTCCACTGCCTCGGGGACTGCAGGAAGGCGAGAGCTGTTTGGAATAAAATCCTGGCTAATGAGAATGAGAGGAAAGCAGCCTTCTTCAACTCGAACTACAATGATTGGATTAAAGCCAATGTCTTGGATGACTCTTCAGGAAGCTGGGTTGGTCCTTGGGGAAGCTTCTTCAGTTTGGTTATGTGGTATTTATGGAAATGTAGGAATGATGTTATTTTCAAAGGCATCAAGTTGGCAGCCTCCTCCCTTCACCACTACATTACAGCTAAAGCGAATGACTGGGCTAGGACTTGGGAATTGGCCAGGAAAGCGATGATTATGGTAGATGGAGGTCATAGAATAGAGACCTTGATTGGGTGGAAAAAACCACCAGCAGGATGGCATAAAATGAACACTGATGGTGCTGCGCGAAACAATCCTGGCTTGGCCACGACGGGAGGGGTTCTTCGTGATCATAATGGGGACTGGCTCGGTGGTTTTTGCAGCAAGCTCGGTACAGGTACTCCGCTTCTAGCAGAGCTTTGGGGTGTTTTGCAGGGACTCGAGATGGCTTGGAAGAAAGGCTCTCGGTTTCTCATCATGGAGATAGACGCTCGCCTTGCAATCCAACTAATCGAACAGAGAAGAGACAAAGTTCATCCGTATGCAACGATTCTGGGCGCTATTCGTAGACTTTTGGCAAAGGAATGGGTGGTTTGTCTAGTTCAAACCTACCGTGAAGGGAATAGAGTCGCAGACTGGCTCACGAAGCACAGTCTCGTCTATCCCTTCGGTATATATGAGCTTGAAGCTCCCCCATTGGATTTGGACAAGATTTGCCAAGAGGATGTGTTAGGAATCAGCTTTCCTAGGCTTGTGAGGCACACTTCAGAGGAATGACTCTCTGTTTTTTCGTTTGTATCTTTCTGGCTTTTTTGGGTTGTAGTTGCTTTGGCAGCAGTCTCAGAGTTTGTTAGCTCCTGGCGCTTGCCGCCTCCTTTTAATAAAAAAAAAGTAGAGTTAAGAAACTTTTAGCAAGGAAAATGGTTCCCAAATAGAGCACTCTCCTTAGTCCTTACTCTTTAGGATAGGAGAAGTCAAAGGTCAGGAAAAAATGTGACTTTTTCCCTAAATAAGCCTGTCGTTATGCATTAGGGTTATAGGATAAACACCAACTTTGCCGTCCAAACAGAAATCACGCCTGAGATAACAAAATTTTACTGAAATCAATGAAAGATCAATGAACATAAATGAATATATAATATGAGGTCTCAATAGTTCTAATTGTTAGTATATCATTATAAATCTTAATTACTTTTTACACATTTTCTTACATGAAAGTCGACACACGTAGTGATGGCATCAGACGGAAAGGGTACCTCAATACTTAAATTTTTGTCGTATTAAGTGCGGACCATGTTAGCTAATACCTGCGGAAATGGAGTGGGACTTGTCAACCCATTTTTATATGGTATCTTTAACCATAAAACAAATGAAATATAGTTTATAAATGAAAAATAGAGATAATGTTTGAGTCAAATTAGTTGATAGATAAAGACTCGTACTTATTTAAAGTATCGCGAAAAAATATGAGTTAAGATAAGTAAGATCCAAAAAATAAAATTTTATATTGAACAAATCGAAGTAGAACAGTCAAGAACGTGGTAGAAATAGTTACCCATGCTACTACGGTCTACGGGTTGAGTATTACTGCTCCATCACGGATAAGTTCGGGTAATATCGGGGTGAGTTCAAATTGCCATCAGTAACTCATAGAATTGAAGTTACAAGCTTGTCATACCATGTGTTTAAGTAAATAGTTACTACTGAGGACTTAATAAGTACGTGACCTCAAATGACAAACTAACTTTGATCTTATGTTATGCCAATTGATCTCGATAACCTGAGTACATGTATATATTTTAACTATTTCCCTATGTAATGTTTTAATACATGATCTAAAACTGTGCTCTAGATTAATTTTTATATATTGAACGGAATTGAGAATGTAAAGAAGTGATACATGTGCCTCTTTCAATAATTCAAATTATTGGGACGAATCGATTTATAACATGATAGCAAAAGTTGGTTTGTCCCTATCACTCTCTAGTTCAACCGATAACATGCACACATCAAATACCGTTGGAGAGAGATGCCAGAATTTATATTAGATCAGCGGAGTGAGAGCAGGAGCCTGCAGATTTTCAATACTTTTGTCTGCAGTGAACGTGGACGTGGTAAGTACCCAGTGCCCAGCCCACGTGACTAAGCCCCACTCCAGCTACGACTCCTTGCCTTCACGTGCCGCACCTTTCTTTTTCCCCTTCTCGACTTTATGCCCAGCCAAAGAATGAGAAACCCATCGTCCTTTGGGAATGGCTGCCCGCCACTTTCATTCTTCTTCCCGGCCGTTCAATGAACCAAAAACCCAGCAATTCTCTATTGGACAGGGATGTGCGCTGTACAGCTCCATTCAACCAAACTAAAGGGCATATTTGGTTATGTAAGATAGGTTCGATTCAGTTCAAGTTCGACCCGGTTCGATATGGAACGGATCGTTGCCCATCCTTCAAGAAACATGAAAAATGCAGCAAACTTTAGATCGCGACAATGAAATAGGCATTATCTCTGAAGAAAAGAAAAAAACACAAGGTTCGCAAATACACATTCGAAATTGCTCCCCTAACCCTCAATTATTTGTTCATGGACTAGAAAGGTCCCTAATGGCAAAAAAAAAACACAAATCTGACTCTCGAAAGGTACAGTTTACAAATCAAATGGTGGGCTGCAACGAACGATCGAAAACATTGAATCTCCTGCGATGGGTGAATTTGCAGCTGATGCTAGAAAGTAATGAATCTCCAGAAGCTTTGTTGGCACGGAAACAGACTTTCGGCCGGGTTGCACCTCACTTCGTGTAGAGAACATCTTCCCATGGGTGACGGTATAGGGGCTGTTTGAGTCTCTTCTGATCAAATGTGTGCCTGGAAATCGAACAAAGGTGGTTCTTTTGTCAGTTGAATGGAAGAAAGTGACGTCCACTAGCGTTATATTTTTTTCTTCTACTTTGTTACATAATGAGCAACGGTTATATGCATTATTTGTTCATTGGTCCCATCTCAATGTATTCTCGGACTACAAAGCATTTCGTGTCTGCATCAAATGGTGGTGGGTCGCATACAATTAGGGGTCAATTCATGCATCAATGTCACAGATGGGGGTTGGTATGGGCATGGTACTACACTCTGGTCTATAACCAAACAAAATTCGGGGTATGGCAAAGCTAAAAATGATGGCAAATTTGGGTTCTGGTCACTGCGGGTTGCAAACCGGTTGATTGCGTTGTGTCGAATTTCAATTCTGGGTATTCAAAACAATCAAAATGTGCAAGTTGGGTCGGGGTTCAAGATTGGTTAATCAGGTTATGGGGCAATTGGGTTACGTCTGTTATGTGCAGTGGAAGCAAGCAAAGGCCGAATAGAGGAATGAAGACACAGGGGGAAGAATGCAAAAACTCACCCGATGAGACCAATGGAACGAGCCAAGACGAAGAGGCCATTCAAGTATCCAATCTCGACGATCTCGTCGATCTCTGGCTTGGTGAACATTCCACTTCCAGCAAGGAGATCGAGGAAGAGGGAGCCGATCGCGCCATCAACATTCATGACCAGGTTGTTGGCCTTTGTTAGAGTGTAGGTCTCGACCTGGACGGCATACTCCATGTACTTCACAGATGGGAAATTTGTGCGTGCAAATTCCTGCAACAGCTCCACTCTCTTATCCCTGTTGTCCCCTCTCTTTATCCTATCGTATCCAACAGGTTGCAAAGAACATGGTTAATTAGATATGCCGATATATAACTCAACCCACCCAAAGCCAACCTGCCAAACTGACTCGAGACTCGCCATGATCTAACTTGTTTGTTCTGTGACCTATTATGACCTGATCAGCAGCAATTATGACCTGATGACCCAAACTCGGTCTGGTTGTTAAATCTAAATGGGCAACTTGTTTCTAAGTTATAACCCGCAATAGTAATGACTCAATCCATCATGACCTGTCGCCTGCAATGACCCGAGAAATAAACTGGCCTAGTTCAAGCATGAAGAATTTCAATTTTCACAGTTTCCATACCTATGGCCGATTCCAGGAACGCGGATGCCCTTCTTTTTCATGCTTTCAACAAACTCATAGGGAGTGAGTCCCTGGAGGAGAAAAAGGCATCGAGAAGAAATGATATTCAGTGGTCCATAAAACCGCATATAGGCATTCTGACCAGAAATGGACATGAACCATCAATTAAACTAGCTATACCCTGTCATAAGCATCCTTGAAGTATCGAGCAGCATCATCAATGGCGCCACCAAATCGGGGACCAATTGTCAGCAAACCTGGTTCACAAAACAGTAACTCAGTATAGAGGTTGAGATATGTGATCGACTTTTTAACAATTAGTGGATTCAATATAAATAGTTCTCTCTAAAAATTTAGACTTAAAAATATGGTTGTTTGATTACTTTTCCAACTCAGCTTGTAACATCCAGCCAATATAAATAATCAATAGCCAGTTTACCTGACACAAGGCTGGAAACAAGATCCTTTCCAGCCCTTGCTGTGACAATGGTATTATGAGCTCCTGAGACACAGGGACCATGGTCGGCGCACAACATGATGCATATCTGGAAAAGATCCAGGGTGTCAAAACACATACAGAATCATTCTTATTCCACATTTTTTTCATAAATGATGAAAAGAGATAGGATAACGATTACCCTTAAGTCACTGAAAATTACCTCGATAAATTTGGTACAGTAGCGTGGGAGGCTGCGTTTGAACCATAAAAGAGAGATAACATCACCAACACCATAACCCTGCTCAACAATGGAAGACATTGGCACACCAGCATAGCATGGTTCCTCACCTACAGTTTGATTGAAACAAGAGGTTATAATCAATCAGAAATTAATTCCAATAAGCTTCTCATAGAAGTCCAGAATAAAAAGGCAAGTACCTCTATCGTCAGAAATGGTTGAAATAATATGAGTCGGGGCACGAACTTTGCCACTCTTGATCGCAGTGTTGAGATCCTCTGGAATTGGTGGAGGTGTGAACTCCTTAACCGATTCAATCTTCCCTGCTTCGAACTGGGAGGAAAATAATTTGTAATTGTGGACGAAAGCAGTCATGATAATAGGAATTTGGCATGAGGCACCTCTATTTTAGGATTCATTTATTTTGTCTAAAACTGAAGTTCCAAAAATTTAAGTTGGAAGAAGGGCATAGTGCACTTTTCTCCATCTGAATAGTTAGAACACCTATTCATAAAGCACTCCACAATTATTGAAAGTAAAAAGCCTGCCTCATTAACCAAAAATTCATTTCCAACTTTTCATCTTTATAATAAGCATATATTTGTTAAAGTTTTACACATAAGGGTCATTTCCCAACCATCACATCTCTTATTATCAAACAAACTATCTATTATCCAGCAAGTACTTTGTAATTGCTGAGGAATATTTTATATCTCATCAACTCTTTCAGAAGATTTAGAAAGAGCTGAATAGGTAATATAAGAATATAGGACTAACCAGTTTGTCGAATGCCTCTTTAATAGAAGCTTCAAAAGCTTCAAATGAGGTAGGCACAACAGCTCCAGCATCTTTTAGTGCTTGATTCTTAGCTTGTGCAGACTCCAATTCACCACCACTTTTAGCACCCTGATTGAAACAATTTACGAAGATCAATCAAAACAGAACCTCTGTTGTAGCAGTGGTTTGATGCCACTTGTTAGATATAAAAAATAAAGAGAAAGATATTCTAGAGCAATACAACTTACAGCATGGCCAAATTGAACTTCTGACTTGAAAAGTCTGGCGCAAGTTCCACTGACCCAAGCAACAACTGGTTTGTTCACTTTGCCCTGTTTGAGAGCTTCCACAAGGGAGTACTCATCTTGTCCACCAAGTTCTCCAAGTACCACTATCATCTTAATCTAAAGTTGTTTTGGAAAGGCAGATAAAAATGGGTTACAGTTGTGATAATTTAACCAAGAAAAATACAATGATGTCCATTCTTTTTCTCAGATTCAGTGGAGATCATTAAATAAACTGTATGATATTAGCATACCTGAGGGATGTTGTTAAACCGCAAAACATGATCGGAAAGAGTGGATCCAGGGAACACGTCTCCTCCAATTGCAATACCTACACATTTTTCAAACATGGCAATCTAATCAGGCCTGCAGCTATTATTTGAAAACACAAAAAAAAGTCTATGCATAACATAACGAGAGTACCTTCATAAATTCCATCTGTTACACGAGCAATAGTATTGTAAAGCTCATTTGACATGCCACCCTGCAATTTTCACAAAACAACAGTCTAAGATCGCGAGACAGAGCAATAACATGCTGGCTTTAATAAGACAGGAGCTACAACATACAGATTTTGACACAAATCCAATAGACCCAGGTCTGTAAAGCTTGCAAGCAATAATGTTATCAATTGTTCCAGCAGTATCACCAATCCTGAATGCTCCAGCTTGGATTCCCCCAACAGTAGCAGGGCCAATGACAACCTACACAATCATCAGGAGAGCATATTTCAATAAAATATCATAACGCAGAACAACAAAAGTTACACTAAAGGATTCACACCATTGATATTAGTCCAATTTGAATAAAATCCAATATAAGTTCTCACCTTATTGTTAGATCGTGCATATGCAATCAAATGCTTTGTGTCTGACTCAGGAACACCCTCAGCTATTATGGCCACAACTCGAATTGTTGGCTGTTTGAGAGCAGACATGGATGAAGCTGCAGCGCTGCATATGAAAAACACACATTTCACTACATAGCACAAAAATTATAAGCAACATTATCCATGAAAAGCTAAATAAACACAAACCTTCTAAATGAAGCGAAGTTAATAAATACATCAGCCGTTGGATGAGCAGCACAAGCCGCCTCAATGCTGCAGAACAGTTCGTAAAAGGGTCAGAAAACTGAAAACAACAGAAGAGTGAAACTACATTCCGTGAAGAACCATCAGAACAATGAACACTCTAGCTACATTGAATACGAGAAGGCAATGGTTACAGAAAACATAATCTCAAGTTCTCTGAGTGATCAATCCGTTTCGTTCATTGCTTACACCACATGGGTCAACTAGCATTACATCTAATGTCCACAAGACAGGAGTCAGCTCTAAGCCCAAAATAGAGGGAAAGAAGAACAAAAGAAATGGCTACCACATCTTACCTTCCATGCACTGGGATAGCAATTTCCTCTTGACCGAAAAACAGCTTCTGAAATCCCTCTGAGCCCGGGTTGATAATCCCAGCTACAGAAGGTGTTTCCCTTCCTGCAAGTAAAAAGGGAATCGGACAATACTTCAAAACCAGCAACCCATCTGAACTAAGACAATCCCTTCACCCATCCTACAAAGAATCCAATAGATCGAAAGCTTTCACGGAAACCATATCCCTTCAGAGCAATGGCATAGACACATGCTTACCACAAAGGAAATCGAAATCAAGCATCCGCTGAATAGGAAGCTGCTTGTAATTGTAGAACAAGGCTTGTGTAGTTCGAGAGAAGAGTTGCCCAGTGGCCATGATTGCAGACTCAAGGGACCTGTAAAATAAATCAGTATCAGAAATCCAACGAACTTAAGTGAACGAATTCAAATAGGCAGCACCTTAGCCGATCAAGGTTTACTGCTTATAACTACCCACCCACCAAACGGAACCTAATCAATGCTGATGCTCACATTCACCCAATGCAGCCATCCCATGTAAGTAAAGCAAAATGGATCTACCAACACCAACCTAACCCTAAACAAGATGAGCATTTGAAACGAAATCGTACAATCCACACATTCAACCAAACTCGTACCTAACTCCCCCAACCACTAACCACCTCTGCTTCAACAGATCTCCACTAACCGAAGAAAACACCAAACAACTAAAGCGAAAGGCAGTAATTCAAAAATTCAATTCCCCGTCACCAAATCTAACTCGAACGGGAAAATAAAGAATGCAGCAGCAGAAATTCAACCGCCCCGATCGCTCACGAATCACTCGCAGCAGGACATTCGAGATCGAGTTCAAAGCTCAGGAAACTCTTTCGAGAGCAGATTTGGCGGCAAGAAACCAGTGCGGGGGGGATAAGAAGGGGAATCAAGGAGTGGATCTAGACAAGTGGCGGGAGGGAACTAGAGGAGCTTTGTTTGTTTGGTCAGCGAGAAATCTAGGGGCCTACCTACCCGAAACCGGACGCAGTGGTGTGTATCTTCGTGTGCGGTAAAGCCCTCGGCCAAGTCGCCGATTTTCTCTAGCGAGAAAGTGGAGGAAAATTGGAGACAAAAGAATGCAGGAATGTTTCAGGGATGAAGTGTGGTACTGTGAGATGGATGAGTTTGAATATTTATAGAGGCTCAAGAAGGGAAAGGATATGAATTTTTTTTATTTGCTATGCATTTGAAGGCCAGCTACCAGCCTACCAGTTCAGGAATAAAAGGGGGGAAATCAGAAATGGTGGGAAGGGGAAAGGAAGAGTCAAGAGAGAGGGTCACGTGGCGCGTGGTAGTTAGTTCGCAGATCATTTTGGGTGTGTTTGTATATTCTTATTTGACTAATTTCAATTTGGTACCTAAGAAATTTCATGTGGTCCGCTTATGCGTCCCGCAGGGGGAAGCCACGAAATGATGGGCCTTGCTACCTCAAAACACATGGGCCTCCACATTTATGCCCTTCATTACACTTTAGGTACTCAACTTTTACACTCCCTTGGAAGTTGGAAGTAGTGATGGCAATGGGGCGGGGCGGGTATCTCAATTCTCATGCCCCGCTCCATGCTATAAAGGGGCGGGTAAAACTCGCGCTGGTAAGGGATGGGGCAGGTCGACCCACTCTTACATGTTATTCGGAAAAAATACAAGTAAATTTTACTTTTTACGATAAAACGAAGGGTAAAACACTTTAAGAATGAAAAATAGTGATAATAGAATGGGTAATTGAGTCTAACAAGTTGAAAGAGGGACTCTAACTAGTTGAAGAAAAGTCAAAATAGGAGAAATATGTATAGAAATTGTAAGGAATTGAGATAAAATGAGTCTAGAATGGGACGGGGCGGGGCAGGGCGGGTCGAAAGTAGATACCCATGCCCCGCCCCACGCTACTGCGGGTCGGGTAATACCCGCCCCATCGCAGGTCAGTTCGGGTAATACCCGCGGGGCGGGTTAAAATTGTCATCACTAGTTGGAAGTATGATTAAATCCTTAAAGTGCACATTAGTGTTAGAAATTTATTAAATGCAACTTTTTAAAATATTCGATCATCAACTTGGTACAAGGTTTACAAGTGTGACTTGTAGTATGGTTCTTTTACCTTATTCAGGTAGTAAAAGCTTCATATTTTATGTAAAATAGTTTTTGTATATATGATGGTCGATTATATTTCATCGATCAAGTTGGTAAAAATCTTAACTCTTGAGAGTTTAATCAAAACAGTCGATTTCACATGTTATAATGAATTTCAGAACTTGTGTTTCCGTATATTCAAGTCAAATAGAGGCTAAGATGATTATAAACTAAACTTCTCGGATAGAAATATGAATTACACGTTCGTTTTTTCCGTTTGATTCAGAATGCCCACTTTATGCAATCCGGATCAATTTATTGTCAATCCTTTGAAAATACAGCCTATAATGACATATTTGACACTAGGAGTACCTTGCAAGCTCGTGAAAATAAATTATTCTACACATTTAACTTATATGAAAAACCTGATAGTCCTATAATAATAATGCGACCAATCGATCGGCTTGCTACAGCCACAATAGATAGTCTATCTTATCAATATAAAAAGAGTCAAATTTTAAGATTCTTAAACTAGACGAACCAACTCGTGAAGTTTGCCAAACATTTCTTATCTATCAATATTTATCCAAAGAATAAATATAGGGAATTGATAACGTCGTCCTTAAAATTACTATTGATCGTCCTAAAAAATAATAAATTTACACTTTTAACCTTTTGTCATCTTTAGCAAACAAACATCACTTTAACTAAAAAAAAAATGAAAAACACTCAATTTCCCACGCTCTCGAATTCATCGTTGACATTCTCGAGTCGTAATCGTTGGGAATACGTCCGAATCATGAGTAGCGACTCCGACGAGGTAAAAATCCGATTTTTTTTCAAAAAACCCCAAAACCCCTCAACCGAAGCCAATTTTCGGTTGTACCATGGCTCAACCTAAGGCAATTTTCGGTTGTACCATGGACCAACCGAAAATCACCTTCGGTAGCACCATGGCTCAACCTAAGGCAATTTTCGGTTGAGCCATGGTGCAACCGAAGGTGATTTTCGGTTGGTCCATGGTACAAACGAAAATTGCCTTAGGTTGAGCCATGGTACAACCGAAAATTGGCTTCGTTGAGGGGTTTCGAAATTTTTTTGGATTTGTTTGGTTTATATCAATAATTTTCTATTATTTTACTACGATTTATGGTTCGGTCCATAAGATAATTTGTTGGATTTTGGTTTATATTTTTTTAGATTTATGGAAGGGGAGGGGTTGTTTGTTTTGTGTTTGATTTTGAAATTCAAAATGGGCAATTCGGTAAATTACATATTAAGTTAGGACGATGGTTAGTATTTTTTAGGACGACCTTTAACCATTCAGTAAATATATAGTCAAGAGATGTGGGCTCACAATTTATTGTTTGTTATAGTTTTAGCAGCATACGATATAACATGTAGGGGTTGCTTTGTATTGAAGTGGGAGTACGGCTGGTGGGAGTGGTTAGGTAGTAGACCCAACTCCGTTAAATTTTCTGACGTCCAAATGGATAACTCCAATCGCATCAGAAGGCGAGTGTTGCGCACTTGCTTGGCTAGAACCACAATAAAATAGTGAGGGAAACATAATATAGTCAGCAAAAAATGGGCTAGGTGGTGATTAACAATTTGAAAGGGTTGTTATTTTCCTATGGCCTGAACTTTGATCAAAATAAATATTCTGTCTAATCTTTCGATTTATAACATTCTGGCCCGAATTATACACCAAAATAAACAATTTGGCAAGATTCGACTTTTGACCGTTAACTTGGGCGGTCAAACGTGTTGATCATTAATCAACGCGCCATGTCACTGCCAAGTCAGCATAAAATATTTAAAATAATTCACAATTTTCACACATTCCCTAATTTTAAATTATTATAAATTAAAAAAAAAATCATCTAATACCTTAGTTAAACCAAAAATAAAAAACGAAAAAATTAAATATTTATCAGATCTTCTGACGTGGCGCGTTGACCGTTAGTCAACGCATTTGACCGTCCAAGTTAACGGTCAAACATCGGGTTTGGCCAAATTGTTTATTTTGGTGTATAGTTCGGGCCAGGATGTTATAGATCGAAAAGATTGGCCAGTATGTTTATTTTGGTCAAAGTTTAGGCCATACGAAAATATTAACCCATTTGAAAATAATTTTATGGGAAATTAGTCAACAAATATGAACTTGTCATTAATTAATTTATGATTCTCTTTACATCAATGTGCATGAAAAAGTAAAATTATTTTATCCTGATAGCTTGAATTGGGCACATACATTGATTCACATGGAGGTCTATGTTTTACACAATATCTTCAAAAGGTGAAAATGTATTTTCTTTAGAAGGGGCTACGCCTACAACTACGAGCACATTATCAAATTTTCTGAAAACCAAATGAAGAGGTTGAGACAGGCATACGCATAGGCAGAGCCATCCATAATTATTTGAGTTACGATACACACTTATTTTTAAGTAAACATACTATGAATTACCAAGTATGTATTTATAGAGCGTCAAACTCAACACTTCTACATTTACACGAGATGATCTTTTCATTATATTCATAAAATATTGTTTATAACATTAGGTAAATCCCCGATTTGCTTTATGTCCCTGATCAAGTCTCTCTTCTTCTAAATTATTCGAATTTCTCTAACATATTTATTTTACATTGTTTTTTCAAGAATATGAAAATAAGGTGTTATTATTTATGAAAAAACCAAAAAATTGTATTAATCATATATTTTTATGAATAAATTATTCAATTATTATTACAATTATATGTTCTAATATTTATTTATATTTTAAAAAAGCACACAACTAGTTTCAAATCATAACTCTGTCAGTGATCAGCAGTGGCGGAGCCACGTTGGGCCAAGGTGGGTCGGCTGCACCACCTTGGCTCAGGGGCGGAGCTAGGATTTGAAGTTTGGGGGGGCCGAAATTTTTTTCAGTATGTAATTATTGTAAAAAATAAAATAAAATAACAAAATAATATAATATAATATAAATGACATATTACAAATTATTATTTAAGATAATTATTAGCAGTAAAATTACGATTTAAATTAAAAATTTAGCAACGATATGTTCAACATTATTAAAAAAATTGTCAACAAAAAATAATCATTATTTGTACCGTGGTCTTCAATTATTATAAGTAACAAATAACTGTCTCCGAACAATGAGAAAAAATAATCAATTTGGTACATATCCAAAATTATATTTGAAGATATAATGTATAAGTTGATGAATTTAATTTACCTAATTTGAAGTTAAAGTGTGAATGTTAGGTGTGTTAGGTGGCTGTACTGAAAATTTTTAGCAAAAATTAATCTGATAAGGCAAAAAATCAACATGTTGTGCTACTGCAGAGTATCGAACCCACATATCCTCCAACACAAGAGACATCAACTTATCCGCTAGACTACATACCACCATATTTACTTCAAGTTCCACACTGTTGGTATTTATACAAATATCTTAATTAATACGTAACTTCAAAACTCTCGTTGTACTTATACGCGATTTTCAAAATTCTCGGGGGGGCCGGGCCCCCCCCCCAAGCCTCAATGTAGATCCGCCCCTGCCTTGGCTCAACACACATACGCATACAAATATTATCGAATAGTTCTTAAGTAGTATCTAACTACAAAAAAGTAAACCTACATCACTGTTATAAGGATTATCAAACTGTCAACCTGCCTTTCACTATAACGTATTAACATTGTTAAGTTTCAAGTAATTTTATGTTTTATGTTTTAACATCTAATTTATTTTTTCATTAATATCTTTTACAACAAACCAAGAAACTCGACTAAACCTGTCTTTTATAACTTATCACAATTCCTAATACGATCTCCCTCAAAGTATCATCAATCTATTGTCTTCTATTCACAGTCCACGATTTTGGAATTCCCACAAGTCACAATCTCAATCTAATAATCGTGTTAGCCGTCAACTACTAGCTGCTCGGTTTGTCCGCTTGCCGCTCGTCGTTCCGTAGCGTATTCACCATCTGTTTAACGGCAAAAGACCTTATCCTGTTTCTCGAAAACGCCACCTATGCCGTGATAACGTTCCCCAACATCTGAGCTCGACGACTACCATTTGATGCTAACTGTTCACAATGATCTATATCGTTGTTCGACCCACCTTAACAAAATTCCTGACTACGCCACTGGTGATCAGACGAGTTGATTTCATTAGAAAATTTGCACGATTTGCAGCTAATCATCAGCGAAATAAAGTTTGGAAGGTCTCTTTTACGAACAAGCCATTCATTGTGCACTTAATTCAAATAGCTTACCAGACACATTTGAGGTCGTCTATAGTGATGTGATTCATGGTTTACCCTTCCATCATTTTGCCATGCCAACCCAATATCGCCGTCCCGTCGTCACATTGCCAAATATTGGCGATTTGTACTTGTTTTGCTAAAACGTTTGTTGATGTATGTTGATGTTGATATTTAAACAATAAAACGACGTTCAACAAATGCCGACGGCCATACGCAAAGTGTTATTTATATTCTCGCTGTCTTCTGTTTACAATTCCAACATATTCTCTGTTGGATGAGTGCGGCCTGACAGATCCTTAATTTTCACGTTTAATTCATTGACTACTACAAGCCTACAACTTATTCCAACAGGAGCATGCTAATAAAGAAAAGAAAGAAAACGAACCTCAACTAATATTTACCCAATAATCTGTTTTGGTTATTCTCTTATAATAATCTTATTTCTATTGAAGATCCGATGTTATTGGTCGTCAATGGCGGGCCACCCATTTTTTATTCAAAACGACAGAACAGCCATGTCACTGATCTTAAAAGGATTTTTATAAGCTAATCCGACATGATAATAATAATTAGTAATAACCAACTAACTTAGCTTTTACATTTCACTGGGTTAATGCTGGATAACTGGATTGAGGGGAGGAATTGGGGATTTGGAGGAATTCCAAGTGAGAAATGAGAAGGAATTGGAGCAGAAGGGGACCGAGATGAAAAGGGTAAGAGAAGGAGAGTAAGAGATGAGTAAGACAAACGAAAGAAATTCGCATGTTCAAAGCACAATTTACTCCAATAGTAAAAGCATTTTTATACTTTGTCATTCTTCTTATGGGAGTGGTAGTGAAATAAACTCACATACTCAAACCACAATCTACTCCCATTGTTCAAATCTCGTGACAATATTTTTTGACTGTCGTTCTACTTGAGCAATATCACATATTCGAAACCAATCACGTGTAAAAACTCCGTAAAATGTTCTTCTCCAGCCCTTTTAATCATTAGAAGCTCCTTCACTTTTTTTTCTTCTTGCATTAGGTTCTATATATAGTTAGGTAATGTTGTACTTGTACATCCATCTACTCCATTTTTGTCAACAACTTAGTTAGTGATAGAAACCAACTTCCGTTCGGGTTCTATAATTATTATTATATTAGAGTAATTAGTCTTTTAGTCGTATTAGGTTAATTGTTACGGTTTTGTGGTTCTGTTCCTATATATATACGTTGTTATTCATCTATTCGATCAATAAGAAGAATATTAAGAAAACCCTCCTAAACCCTATTCTCTCAATCCTCTCAATTCTCGTTCCCAATCCCTCTAAAGGCCTAGGCCGATTCCCTATCTTTCTCTTCTCAAATCCCTAATTCTGTTCGTATAACCATAATCCCCAAATTATCAAACCCGATAGAAACTTTGTTTCTATCATTTGGTATCGGAGCCCTCATGAGTCCTTCGAAACTCACTGATCCAGCATGGGCTCGTACGAAGCAGCTGATAGAGTTCATGTTATCTGAACTCAAGCGAGAGGCTCAGGAACGCGGGTGGACAGCAGCAACAGCGGAAGAGGCGGTCGATCCGTCCGCGGTGGTCCCCGTACCGTCGGGCCCGACGCGGCGCGCGAGAGGGACAGCGCCCGCGCTGGCGGCAGGAGCGGGCGATGGGCGCGCGGGGGAGGAGGCTGGAGCTAGCGGCCGCCCCGGGGTGGCTGCGGGGTCGGCGGAGATCGGTGCTGGCGGCGGCGGTGCAGGGGGCAGTAGCAGGAGCGGGGCGGGAGAACCGCCGGCGGACGGGGACGAGGAGGCGAGCGCCGCGATGGCCGCGGACGGCGCGCGGAGGGGCGTGGCGGCGACGGCCGTGGTGATGGTGGCGGCAGAGCAGTCGAACCTTCAGGCTGTTGCAATAGAAGCTGTCTCCACTACTGTCGTTCCATCATCAACACCGCAGGCCAGTGCGTTGTCCCTGGCCGCTGCAGAAACAGCGCACAAGCACGATGGGGCATCACAAATCACCCCGGCCATTGATGGGTTCCTTATTGAGACTAAGAATGTCGAGGAGGGGTCAATAACCATAGAGCAGCCGGCCGCTACGGAGGTTTCCACGATACTCTCGCCAACTGGGGTTGAAGATGAAGGCCCGTTTGAGAAGATCTTTGTCGACCTACAACAGCTTCGGGCACTCACCGCAACACAACCAACTCCTGATGTTGTGCGATCCCTAACCCATGCTATTTTCGGATCGGTACTCGTTCAATTGAACCGGCCAATTGATGGGTGGAAATTCAGGAGAAAGCCGAGACCACGAGATGGCCCGGATCTTGAACCAAAAGAGCAGGGGAAGAAGGCAATGGCGAGGCGGACGACGCAGGTGCCCGGTGAAGGGAAACCCGACCTGATGGTCTGCATATGGTCGGAGGAGGAAACGAGGCAGAAGATGATGGTGGCTGTCGTGAAGGTGTTGACCGATGATGAGGCGGCGTCGAAAGTTGGCGGGACTTGCCGTCGGGGAAGCTCTTTGCAACCGAAGGAGGAGTTGATGGAGATGGCGATGACGTCATGACGATGGTGAGGGACGCGACGAGGGATGAGGCCGGCGATTCATCATCGTCGTCAATCACCAGGGGCGGTCCAATGGGAGCCAAAATTGGTAATGCTGCAAGGATTGATGAAGTACTGTGGAACACTGAAGAGAGGATGAGTCCCACACAGGGGAAGCTAGTGGGCGGCCAATTGCTTGGAGAAATAGAAGGACAACAGGTAACTACTTGCTTTAACTACATTACTCCATGGGATTTGGTCGCATATGGGAAACTTGGAAGGAATCGTGGAGCAGAAAAGTGGAGCGGCCAGGTGATGGATATAACCAGAAAGATAATGGAAAAGAACTTGTTGGGGAGTCGAACTCTACTGAGGGAGCTCGTATGCTAAGTTGGAGGAACGACTGGCTGTGGTTTGAGGGAGATCGTGTGCTCTCGAGCGAATACGCTGGAAGGTGTATGTGTCATCGCGAGCGGTTGCGGTTCGATCAGGCCGCGCGAGACTACAACAATGGATTTTTTCTCGGTGGAACCGGCTGCGACCTCGGCAGTCATGCTCTCGTACAAGTGGCCACATGGAAAGAACGGAAGGGATGTAATCTTCAAAGTTTAATGGTGGGCGTTTGGCCATTTCCAGGGGCATTGAGGATTGTATGTGCAGTTAGTGGGTGGATTGAAGGTTGGGGGTTACCTGGATGCTGTCTAAGAGAGGGAATGTTAATGAGGTTTGGGGTGACAATCATGGGATTGACTTCAAGCTGCGGGAATAACGTTGTGTCGGGTTATAAGCTTGGGTGGGATGGCAGTAATAGAGCAATTAATTTGGCCGCTACCGTGAAGGACTTCAAGTCCGAAGGAGCTCCTTGTGTGGGAGGAGTTCGAGTGCCTAGCCCCAATGGGAAGAAAAGGAAGCGACGGATGATTCGACTCCTGAATTGTACGAGAAAGGTGGAGGTGTGGTTCAAGTTGGTCAACCTTGAGGGCAAGGTTGGTCTCAAGGGGGAGAGAATGATAGAAACCAACTTCCGTTCGGGTTCTATAATAATTATTATTATTATATTAGAGTAATTAGTCTTTTAGTCGTATTAGGTTAATTGTTAGGGTTTTGTGGTTCTGTTCCTATATATATACGTTGTTATTCATCTATTCGATCAATAACAAGAATATTAAGAAACCCCTCCTAAACCCTATTCTCTCAATCCTCTTAATTCTCGTTCCCAATCCCTCTAAAGGCCTAGACCGATTCCCTATCTTTTTCTTCTCAAATCCCTAATTCTGTTCGTATAACCATAATCCCCAAATTATCAAACCCGATAGAAACTTTGTTTCTATCAGTTAGTTAGCCCATCCCCTGACTGCCACCTCATCAATTTCCCAATTCCACTTGACTAGGAAGAGAGTCCAAACCTTATTGATACATGGATTATGAGTCAAATATCTCCTTTGACAACCATGGTCCATGAAACCGTACCGGAGATCGACCGGAAAAGTCAGCGGTAGGGTATTTTATGACAAACCCGTGGTTTTACCGTAGTTTAACTGTTAGTATTGTTAAATACCGCATACCGGTTTAGCTCCGATACTGGTATTTTGTGGTTGAACCGCCTGTACGGTACGGTTTCATGGACTATGTTGACAACACAGCTCCTGTGGAGGGGGAACCTTGATTTGGAGGGAAGATTGTGGCGCTAATGGAGAAGCTCATCGCAATTTTCGTTTCAGACAGGCGTCAATCAGTGGGAAAGCAACTCCTCTGAACCAGTTTCTGGATTATCCGATAGGAATTTCACTTTTGGAGGTTCATTTAGGCCAAGTGGGCTTGATTATATTTCTTTGGGCTTTAATTGAATGCAGCAAGACGGAAATACAGGCAGCCCGGCCCGTATTCTGAGAAACCTTCAAAACCTGAACGAAAAGGCTGAAACGGGAATGGACGAATCCAAAACGTAAAAAGTTTCAATTTCTTAAAACCGATAATGAAACGTAACGAATTGCCGATAGAGATAAGTTAACTACATATTCCGATATGTCGAAATATCGCGATATACACCCGACATATTTACACTGTGTTTGGCAATAAGAGGGTGCAAGTTCGAGTGGGCTGCAAATTGAGTGGTAAACTGCTGGGGGTACAACTTGGTGGGGGGAGTGGATGAGTAAATTATTATTTGGATGAAAAAGTAGGGGATGCAAATAGACTAAAAAGCATGGTTCAGGAAACCGTACCGGATATCATACCGGAATCATCCATGGTAGGGTATTTTGTGGTACAACCGTGGTTCAACCCTTTTGTACCGCTAAATACCGTTTTTATAATAATATAATATTATTTATGTAAAAAAACCGTATCGACAAATTAGAGTATCGTTTCGGAATAATACCGTAATAAAACCGGAATAAAACAAAAATAAGAAAAAGAAAAAAGGACAAATGTCATGTTTGTCTCCCATTCCACTTTCTCTGATCCCTCCCACTCCCACGTTCTCCCCTCTCTCTTTCATTAATTATTTTTTTTTTTCTACTTTCCCCTATCTCTTCGCCTCCCGCAAGCCTCTCTCTCCCCTCTCTTGTACGTTTTCTTTTCTCACTTATTCTCACCAATTCTATCTCTTTCCTTCTCTTTTTTTTTGGTAAACGGACTGGCGCGAAAGCGTCTAAATCGTATTAATCATAATAAGACGTTCGTGGGTAGTACCCATTACATCATAGTAAAGCCACTGACCAAGATCATGGTCGTACACATCGAAGAGATGTGTACCAAAATTACAGAAATGACCTTTCTTCGCCAGAAAGTCGGCGGCAAAATTCGCTTCTCTAAACACATGGGAAACAACAACATCCCATTCAAGATTCAGGAGGTTCCTAAGTTGAATAGCGATGTTACCATGGCGATGATAATCATTCGTGCTCCCTTTAATGACAGAGATAGCTGTAGAAGAATCAAGGTTGAGCTGCACTTTGCGGAAACCTTTGTCCCAAGCCATCTTCAAGCCCTCTGCAGCACCTTTAAGCTCTGCTGCCGTGATGGAGCAGTTGCCCAGGTTGCAGATGAAGGCACCCTTACATCTACCAAGGTGGTCTCTAAGCAGACCCCCAGCCGCTGCACCACCATTCTGCAAATTAACAGAGCCATCAGATTGGACTTGGATCGGACCCTCCTGAGGTGGCTCCCATCCCACCTGTGCACAGCTCTTGTTAGCCTGTGTTCCCGCCTTAATTTTATGGTCATTTTGGTGAGCATTCCACACAATACAGAACCAAGCATTAATCCTTGAGATGATACCAGTCTTCGAGAAAACATGGCCATCCAGCACCTCCTCATTCCTCTGCTTCCACAGGTGCCAGCAAATGATTCCGAACTCGATTCCAGTTCGTTCATCCCTGAGATTGTTCATCAACCACACATCCAAAGGGCCATCCATGTTCTTAGCAGCCAGCTTGTTAGACATAGTATCCCAGATCATTTTAGCTTTTTGACAGCCCCTAATGATGTGATCGATTGATTCTTCTTCTTATTTGCAGTGATTGCAGAGTTTGTCTTCAGTCATTCCTCTTCTTACTCTTTCTTTGTTAGTAAAAAGGCGGTCGTGGAGCACCAACCACAGAAAATGTTTAACTCTGTTTGGCCCTCTCCACTTCCATAGATCTTTCCAAAGTTGGTTGCTGGGAGACTCGGCCAAATCGGCAACCAGCTTGTAAGCCGATTTGAGTCTAAATCTCCCATCTCTCTCCAAGCCCCAGATTGTGATATCTTCACCCAGATCATGCTTTGGTGCTTCCATTCCTGCAATTAAGTCCAGGATATCCCTAGGGAGGACATCATTCAACTTCTGCCAGTCCCATTCTTCATCCTCAGTTGTCCAGTCAGCAACATTAGAATCATCCCCATGGTTGGAGATGTCCACCAGAGCAAAATCTTCCAGAATGAGGCCATTTTCCAGCCAGGGTTGCGACCAAAACTTGGTTGATTTCCCGTCACGAATACTCCAGCAGGTTGCATCCTTCATCAGATTCATTCATTTCAGGATTGCTCTCCACAGGCTGGAATGGTTAGTCTTCTTCATCGAAACAATGTTGTCTTCCTTGTGCTTGAAGTATTTGCTTTGCAACACCTGCACCCACAAGTCAGAGGCTTTATTCAGCATATGCCAACCGAGCTTGACCATATAAGCAAGATTCATACAACGGGCAGATTTAAGCCCCAAACCCCCTGCTCCTTAGGTAAACAAATTCTATCCCAGGACACCAGGTGTGGTTTCTTCTTCCCTACCCCAGACCCCCACACAAAGGATCTCACTTTCCTATCAATGGAATCACAGACAGACATAGGAAGGAGGGTGGTTTGCATGACGTAGTTGGGGAGAGCATTTAAGACAGACAATGCCATAGTCACTCTCCTGGCAAGGGAAAGGGTTTTTGCTTTCCAGCTAGACAACTTGTTTTCAATTCTGTCAAGAACAAACTTGTAAGTATTCTTGGTGATTCTACCATGCAAAACTGGGACACCTAAGTATCTACCAAGGTCACTAGTTTCTTGAATACCAAGTGTATCACAGACATCATTACGAGTATGGTTCTTGACGTTCCTAGAGAAGAAACCCCTAGATTTATCTTTACTGACAGCTTCCCCTGAGGCCAAACAAAAGGAATCCAAGCATTTAAGTACAACCTCAGCATGACTAATGGAAGCTTCAGCGAATAAAACCAGATCATACGCGAAGAAAAGATGTGAGAGGGCTGGCCCTCCAGGAGAAAGGGTCACAGGTTTCCAGTTCCCTAAGTTCACTTCTTCAAGGATACAGTGACTAAGTCTTTCAACACAAAGCGTAAAGAGATAGGGAGAGAGAGGACATCCCTGTCTAAGGCCACGTGAAGGTTTGAAACTCTCTGTCTCCCCTCCATTCCATAGCACTTGGAAACTAGTTGTGGTGACACACTCCATCACGAGCCTGATGAACCTGTCTGGGAGTCTGGCAGCTTTCAGTGTATCCTCGAGGAAATCCCAGTTGATCCTATCATAGGCTTTGGCGAGGTCTACTTTCAGGAGCATGGTCCCTTTCTTCCCAGACTTTTTGGACATAGTATGGATAGTTTCCTGCAAAATGATGATATTGTCAGTTATGTGTCTATTAGGGATAAAGCTTGACTGGTTGTTCTTGACAAGAGTGGGCATGAGTGGTTTTAACCAGTTAGCCAGAATCTTAGTCACAACTTTATACCCAACATTACACAAACTAATTGGTCTAAATTGGTTCATGGAAGTAGGGTTTTCTACTTTAGGTATCAAGGTCAGGAGAGTCTCATTCAGAGCCTGAATTTTACTAGGGGAGACAAAACAGGAACAAATGAATCTAGAAAAATCAGCACCAATCAAGGTCCAACACTTCTGATAAAAGATGGCTTGGAAACCATCTTTCCCAAGTGCCTTGAGGCCATTCATAGCCATAACCGTGGCTCTGACTTCCTCACAGGAAGGGGTCTGGTTCAGTTTGCTCAGAAGACTATGTAGACACCACATTTTGTCCGGTCTGATATCTATCATAGAAACATCAAACTCCACTTTCAATCGAGAAGCGTGGCACAGTAAACTTGGTTAATGAAAACAAATCAAGGAGCGATATGGGTCATGTTTAGGGATTCGTATTAAAGAATTATTCAAAGCTCGATGGTAAAGGCTAAAAGAATATCTCTACAAAGAAAAATAAAAGATCGCCACAATTATCAAACATTACAAGAAATTTCAATTTGTACAACTATCATCCTCAAATACAAGATACAAGTTGAAAGGAAACAATCTACTCCTATTCTCGTATCAAGAATCCAAGCATGGCCCATAACCGGGGAGCCCAGACCAGCAAAAGCAGCCTGCAAAATCAGAGAAAATCAGTCAAGACAGGCCCAAGCTAGAATTCAAAGTCAACAAGGTCAAGCCCATAAATCAGTACCAAGAATCAGAGCCCAGTTTGGCCCAAGTGAAAGACTGGAAGAAGCCCATTTCGAGCCCAGACGAAGACCAAATCGCAAACATCTCTAGGCCCATTTCGGCCAGCTCGGCCCGAAATCATATGCCAACCCTATCCATACCCTGACAAGTCAGAGCCGACCAAGCAAGGTGGAGCTCTCCAACACAGCCACTCAGCAACCGACTTTGCAGGTGGAGGGTTAAGATTCAGCCATAAAATTCGACCAATCAGAAGGAAGCACGCTAGTTTCAGCTTCAGTAACGGCAAATTATCATGTGACACGTGGCGGATAGTTTTGCTATTAAATGAGCTCATTGGGCTCTCTGTTGAGGGGAACGAATGGAAGAAGAAAAGACTCTACAAAAAATAGAAATATTGACATCCCAAACACTTTTTTGGTTCTGGCTCTTAGCCGAAGTTCATTGGAGATTGAAGAAGCGAATTTGAAGATTGATTCAGGAAAAGGCCATTCTTAGGCCTAGAAATTCAGGTTAGTACTAGTATCAACTTCCATCTTTCATTTTTAATCAAGTCATTGCAATCATTATAATCATCCATAAGCTTGCCTATTTATATTCAAGCAATTTACTTTACAATCCACTTTATATCCAAGCACTCTTAATATGTGCTTGTAGTGATGTCATTAAGCTTCTCCCAATTTAGCACTTGTTTACTCTTCTCATCAATTGATAGTCTCTTATAATCTTATACTATGTCGTCATATTTACTTTTAGGTTAATAGTTGATAAACACTAGATCATCATACACAACAAACAAAATCAAATCCAAATCTATGGCAACTATAAAGACATTAATATTAGATTCACAAACTCTTATCAGTTTCCAAATTAATCAAAAATCCTTTTTCTAACTAAATGACATGTAGTAGTAGTGTCATTATCCATAACCTACCCAAAATCACGAGCAGTAGCAGTTATTTACAGGTAATAGTCTACCAAATCACAAGCAGTGGCTGTGATGATTAATGATCTAGCCTATTATAAGTAAAACTAATTGTGTTTTTTTTATGAAACTGATTTGCATATTATGAGTCCAAAGCATACAAAACAACCGACTTTACCAAAAGTCGGATCTGTAAATCATTTCCTAGTTCACCAAAAATCAGCATTCTTGCCAATAAACCAGATCTCACAAATTAAGTAAAATATAGATTAATTAGTTCTAGTTAATTGCTATCCTCTAGCAAATCTATGCTCATGCAAAACCCAGATCTACCTAAAGTTGCAACCCAAATGCATATAGAAATTTTAGGAGTCCAGAACTCGAATCTGTCTAAGATCCGTCAAATCCAAAGTAATAAACCAAGCAATGTCTTCATCTTTCCGTTTAATTTATCTTAGCCAAATAATCTAAGTTAAAAAAAAGGCTCACCTACATTAATTTCGGATTAAAAACCTGTGACAAAACAAGAGTAGAGGTCAGATTTGATCAAAGGAATAATAAATCAAAAGTAAAATCACAAAACCTCACCTGTGTGACGTCGTCACACCACCGCCGGCGACCATCTACTCCCTTTTCCTCCTCATCCAAATCCGAAACCCAAAAACAAAATATAATCAGAACCCGATTTTTGAAATTGAAATAGAAAAACCTACATGCAAGGCAAGAATCTTACCTAAATCGTTTCTTTTTTTGTCAATGAGAAGTCTAATTGCGGTCGGCCTTCCTTTCCCCCTCGCATAAAACGAAAATCAAGAAAAATAATCAGAATCCCAATTATAATCCAAGAGATAGAAATTAGGAAGCATGCATGTCGTGTTTCTTACCCGGATCGATTTCCCCCTCACTTCCCGGCCAGAGTCGAGAGCGGCGGCGCATAGAGAGAGAGAGAGAGGGGTCGTCGTTCGATCTCCATGGAGGCGTCTGCTAGGATTGATTAGGATTAGGGTTTCGATTTGCAAGGATAAAGCATAAAGCGAGAGGGATTGAGAGAGAGAGGGCGGTGCTGTTTGGCATCGTTTAGGGTTTTTGGAGTCTCTTCTGAGACAAGAGTGAGAGAGAGAGGCGAAGTGTTGACGTTTTTCCCATTCTCGTTTCAGAAGAACGCGAGAGAGAGAGAGAGAGAGAGAGAGGAGAGGAGAGAGAACGGCGGCCGAATTAGTGTGATTAGGATTTCGGTCTGTTTATATACCTTTCCAATTGACTAAAATGCCCCTAGGGTTTTCAGCTTATTTCGCAGCCATGCCACCGCGTTTTTGAGCAATTACAAAAATACCCTTCCCCCTTTTGCTGCACCAAAACGAGAAATAAAAAAACATTATCCCCCCGCGAGTTTCGAACCATCGTCATCTGGGTCAAACGTGAGAGTGGTCTGGCGTTTTAGCCAGTTGGGCTGCTGGCCCTCATGCATTAATATTATCATCCCGTGTAGTTTTATTTATTTAAAATCCTTAATACGAAAGGTAGAATTGCGGATTAAGTTTATCTCGTTTCTTTTCTAATATATCAAAACTCCTCTTAATAATTGCAATTATTATATTATCTTTTTGTAATTTCATAATACCAACTTAAATTTTACTAACAATAAATTTTGATTCGAGAACCACGATCAATGGAATGTGGTAATAATTTTATATAAAATTTTCAAAGTCCGAACGAACTACGTGGACTTTGATCCCGTCTTACGGGTACGTAGGCAACCGATAAGGTTCGAGTCCAACTAACCAATTAACTTTATCTTTTACGTCAGTGGACGTATAATTAAATTACAATTAATACGATTTAATTTCTTAAATAGTCCAGTGGGACCCTAAAAATTGAAAAATTATTACTAAAAACACACCCAATTAATATAAAACTTATCAAACTTAAGTAGTACCGATTTAGGGCGTTGTGGGGGTGTTGCTTAACTTCCCCACACGTAACCGTACTCCCGAACCCAGAACTTTATTTTCGCAGACCATGCCTTGGTTTTGACACTAAGGTTAGAGCCGACCGAAGAGTGTTCGATCCACTCCAAGTAAGATCGATGGCGACTCCCAAAAATGCCGACGCGACGACATTCGGACCCCCCGGACGGGACGGTTGCGACAGACTATTGTCAAGCACAGGGAAATCAGCAGGCACACAGCAAGACAAAACATCAGAATCTTTAGAAAACAAAGTAAGGAAGTACTCCCTGGCCAAATTTTGTAGAGAGTCTTCATCAACCACCCAGTTTCCTTGGTCATCCTTGAGAGTAGTGATTTTATTCCTTCTTCTTCTGCTGAGGCAACTGTTGTGAAAGAATATGGTGTTCATGTCTCCTCTTAATACCCAGTTGGCTCTGGCTTTTTGGATCCACAGAAGTTCTTCTTCCCACAACGTGTGCTCCAAGGAAACTCTGACCTCCTGCTCTCTTGCCAGCGAGCTTCTTGAAGGCCTTCTTTCGTTGAGCATTTCCAGGGACTTCAGTTCATTCAGGAGCTGCTTCTTTCTCCTGAAGATGTTACCATACACCTCTTTATTCCACTTCTGGAGAGCTTCAGAGATACTCTGCAAAGCAGAAGGGAAATCACTGCCCCCTTCCCAACAGGATTCGAGGAAAGGAAAAAAATTATCATGGGAAAGCCAGGAAGCAAAGAATGGAAACGTCTCACCAGATTCTTCTGTTGAGGTTCCTCCGAAGTGTATGTAAGGATAGGTCTATGATCAGATTTCAGCTTCGGAAGGTGGAGAGTGGTGGTCATAGGAAACTGTTGTTGCCAGTCAATGTTGCACAGGCTACGATCCAGCCTCTCCTTAATCCTGGAGCCTTTAGTAAACCATGTGAACTTAGGGCCAGAAAACCCCAAGTCAATCAAACCACAGTCCTCAATACAGCTGTTAAAAGCTCGGCTTTGGCAAAGCAGAAACCAGCCCCCCCTTGCTTTTCCCATGAACAAGAGATGGAATTGAAGTCCCCTATGATAAGCCACGACAGGTTGTTTCTTCTTTCCATGCCTCTCATTGCCTCCCAAAGCTGCCCTCTTTCGTGTTCATTGGGGCTAGCATACACTGCTGTGAGCTGGAAACTGTCCTTGTTAGCCATGGAACACTTAAGATTCAGAAACTGTTTATGCTTATCCAGCTCTTCCATCTGCAGGTAGCTACTATTCCAAAGAACCCAAATACCACCACTAAATCCCACAGCATCAGAGACCTTCCATGTGTCATACCCCATATGTTTAATAACATTAAGGGCATCATCACCGCTTATCCTTGGTTCAACAATACACACAATGTCTGGTTTATGGTTCACAGCATAAAGCTTAAAAGTAGACAAAAACTTGGGGTCTTTGGCACCCCTACAGTTCCACGAGAAGACTTTTACCATTGGAAAATGAAAAAGAGAGCTTCCCTGGAAGACCCTGTGGTCAAGTTTAACAATTCTCAACGGCCATGGCCGTCACATCACCCCCTGCTAGCTCCATAGAGCCAGTTTCGGAGTGTTGCACATTCTCTGGTGCACTAGTGACAATCTCCAGGTCAGACTTGAAATCAAGCTTCCTAGTGATGGTTCCTCCATTATCCGGGAGTTCTTGTTGATGCTCCACTTCACTGTTCTTAGCAGGAGAGATGGTTGCTCTCATCTTAGGTTGATGGCCTGTTTTGGCATCTTTGCCAGACCCCTTGACATTCCCTGATTTGCTGGCATTGGTGTTGGTGGTAGATGTGGATCCACCTTGCTTTGCTTGGACCAAGGATCTAGGAGATTGGCTCACCACTTTCTCTGGTTGTGGCTTAACCAATTTCTGGTTAGCGGTGGAGGGTTCCCTCTTCTCTTGGACACTCGCCTTAGTTTTCTGCTTGATCATCTCAGGAGAGACTTTCTGATTATCCTTCTTCATTTGGATTTTCTGGGATGTATTTTTCTCGGTGGTTTTCTCCTTCCCCTTCATATTACCTTTCTGTTTTTCCCCCTTGAGGTTCTTCTTTTCCTCAAGTTTAGATTGACCCTTTATAGCCTCCTCATTCTGCTTGAAGACAACCTTATTCTTTTCCATAGTTGCATCCTTCTCATTGCTTTCCTTAGTCTCTCCATTAGCTTCCTCATTCTCCAGCAGCGTGAAGCGAGACCCAGTAGCATTGTTTCCCTGGTTACCATTCTCATGCTGTTGTTGTCCTTCTTTTGGCCTTGTCTTCTGTTGGGTTTTAGACCTTTTGGTACGTGTTGCGAGCATCCATGGACCGAAGTCCTCAACAATTTCCGGCCTGATTTCCTGGTTCTGTTCTTGACTACACCCTCCATTCCTCTTCTCCCCCTGATTCTCTTGGTTCATCGATTCTAAACTAGGGCATTTATCCTCGAGGTGTCCATAAAATCCACAAGAAAAACAGACGGTGTGGAGACATTCATACTCAACTCTCCGAACCCTACGTTTAAGTCTGTATTTCGACACCAAACGTTTTCGAAGATCAATTTCAACGCAAATGCGGGAGTAGTTACCTCTAAACCCATTCGCCGTGTTGTAATCGATCTTTTCAACTCTGCCCAGCTTGTTCCCAATGTCGGTGAGGATTTCCTCGTCGAAATACGCGAGGGGAAGCCGGGGAAGCCTGACCCAGGTTGAGATTTTGTCGATGGAGTCAAAATCCGGGTCAAAGTCCAGACACCATGGTTCTGACACGATGTAGTGGTCGTCAATGGTCCATGGGCCTCCATAGAGCGCTCGGTCGTGATCCAGCTGAGAGTCGAAGATCGCCTGGCAATACCCGTTTCCGATATCACCCACCTTGACTGCTCCTGTCTTAGCCCACATCTTCTGAACTCTCCTGTTGGTATAAGCAAAGGGGAAATGCTTCCCCAGAACTCTGAAGGTAATTGCTCTATTCCATCTTCTCTGGATTCTCGAGTTTGTTCTTTTCTTAATCCGAATCGTTGGACAATCTGGGTCGTCCCCTCCTTCTTCGTTGTCGGACTCATCCGACATCAGATCATCTCCTTCTGGTTCCGTTGGTTTTTCTGAGGTACCCAGGAAGGAATCCTTATAGGATATTCTCACTTTCCCTTGTTCCGAATCCACGCGGCCCTCGTTCCCTGTCTCGCTATTCTGTCGGTCTTCCCCTGTCATTTCCTCATCTTGGGCTCTTGCGGTAACGACGGCGAAATCCATCTCTCCTTGGCCGGAGAACCCCTCATTCGACGAAGCTTTTGCCTTCTTGCTAGGCTGAATTGGCGAGGTCGCCGGAGATGCGTCCGGTGGCCTGAGGTGTTCGTCCGCCTCCATCTCCCAATCTCAATCTCACAACGGTCAGAAAGAACGGGCAACAAAAGTGGAGAAAAGGAGGAGAGAGGGGAGAGCTTTTCTTTCTCCTGTTGTTTCTTTCTCTCTTTCCTTCTCTTCCTCTTCTTAAAACAATGGCGGCAGGGAGAAGAGTGGTAACCTCAGCAGGACTCAAGAGAAGAGAGGGAACCAGTAGAACACCATAGCATTTCTTGATCTCGTCCTTCTAGCCTGTCTCTAGAGGCAAGGTTGGGCTGGAGCAGACGAAGGAATGTCGAGGCAGGGAGGGAGACTCGGCGGCGTTCTCAAGCAGCCGAGTTCGTCCTTCTTGCCACCGTCGCCGGTCGTCACTTGCCGGAGGCAGGGGTGAGCTGGAGAACAGAAGAGGAGCGTGATTTTTTTATAATTTTTGCCTGTTTCATAAACGGCGACGTTTTCTTTGCAAAACAGGCTACCGCCGGTTGGAACAAAACCGGGCGGCATTTCGCTTAGAACCGGTTAAACCGAAAATTCCGACCGGTATGGTATTTATAGCAGCAAGTGCATACCGTTTCGTTTCTTGTCCGTTTTCCGATTTTACCGGTTGAACCGGCCGGTACGATCCGGTTTCCTGGACTATGCTAAAAAGTGAGTAATTATATTATTATAAAATAGATTTATCAAATTTATAAAATATTATCATAAAATAATGAAAATAAAAATCAATACATATTAATAAAAATAATTATTTTATAATAATAATAATCAAATAAATCTTAATTATAACAACAATAATAATCATGGTCGAGCTACCTCGAAACCCAACTCGTAACTAGTTCTCCTATATTTAAATTGAATATGGTCAAACTTAGTCAAACACGTTCAAATCTGTAAATTTTAACTATTTAGTTAGGTAAACTGAGTCAACTAAACTACTTTTCTCTATTTTTTCACAAACGCTTCTCATCTCTAATTTTCAATGCAAATTTGAGTCAATAAAGAGATATCGATTTGACTAGACGAACATTAACAAACTTTCTCTCGGAGTCAAACGTTCAACCCAGAACAACGTCTACAATAATGCTAGCCCACTCGAACTTGTAATTGTAATAAAAAAAATCCATAATTTTCCCCCTCCACCTCACCCCTTCCTTCCCTTGCACCCCAATTCGCGGGTAAGCCGAAATAGTAATTCTGCACCCCCGTTTTGCACCCCTTACTGTTACAAATTATCCAAACAAGTGCAAATATTTTGGAAAATGTATTTACCCCTCCCGTTTGCATCCTCCTCCCATTTGCACCTCTTCCCAAACATAGTGTTAATGTGAGGCGATATATTGACTCTGAGCTGAAAAGGGACCGCAAACGGCAAATATCAGGGTTGCTGTTCTCCGGTCTCCGGCGGTCATACCACGATGACGGCCGGTTAACAGAAAAATAACATAGTTATACATCCCAACGCAAGCTTCGCTTAATTAATAGTGTTTTACAGTAACATTAAGCTTGATAATCGCTCTGAGATTAGCCACATCCATAAACGCCGTCTCCATAATCCCATACCCTTTCACGAACCTAAAAAACCCCGTCCCCGAAACAATCCCAAATTCCCTCTCCTTCATGGAGAAAATATCCGATCCCTGGATCTCCAGCGTGCTCCCGGCGAACTCGCCGCCGGTGAAGATCACCGAAAAGACCAAGTACAGCCCCTTCCCGTCGAATTGGGAATTTATGTAAGCCCCCTGTGCCCTGCCGATCTCCTTCGACTCCGTCGTGGGCCCCTCCGTCACCGGGTCATCAACAACTGCGATTGTCCCGAATCGGAGGATGTTGAAGCTGTCGGGCGGCGCTGCGTCGGCGGTGGCTGGGTTCTGCTGGCCGGCGACGGTGATTGCTGTGGCGTCGGGGCCGGTGAAGTGGTCGTGGACGTAGACGACGAGGTTGGTGGTTTTGATGGGCGGGCCGGGTTTGGGGAAGGTGGAAGCGAGGTAGAGGACGGAGAGGGTTAGGAGGAAGAGGAAGAAATTGGTGCTGCCGGCCATGGCGGCTAGAGTTTTTAGCTGGGGTTTAGTTATGGCTTTGTGTTTAATTAGCTTTTAGTGGGAGTTTAAGGAGTGGGTGATGAATGGGGAAGAGGAAAGAATATGCTCGTTGTAGGAATCGACAAATTGTTGATGACTAATCGCGACAAAAAGGGGATTGGGGTTGAGTTGGATGATTTTCTTTTTTATTAATTTTGTGTTCCTCAATTGATTATGTGTTACTGTATTATTTTCTGATGTGATGCATCCTATTATTTATTGGATATCAATTGGAGTTTAGAGAGTGATTGCCAAATGTACAATGTTTAGAAAGAGAGTTTAGAAACATAATGATCGTACTAGTTAAGTAGTGAGCACACTTATTATCTTGCATATAAATATAGAAGATACTCATAATCCAATCTCTATTAAGCATTACTCGTAAAAGGAAAATCTCTATTAAGCACGTCATGAACTCGATATATAATACAATTATATGTGGGAGGTTTATCATGAATTTTATTAAAATCGACATAATTTGTATCGTATCGTTGTGTTTCACTTTCAACGGCTCAACAGTTTAAACCGATTTGACAATTATTGGGCAACGAAATGGGCTATGACCTACTCGAAAAGAGGCAGTTGACAAAGAGATCGTCAATTGGGCTTCAATGACTGTAGATTCTATCAATTGGGCTGTCAACAAATTAATAAGCCCAAAGAAGTGAGTCCACAGTGGCGCAATTTAATTAGACCGCAGCTGATCACCTGATCCATACGTTTCTAGAATGCACCACCCTCCGTTTCTTCCCCACAACGCCGATCGAGAAACAACATGCACTGAATGAAAAGCATTTCTCGAAACTCAATCCCCAACGGAAAGGAGGTGGGGGTTTGCATTGTGCATGTACATTTTTTGCTAATAAATGCTCGTTACATAAACAGAGTGCAAAATTCTCCAGAAACTCCACCATATATTAAGAGCCATTCAATACCGATTTTCAGATTAATTTTCCCCCCAAAAAAAAAATAAAAATTCCATCAATTATGTTAATCATCTCTACTCTTAACCTCCCAACAATCCAGAACCTGCACGCTCCTCCCCCTGCCAAAAAGAAACGAGGACGGCAAATTCCTGGGGAGAGAAGCCTCTTTTTCTCTCTTCTTTGATTCTCTTCTCCAATTCTCCATTTTTACAGAAAATCCATCCGAGAAAGAACAAAAGAAATTAAAAGGCTTCTCTCCCCGGCAGTTTCCCCTTTGGCTCGTCATTTTCCCGCCAACATTGTTTCTTGCTCTTCAGAGACATGAAATATCGCACATGTCTTCTATTCTCCGTCCTCCTGATCACGTTACTATTAAAGCCGAGCCCTGCTCTGAGCGAGGAGGCACGTCCTCCGAATCCCCCGCCGAAAGCGGAATCACTCATCATATCATGCGGCGCCACGGAGCCGGAAACCGGCGAGGACGGGCAGAGCTGGCAGCCGGACGACAAGTACCTAACCTCCACCAGCGGCGGCGAACCCAAGGCCGAGACGGCGGCGTTTCAGGACCCCGCTCTGGGCTCGGCCGTCCCCTTCATGTCGGCCCGGATTTTCGAGTCACGAGGCGGTTACGAATTCGCGGTCCCCACCGATACACGTGTCATGATCCGGTTCTACTTCTACGCCTCCACGTACGGCACCCTCGACGCGGCAGATTCCTATTTTGCCCTCACGGTCAACGACTACCAGCTCCTCAACAACTTCAGCGCGGCCATCGCGTCCGAAGCGCTGACCCAGGCCTACATAATGAAGGAATTCTCGCTTTTGCCCTCGCCTTCCGGGGTTCTCAACGTCGTCTTCACGCCGTCGGCCGGCTACAAGGGCGCGTTCGCGTTTGTTAACGGCGTCGAGGTGATTCCGATGCCCGACATTTTTGACGATAGCCCGCCGTTGGTCGGGATCGGTGACCAGACGGTGGATTTGACGACGTACGGGCTGCAGTCGATGTACAGGCTGAACGTCGGCGGGGAGGTGATCCCGCCGGCGAATGATTCGGCGGGGTTGAGGCGGACGTGGTACAATGATTTTCCGTACCTTTTCGGAGGTGCGGACGGGCGGAGCGTGTATAAAAAGGACGTCAAGTACCCGACCGTCGAAGTACCCGAACCTGTTGCGCCGCGGTCGGTCTATACCACGTCTAGATCCATGAGCGAGGATCCGATGGTGAACCAGAAGTTCAACTTGACGTGGGTGTTCCAGGTGAGTGCCACGTGTTCATTTGCTGGTTAACATAGAAATGTGTTTGAAGGAAAATGTTTTCACTTTTGGACACCCACAGTAGCTAATTCACTTCTTTTAACATTTATTCACGTAAATTCGTACTTATTTATTATGTAATGGTAATAATTATTCACGCAATCGAAATTGGAAAAAGAGATACGAACAAAGAGAAATAACCAATCTATGAAAGAATAGTAATAATTATTCACTTAATTTAGTATTTATTCAACGTACAAGCGTAATTTTGATAGTATAAACCAAACAAATAACAAATAGACGAAATCGGATCAACCCAACTTCCATAACATCATAAACATCATTAATGTTTATGACGTTATGTTTTAATATTTATGTTGAATTTTGATACCATAACGTCATAATTTTGATACCATAATGATTGTACACAATTTGGTATTGAGCACTTCTACTATGTTATAAAGTATTGGTGCTTTAATGTACAACTTAAAGTTGTACAATAACGTTAAATGTATAAGTTCAGGTTGTACCATAGAGCAATTTGTGCAATTATGTTATGGTACAACTTCACAACTTGAAGTTGTACAATCACATAAAGGTACAAGTTCAAGTTGTACTATTAAAGAATTTGTACAAAAAATATAGGTACAATCTGAAGTTGTACAATCACGTTAAAAGTACAATTTCAAGTTGTACCACAAATGCACAATAGCATTGTAAAATTCCTCTTTGGTGTTTATTAAGCATATTATTATTTATGCATGCCGTTTTAAAATCTAAAATATAACAAGATAGATGTCATTACGTATATTATGATCATAAAAATTCAAATTTAAGTTCATAAAATATGTTCAATACAAATTATTAAGAAAATATTTGAATTAGTCCTGATAAATAATCACAAAAAAATACAATAAACTAAAAAATGCGTGTCATAATCTCCCGCCAAAATTTTCCATGCATGTTTGATTAACGGTGTCTTACTATTTTCGTTCTCCTCCTAATGTTCTCTCCTTTTGGCTCCCTCGATATTCCAGGTCGATGCCAACTTCACCTACATGGTCCGCCTCCACTTCTGCGACGGCGAGATGACACGTGCCAACCAGCGCGCCTTCCACATCTACCTCAACAACCAGACCGCGCAGGAGACCGCCGACGTGATCGCGTGGACCGGCGGCAAGGGGATCCCCATCTACAAGGACTACGCCCTGTACCAAAACGACAAGAGCGGCGGTAACCTCTGGCTCGCCCTCCACCCCAACACCGCCAGCCACCCGGAGTTCGTCGACGCCATCCTCAACGGCGTGGAGGTCTTCAAGCTCAACAGCGTCAGCAAGCGGAGCTTCGCGGCCCCGAACCCGGAGCTCTCGGAGATGATGTCAAGGGTCGAGGACGCCAGGGAGGAGAGCAGTTTCGAGACCGAAGGCGGCGGCCAGGTGGTCGGCGCGATCGCCGGTGGGGCCACCGGGTTGGCTGCCGTGGTCGTCGTCTCGGCGGTCGTGCTCCACAAGAAGCGTCGTCGGACGGCGGGCAAGTCCTCTCGCCGTTCCGGCAGCTCCAACAATTGGCTCCCGCTCTATGGGAATTCCCACACGTCGAGTAAATCGACGGGGTCGAGGAGGAGCACCAATAGCAGCCACCTGTCGACCGTTGCGCAGGGTCTCTGTCGACACTTCTCCTTGCAGGTACAAGTTTTTCAGTATAGTTTTTATAATTCTGAACGGGTCTCTACTATGCAGTTTTATTTATTAATTCATCTTATTAAGTTTTGCTTTTACATAAAATTACATAGAAAATTGTCAAGTAATGTCCAGTTATATAATTCACACAAGCTAACCTCGATAAAAAACGAGAGAAAATGTCTGTTTGCCTCTCTTTTATTTCTCTAACTCTAATTAAAGTTAAACTATTGGGAGTATTGAAGTATATAAAAAAACAAAAAATGTTTTATTGAAATTATTATGGGTCTTTAGCTATTTGTATCCTCAAGTCATAGTTCAACCATGATTGATAATTTTTAATGAATATATTTCAACGAAAAAGCATATTTGATAATTGGGTAAATTGAAAGGTTGGTCACTAGAATTACTAAAAACGTTTATGTTTGGTCACTAAAAATATTTAAATCCATTCATGGTCACTCAGATTGATCAATGATTCAAGTTTGGTCACTCTCCATTAGCTTCCGTCAATCTCTGTTAACACGGTCAGTTATTTGCTGACGTGGCTAGCAGACTCACCTAGTCACCTATTTTTAACAAAATATATATATATATATATATAATTCAACCCTGCCACGTCATGTAAAAACCTAACCATTCTATCCATTAACTGGTGACCTAACCCGACCCAAATTAAAACTCAAGTTTCCATAAAATCCCTCAACGGAGAAGAGGACCGGAAGAAGCTCTTGTCGCCACCCATGTCCAATCCGTCGGTTTCCAATTCCATGTTCACCTCCCTCTCCTATTCTGCTTCCTCCGACAGAAACATCACCACCGTGGGCGACACAATCTCTGCCGCTGGCTGCCGCTTGATCTACTTTGATTCTTCCTCTATTTTCAGCCTCTCTCCTCCATCAATGGCAGCTAGAAAATCTACTCGATCTCGGGCATTGACTTCAACGAGGAGAAAGAAATAGCAGAGTCAACTGGCAAGCGATCACTCCCAATTATTTCCTCATTGTCGATTCCACTCCCCTCCCAAATCTCCTCTGCGGCGTCTTCCCTGCCAACACCCTCACCAAACTCGACTAGCGCCGGATCCCGACATAAATCACATGGTTGATTGGTTGTAATGGATACCCTTTTGTGAAAACTTAATAACAAGAACAATCTCTGTTATAAAAAAAAACTCCACACTTTTGTTCATCTTGACCTGAGTTAATAATTGCAAGCAGCAAGACGCATGAGGAGAAAACATGACCACCCACTCGGCTCACTGGCCACCACGTTTTCTCTTCTTCATCATACACGATTCCCTCTTCCTCCCTCTCTTTGGATTCAGGCATAAACTCCGCCCGACAAACACTAGCTCTGAGTTCTTGTATCTTGGACGCTTGTTAATACCCATGGGATTGGGGATGGTGGCGGTCGAATCCTGCTCCGATTGAGTCTCTAGTTCCGGGTAAGATGGATTCATCGGAGCTCTGACCTCTCTCGCCACTGAATCGTCATCTACAAAATCTGGGTGCTTATGGTTCCCCTAAAGATGACGATGAAGAGGAAGAATGTCCAACCGTCCTGGTTGTTTTCTCTGCTTGGACTTTCGGCGCAAGCATAAAAGAGGAAGAAGCCAAAGGAAAAAGGGGGAGAGAAGTTTTGTTCAACGGCAGCCAAAAGAAGAAAGGGGAGCGACAACCCTTGATTTTTGGGTTTTTTTGAGAAGCTAGAGGAAGAAGACATTAATGGCTCGAAGAGTCGATCTAGGGGTTTCTTTGGCTTGGGTAGGGGGCGATCAATAAACCATGGGTTGGGTATCTTGTGACGTGGCCGATTTTTATGATGTGGCGGGTCGGGTTTTATTTTTTTCGGGTCAAAATTAGGTGATTATATATTTCTGTTAGCCACGTCAGCAAAAAACTAACACCGTTAATGAAGTTAATGGAAGCTAACGGAGAGTGACCAAACCTGAACCATTGAACTAATCTGAGTGACCACGATTGGATTTAAATATTTTTAGTGACAAAAAATGAACGTTTTTAGTAATTCCAGTGACCAACGTTGCAATACCCTTTGATAATTTTATAAAGTACAAAATATATTTGATGTGAAAACCGAAAAATGGTACAGTGACATGTTTGATAAAATTGCATATATATCGATAACCCTAGTTTTTTCGTTATCATTTTAAAGTAAATGTGTTTTGTAGTGTGATAATTTATAGTCATTCTAGAGTAATTAATTAATATGTTACATGGTTAGTTTATCAAAAATTTCTAATAGTTTAGTATAATCAAACTGATAATTCTCCATGCCCTAACCCACAGGAAATCAAGCACGCGACAAGGAATTTCGACGAAGCGAAAGTAATCGGCGTCGGAGGGTTCGGGAAAGTGTACAAAGGCGTAATCGACGGGACGATGGAAGTCGCAATCAAGAGATCCAATCCGCAATCGGAACAAGGAGTCAACGAGTTCGAGACCGAAATCGAAATGCTATCCAAGCTGAGGCACAAACACTTGGTCTCCCTGATCGGATTCTGCGACGAGGACGACGAGATGGCGCTGGTGTACGATTTCATGGCGAACGGCACTCTGAGGGAGCATCTGTACAAAGGGAACAAACCGCCGCTGCCGTGGAAACAGAGGCTCGAGATCTGCATCGGATCCGCCAGAGGATTGCATTATCTCCACACGGGGGCGAAGTACACGATCATCCACCGCGACGTCAAGACGACGAACATCTTGTTGGACGGGAAGTGGGTCGCGAAGGTTTCGGACTTTGGGCTTTCGAAAACTGGGCCGGATCTGAACGCTCAGGCCCACGTTAGCACGGTGGTGAAGGGGAGTTTTGGGTATTTGGACCCGGAGTATTTTAGGCGGCAGCAGCTGACGGAGAAATCGGATGTGTACTCGTTTGGGGTCGTTTTGTTTGAGGTTTTGTGCGCCAGGCCGGCTTTGAACCCTAGCTTGTCGAAGGAACAGGTTAGCTTGGCGGATTGGGCGCTTCAGTGTCAGAGGAAGGGGAATTTAGAGGACATAATTGATCCGTTGTTGAAAGGAGATATTAATCCAGAGTGTTTGAAGAAATTTGCGGAGACGGCGGAGAAATGTTTGGCTGATGCTGGGGTTCATCGGCCTTCCATGGGGGATGTGTTGTGGAACCTTGAATTTGCTCTGCAATTGCAGGAGAATCCCAAGTCGGCGGCGGCGGCGGCGGCGGCGATTGGACAGAAAGGAGGAGAAATCGGTGGCGGCAACGGTGGCGGTAGGAGGAGGGGGCTGTCGACGGTGGATGAGGAGGTTAGTGTATTGACGAGTGATGACACGGACGATAGTGAAATTTTTTCGCAGATAGTGAATCCCAAAGGAAGGTAGGGGGAAATTTTTCAGTGAGAAGAATAAGAGAAGAGAATGTACATGGTCAGTCGGGTTGATCACCCATAGTCAATTAGGTTACAACTCGCAGTCACAAGGTTGGTTAGATCGATCACATGGTTAGGAATGGTAATGGATTAAATGAGTGCCCGATAATGCATATCCATTACGTTACCCAAAATAGTTAGGATTTTACATACTCATACAAAGATCTGTAGAATATCAAAATCATATTTATACTCGAATGGGTTTCAGGACGATTAACCATGAACATTAATTTCTCTTTACAATTTTAATCAACATGATAACAATGACACGTATACTAACATTCAACAAGTGAGAAACTGAGAATCAAAACAATAAATTACTAAAATATAAAGAAAGTAAAAAATAATACATCCACAAAAAATCATATATGTATAATATAAAATACATTGAGAATCATTTTTAAACAAAATACATATACATGTATATAATCGGGCGGATTCGAGTTGGATAGTAATAAAACATACCTACAATCACACATAACATTCTGGTCCATATTTTATCCATACCCGTTAAGATCTTTCGGGTTCGAATTTTACCCAACAAATTAGGTTAAATTCTGGCGTATATCCTAAGGTATAGTTATTTTTTTCCATTTCTTCTTGGTTGACTATGATAATTAAAAAAAAAAAAAAACTCGTAATGGAAAGTACCCATGAGCCGCAGCCCATGTGAGTAGGGAGGGCAAAGGGTTATGCCGTTCTTGTGGGGTCGGTTTTCATATATACCATTCCCGATCCACAATTTTAAAATGTTAATCATTCCCGTAACCAAAACTGTGCAATAATGTATTATAATGTTTTGGGAATATAGAGGAACAAAAGTGTTAAAGCAAATGAATTTGCAATATAGATATAACATATATTCAGATAGATCGGTATAAAATTATGAATACTTAAAAATTCAAAATCAAACTAAACTTATTATCTTTTTGTCGAATGCGTGGAAAATCCACCCAAAGATAATAAATATTGGGTACCTGCCTACCTGGCGAGGTATTTTTCATCTTAGCCTTCCAAAATCGAAATAGTTACTGCGGCTGCGAAAAAGAAAACAAGAAAAAAACTGCGGTGCGCGGGTACCTAAGGCCTAAGGGTTTTGGCAACTTCCAGTGCAGGTTTTAGCTCGCATTGCCGACTACCGTCACTGCTCAACAATGGTGCTAGGGTTCTAGTGGAGCCCCTTTTTTTTCCCTCTCCATCCAGTTTTGCCTCTATCTTTCTTCCTCCTGCGATAGCTCTTCCTAGTTTAAGCTCCCGATGGTGGATTTTGCCGGCGACGACGACGACTTCGGCGACCTATATGCAGATGTTGAACTTCAAGCAGCTTCCGCCATCAACTCCAGAACTAGCTCCGCCAAATTCCACTTCCCGTTGGAGCAACAATCCCTAATCCAGCAATATGATAAGGCCAATAACAGCAAAGCTGACAATGCGAGACCCATTTCAGAAGGGGAAAACGTCTCCTCCTGTCCCAATCCGTCGAAATTGGTAAGGATTTGTTATGTGTATCAGAATGATGTCTTACTGGTTTGTTTGATTTTTTTTTTTCGCTCTAGAAATTGTTGTGATGGAGGTGTTAAGGTTGAGTTCTGATACTCATGGAGCAACAAAATGGAAAACCAGAGGTGCCCAACGTTGCTTGAGATAGAATGAAAGCTATTGAAGTTCTTCTATGAGCTTCTAACAGAGGTGGGATAGACTTAGTAGTTAGTATAGACTAGTTTCGCAGTCTGACCATTCAGTGACTATATAGAAGGGGTTTCTTGCTTGCCTTCTCATTTGCATTTGCTAAGTACTCTTTTGGCTTTCAGACCACTCTGTTCTTCAGTTCCTTATTCTCGTGCTATTATGAAGCAGAATGAGTCGGTAACTGTTCCATCCCATTCTTTTAAATCAATGAGGAGGGATTCAGAGGACAGCGAGTTTTTACAAGGCAATGTGGCAAAAGTTAACAAAGTTTCTAATGTTTATGCTGCTGCCAACTCAGTTGTATCCCATGCTGGACATGGTTTCCCACTTCCAGTGTATAGGTTAGTAATTTCGACTACGTTTCTCTTTCCACACACAAGTAATTCGTTTATGTCAGCGAAGGTAGCAGGGTTCATCACCTTTATGTCAAGCATGTGTATATAGTTTAGGATCGATTTTGTGTCTAAAATGAACTATTTGGGGAAGGTTTGTGTTCGTATATTGAGGGCAAGATTTTCACTGGGTCTTTTGCTGTGCATTTCATTGTGCAATTTCGATAAAATGGAAATTTCATTTTACGTGTGTCAGGACGATTTATGATGTAAATACTGACACGTTTGGAGGGAAAAGATGGGGGTATCAGGGAGCTAATAGGTCTTTTTTACCCAATTATGGTTTCAATGAAGACAGTTGGAGACAATACTGTATGACTGTGGTAAATTCTTTCACCCTTACATTTATGGTCAGGATATGCAACATTGTGCCTTTGAGATGCCACTCAGACTCCAGTCTTTACTTTTTGCAAGATGCTAAGGCTCTAGGCTGGTCATCCAGATCGAATGAATCTCATTTTGCCTCTTGTAACTCAAGCATATAGTCACCATATTTCTTTCTGTTATACAAAGAATAACTTCTATCATTTAACTAAGATTATTCTGATCCTTTTGTGTCAATTTAAGTGTTTAGGACAGTAAGGGCTCAAGTATCTCTTGTCACCTCACCTGTAGAATCATAAGCTTTGATAGTTGGTTTGTTTGGACAAAATGCAATCTGCTTCCTTTTTTAATTTGTTAGTTATGACTTCCTTTGATGGAATGATCTATGATGAAAGTTGGAGTACTCTATTTCAACACAGGTTAGCATGCTATAATATACTGACACTTGTGACACCCTGTTGATGGTTTCAGCCAAAAGGCCGAGCAATTGAGGTGGAAGATAGTGGCGGTGAACGTTTTCCCACCATGAATCAGAAGTGCCCAGACAATTGGGATTCTGATGTGGTTATTGAGGTACTGTTTAGGACTTGTGCCCCTGTAATCCACATTTATATGTTAACCATGCTATGCTCTTTTCTTATTGCTTCATCATTTTCCAGATCAAGGTGCAGGATTTTGATGAGAATTCAAATGTCTTTAGCAAAAGGGATTTAAGCGGGAAAAGTAGTGGAGATAACGTGTCAAAAAGCTGCGTGAAGAGTGCTGATGTTGTAGCGGAGGCCAGTCATTCGGGTGCGGCCAGTGTAGATCGTGTGTCTTTGGGTTCTCCAGAAGGAACTAGGTATTCATCCTTTGTTAAGGGTTGGTTCATTTGGCTATTGTTATATTGCCTTCTACGTTTGCCAGCAAGAAGGGCTTAATTGATGTGTACAATTGTGTAAAATGCCTTGTTTCTCTTTACAAATGGGAGAAGTTAAATGATCGATATTTTGTGTTATATGTGATTAGGTCATCCCAGTCATTGTTCGAAACGAGGGAATCGTCCCAGCATCCTGATAACTGTGAAAGAGACCATATCCCTGATTCTGATGAGCATCACCCTCGTAGAACTCGAGTGAAAACAGAAGAGCTTGCTGAAGCCATTGAAAGTGAAAGAGATTCAAAGGATGGGTCGGTAAGGAGGTCGAGCAAGTCAGATCAACATCAGAGTGATAGCGACTCATTGATCGATGACAAAAGTCGCTTTAGCCTGACGTTATCTTGCTCTGAAAGTGATTCTGAACCTTCTGCAGATAGTTGTCGTGGTGTATCTAGGTGTTCATCTTTGGGAACCGAGTTACATGATACAGTTTCATCTGTCCACTGTAAAAGTAATGACTCAGAACAAGCAGATAGTGACCAAAGACGCATGGCAGATGACAGCCTCTTAAATGGTAGACGGAGGTGTGAAAACAAAGGAGGCCAAAGTGTCAAAAGTGAGCATGATTTGGATCTCCCCAAAAGGAACGATTCCTCCTACTTTAGATCCAGAGAATATTTTTCTGGAGATGGTGGTCAAAGGTGGGGTGCTAGTTATGTTGAAACTGATCATAGAAAACATCCTCTGAAGAAGTGTCATAAGAACCTTGAAGGTGAGGCCTATACCTGGGACAGAGGAAATCAAAGTGCTCGGCTCCGTGATAGAAGGATTAATGAGATGTTACAACTGAAACATAGATACAATTCACTGGATGAGGAATATGGAAGTCGCAGTCCATTTTCAGGGAGAGGAATCAATGCTTGTGAAAGAGGGCTTGGACATAGTGAAAAGGGTAGACTGAATTTGGATCATCTATGGCATGAAGAAGAAGAAATGGATAGAGAGTATTGGAAAGCCCATCACCAGGACAAGAGTAATTATAATCAGGACCCAAGCTTCAGGTCAGGATCTTATACATCCAATCAAAGTAGATGGCAGAATGGTAATATTTCTAGAAGATATAATCAGTATGGGTCAAGTGTGATGAGTAAGTATTCTAGGCCGAGGGAGGAACTTTATGATTCTGGTACTTATGGTGGCTGCTTTGGCAGTGAAGTCAAGTTTGACAGTGGTTTTGATGATCAACATCAACTTGCAAAGACAAGATATGTTTGGAGATCCAGAATTCGCCAAGGAGAAGAATCCAAGTCAAGTCACAGAGGTTTCCAATCCTACCCTGATAGATTTTCTTGTTATGGGGAAGCTCTTGGACATGAAAATATAAGTGGGTATGGGATATTAAGAGAAAGACATTCAGAAAACTTAATCAAAAGCAATCTCATGTACAAATGTGAGCGTGAGAAGATGGTTATGACGTGCGTTAATGGTCCAGTCGGCTTTGTTTCCCAGAGAGTGAAGGTAAAAGATGGGAAAACTGAGGTCTAGATGTTTGATATGACCCCTCTATGTGTTAGTGCTCTGTTTTCCCCTCATTGCATGCTATATAATTTTTTTGTTGTCTGACATCCCGCTGCATCTCACACTCCCTGCATCCATTCTCGAAGCTGTTATGGCAACACGTTTCTTTTGTATTGGATTTCAATAGGAGCATGCATGTTTCGGTGAGGTCTCGAGTTGGACTGAAACATCAAGGTCGATTTGAAAGCTCATCCTTTCTGATCTGGTTATGTCCGGTTTCTTCTTTATTTAGTTTGATTTGTTCCCTTCTGAAGCTGTTCTGGCAACACCTTTCTATTTTATTGGATTTAAATAGGAGTCCGCATGGTTTTGGTGAAGTCACCGTAACAGCATAGGTCGATTTGAAAGCGCATCCATTCTGATTTGGTCCTGTCTGGTCTATTCTTTCTTTAGTTTTAAGAGTCCGTGGAATCAAAACAAATCGAACTATATTCGGTCCAGTTTGATTATATCCAAATGTTGATTGCTCCTGGGTGAACCGATTCTCTGCCCATCCGTAGATTTCGATGCCATTACCACATGTACAAGTCTATTGTTAGCGAAACTCATTATGAATTCTTTCATGTTTATACATTTTTAAGCATTATGTTGTATTTTCCATAATCCCTCTGATGTTAAAGGGAAATGAATGGTTTGAGGACCAAGTAAAAGAATTAGTTCTTTGTCTACCTAGCTTATTGTTCATGCAATGGAGAGCCTTTTAGCTCTACTTTTATATCTTGACATCCCAATGTTTATCGTAGCAGTTTGAAATCTATGCTGCAGAAACTTGAACACCTCGATGCTGATGTTTTCTACTGACAATATTCTATGCAGCTATCTGGGAAACAGCATGCCACAGGGAAGCTAATGCCCAAGATTAAGCCAAAGAAGAAAAATCAGAAGTATTTGAACGCACCTCTTTCTGGAAAGGCAAACCGAAGGGAACAGAAGCCACAAACTGAAGGCAATGATGGTCGGGTTGCAACTACGTTTCAAGGGAAGGGGCAGAAGAACGAATCAGATATCGAAGAGGGCGAGATTGTAGCTGGAGAACCCAATACAAAGAAGGTAAAAGCACCTCAATGTGAGAAGGCTGATTCTTCTAATACCGTGACAAACAAGGCAGTGTATGATGAACAATGGATACTGGAGAGGTTGGCTAAGATGGAGAAACGAAGGGAGCGTTTCAAGGTGCCTGTTGTTGTTCCAGAGAAGGTAAGTACTACTGATCTTAATCCACCTTCTTGCTCTCAACCTCAAGCTGACTCGTCGGTTAGTACAGGCGAGACTAAGCTCGAACGACCAGCCAGGAAGAGGCGCTGGGCTGGGATTTAAGTCTTTAGTTGGCCGGTCATTATTTCATTCTTGTATGGTCCTCTGCAAGGGGAACAGTTTTGATTGTTATGTGGATAATATGATCAATTTCTCTCTGTGACTAAATAAAGTTTGAGAGAAATGATATGATGCTGTTTTTTCTGTTTGTTTCACTCCTGAGCAAGTGAAGTGTGTGTGCAGACAGCAGACTGATTTCTAGTTCTACTCCTACCACCTGGACATGAACTGATTGAATTGTGTACTTGCGTGGGCCTGATACTTTAGTCTGATTGGGCCTATTGGGCCGGAATGACTTAAGGTCCACCTAAAGCCATCTTGTGCCTAGTTGATTACTTTTCTCACCCGGTGTTCTCCCAGATAGACTGCGATTTCCAACCAGCAAGAGGGCTCCACGTCGCACTAAAAATCTGCCAAGTCGGCACACTAGCTAAGCCACTCGAAAAAATGCACGACGTGGCTGCTCCGAAGCCACCGGCATTTATGAGCGCAATCACGTAAAAGCCCCTTCACGTCCCAGGCAAAAATGGTAATGGGCGCCAAGCCTGCCGTTGTAAAAATATCGGATATTTTGGTAATTTGCTGCTCTTCTTCCTCAGAAGCGCGCCCAATTGGAACAAAACCTCCCTGTCCCATGGAAAAAAGCTTCAAACAGTTGGACAAAAAAATATTTTTAAAAAATTAAAGAGAACAGTTATAGAGAAATGGCAATGCAGCTATGTTCTCCGTCAGCTTCTTCTTCCTCCTCTTCCTGTCCATGTTCAAATCCGAGGTTTACACTCTTCAAAATATCGAGAAAGCCCCTCCGACTCCCGTCTTCGTCTGGGCGAGCTACCGCGGTCCTGATGGACCGTTCTGTCAAATCACCGGCGAGGGGAGTCCCGCTGGAGAAACGGAGCAGGAACGAATTGGAGGAGAAAAAGCCGCCTCCGGCGCCGGAGGGAGTGCTGGTGGTCCGCCGGCCGGAGATCGAGTCCGACCGTCCGGAATTCGTCGAGAAAGGCGAGGAGATAAAGAAGCCATCGGCGGCGATCGACGGTAAGCTGGAGGAATTCGCAAAGAAAATGCCGATTTTCGAGCCGGATAGACTGGATGAAAACGCAGGGGCGGGATCTGCGCAAGCGAAGCCTCTTTCAGTGAATTTGGATCTGGCTTTGTATAGGGCCAAAGTGTTGTCCAGGAGCTTCAGGTACCAGGAAGCTGAGGCAATACTCCAGCAGGTATCGATAATGGCTGCGATTAGGAATTTTGGTTTTTAGAAAAACGACTCTGGTTTTGAATTCCTGAACTGAAACCAGATGTGAATTGGTGGTTTTTTTTTAAGTGTATAAGTACATGGCCAGAGGACGGAAGAGCTTACGTTGCATTGGGTAAGATTTTGGGGAAGCAATCTAAAACAAGGGATGCTAGAGCTGTGTACGAGAAAGGCTGCCAAGCTACTCAAGGAGAAAACCCTTATGTTTGGCAGGTAATTGTTTCAGCTTAGCTTATGGCTTATGCAATTGGAAATGGAGATGAACTACAATGATCAGTTTTAATTAGGACTTTTGTGTTCATAGCTTCGTTTCTGTGTAGAATTTGTATGCGGTATAATTACCTCAAAGATAATTTCTATTTGCATGGATTGGAATTTACCAATGGCTGCATTGATGGAACAGTGCTGGGCAGTTTTGGAAAATAGGATGGGTAACATAAGGAGAGCAAGAGAGCTGTTTGACGCAGCTACAGTTGCTGACAAGAAGCACATAGCTGCCTGGCATGGTTGGGCAGTTCTAGAGCTCAAGCAGGGGAATGTAAAGAAGGCGAGGCAACTACTTGCTAGAGCCCTCAAGTTCTGCGGAGGGAATGAATATGTTTACCAAACGCTAGCTCTATTGGAAGCTCGAGCGAATCGGAGTGACCAAGCACGGTACTTGTTCAGGGAAGCAACTAAGTGCAATCCGAAGAGCTGTGCCAGTTGGCTTGTAAGTAAGATCTATAGGTTCTTTGATTTGGAATGGTAATTCTGTTTGAAGTGTAAAGCTCAACCTATGGCATATGTTGTAAGTTTAATGGTCGCCCAATTTTGTTATAGGCATGGGCGCAACTGGAGATGCAGCAGGAGAATAACCTTGTTGCAAGGCAACTGTTTGAGGTACTTGATCCTTGATTCATTATGCTAGAGTCTTAAGTGCATATCTGCCAATACAACTCGCTACTAGGCTGAGTTAGCACTAGTTCTGATGGAATTACTATCGGAATGGATCAATAGAAATGGTTGCATTGGTCAGGGCCGTGAAAGTTAGGTTTTGTATTTCAGGGGCTCGTTTCCTGGAGTTTTAGTGAAAGCGATCCACAACAAACAGTAACACTATTTCTAAGGTTTTTTTTTAGTAGGGATGGAAGTGATCAGAGTATTTCTGGATAATTACTAGTTGAAACTGAGACGAATAATGAGTTTGGTTGAACAAAGTATGGGATCTCCAGTGTCTCCTGTTTAAGTCCATATGACAGCTTTTATTAATAAAGTGGTTGGTTTTAAACTCTAATTGGAACCATTTGGACTGAAAATCTGATGGAGATGATGAACTGACTAGTAATTTAGTTGAATTACAAACTAGAGTGACAAGTTGGTTAAAAACTTAACAAGATTGGTGATCTGATGTGTTGGTAACCATGAAGTTGAGTGACTGGATTTGTAAACCACCGTAGAAACTCTCTAAGCTTTTGTTTTCCTTTCTGGTGGCGTGATATTTATTTGGTGCTTTTTTTGTTTTGCGCCTAATTTGTAGAAAGCAGTCCAGGCAAGTCCCAAGAACAGGTTTGCTTGGCAAGTGTGGGGTGTATTTGAGGCCACCATAGGCAACATAGAGAAGGCCAGGAAGCTACTAAAAATAGGACATGCACTCAACCCAAAGGATTCTGTTTTACTTCAGTCTCTTGCTTTAATCGAATACAAGCACTCGACAGCAAATCTTGCCAGAGTGTTGTTCAGAAAGGCATCACAATTGGACCCTAGGCACCAACCAGTATGGATTGTAAGTTTCTCTCTGGTGTGAACTGAAATGACATTGTTAATTTCTTCGTCTGTTGATTAGTCAATTTGATATTTACTTCGACTTACTTTCCAGGCTTGGGGATGGATGGAATGGAAAGAAGGGAATGTGTCTACTGCAAGGGAATTGTATCAAAGAGCTCTCTCAATTAGCACCACCACTGAAAGTGCTGCTCGATGCCTGCAGGTAACTAGCTAGAAGATATTTTCTCTGTTTTGAAATAGTATAGGTGGCAACTTTTCACCAACTAGTGGTCCTATCCAAATCTAATCCAATGATAACTCTGCACGCTACAGCCATAACTCGGCTTGAACTGGTTCATGTTGGTTATGAGATGAGCCAACTTGTAATGGTTCTTAACTGTTATGGCCTAAATCAAAACAAATCAAATATTTTCGTTGGATTTTAGCGTCTTTGGTCAACTCATTTGTGACCTGCAATCCCAAATGACCAAGTTAGTCATGACCCAAAACCAGTAATGATCAGTCTGTCATGATCCGGGGGTGGGAACGTCTGTTTTCTGTTTTGGAATCAAGCCAAATTGTTGTCCACCTGACTCTATGCACAACTTATAATGTTAATAAGCTGATTCTGAACCATTTGCCACTTTTTGGAGGACGTAAACATGTCCATCTGGAATAAATTCAGTACCTATTTTCACCAACTTGTGTTTGTGATCACTTAGGTACTACATTTTGACCCCGGTTGCTCTCCCATTGCAGGCTTGGGGTGTTCTTGAACAAAGAGCCGGTAACCTATCCGCAGCTCGAAGATTATTCAGATCATCACTGAACATAAACTCTCAGAGCTACGTCACTTGGATGACATGGGCAAAACTAGAGGAAGATCAAGGAAATGCTGTGCGTGCTGAAGAAATCCGCAACCTTTACTTCCAACAGGTTCAGTCATCATATATCATACCAAGAGCCAAAACAAGAACTCTTCAAATCAAATGATGCAACTAACTCTTTACCCCCTTTTCGTTTCTTACAGAGAACAGAAGTTGTGGACGATTCATCATGGGTTACCGGGTTCTTCGACATCATTGATCCAGCACTCGACAGCATAAAGAAGCTCTTGAACTTGGACCAGAACTTCTACAAGAAGGAAGCAGAAACAGGAGCCAAGGATAACAACTACAATAGCATGCTTGATGAACAAGGCAGTGTGAAACAGGATGGAATGAGTTGGCTCGATTTGGATTCGTTCATTAAAACAAGGTTGTCTCTTGATCCGGCGAAACTGGACCTCGTTCTGGATTCGTCTCCGAGTCAAGCTGTGGCCGCAGCTCGGCTGCTTAAATCGCCGAGAAGCATATGGAGACCTGAGCAAAGATCTGTCGCATTGTCGGAGCCTGGAGTTTAAAGTGCCTGTAGAAACCAATGCACTTTAACTAGTAGATACTGTGCTTGTTTTTACTTCTTAGCAAAGTACCTTCAAATTTGTACAAAAAAATGCCACGTAGGAAAAGAAATGGATCGTTTAATTGATTCAGCCAATTAATCATAATGCGTTAAGCATAAGTGCATGGGTTTTCCCCTATCCGTTGCAGCAAGCCAATGTGGTTGACTAACAGCGTTGACTTTTTGCTGATCAGCTAAAATTTTATTTAGCATAAAAGGCTTAGAAGTCCCTGGGATCAACGAACACATTCCCTATCCGTTCCCCTGACAAACTTTCATTCTGGTCCTCTTCTCCGCCGCCGCCGGCGGCGCTCCCTTCGGCTACTTTCTTCAAGTACCAGACGTCGTCGACGCACGACGAGCAGGATTCTTTCGGCACAAACTCCAGCAAAGGGTCAGACACAGCAAGCTCAGTGATGATCGCCTTGCAGCCTCTCATATTCTCGCCCAGCTTCATCACGAAGCCCCAAACGGATCTCGTTAGCTCCTGCTGCCTCTCTCCTTCTCCGTAGATACCGTAGAGGAAAAGAAACCCGCCCGGCGGCGGCGGCGGCTGTGGCGAGTCGCTTATCGGAAATCTCAGGCACGGCAGAAATCTGTCCCTCGCTCGACTGAGAGTCAATTGGAATCGCTTATTGACTCGACGATTATGACTGATGGTATTATTGGGCTCGCAGGAATTCCAAACGCTGAAGACTATCGTCGATCGGAGTCGAGTGGTATCGGTACCGCCGCGGCCGTTGAAGTAGGAAATCCATGTCCCCAGGCTCAGGTTTGCTTTCAATATGGCGTCGAAGTCGACCGGGTATATGACGTGTTTCTGGTTCCCTGATCTGAGTTTGTTCTTGTACAGAGAAATCGCCTGCTCAATTTGCAGCTTCTCGACCTTTATTTCAGGAAACGGATCGAGGAGCAGACGAGGGATTTGTTCCTTGTGATGCACGAAGATGACTAAAGAGGCGAAGTCAGCGTAGCCAAATTTGGAAGCGAAGAGATTCGTGGAGGCGAGGTTGTTCTTCAGGGTGGCGATCAGGATGTCCTCCGCGCCTTTTCCGATCAGCCATTCTTCGGCCGACTTCACCAGCTTTGTTCCAATCCCCATTCTCCTGCGTTTCAGGTTTCGTCAGCCAGGTGTTTGATTAATTGTCTCAGAGAGTAGGAAAGACAGGAAAATCGAGAAGAAAGAAGAGAAATACCGATGTATAGGAGAGACTCGAAGGCCAAGGATGCAGCCCATTCTCACATTTGCCGCTTCCAAACCAGTCTTCATAGACTTGATGCAGCATCTCACCATGCCAACAAGCTCACCATTGCCATGCAGCTCAGCGACCTGTGTTCAAACCATTAGCTAGCAAAGAGCAAGAGGTAAAAAGAAACAACCCATTTTCTGACCATTATTATGATTAAAACCCACCAGCATAACATGAACAGGATAGAGCCTAATTCTGCGCAAAGGGTCGCCCATTATGCTGCCGAATATGGAGACCCTTTCGTTATCAATGTCAGTTGATGACCCAATGTTCTCGCAGCTCATCTCCAGCTTCCCTACCATTTTAGCATCTCTCTCTTTGTTGTATTCCCTGATCAGCACCAATTCCTCAACCATTTTCAGAGTTTCTGGAAAACCCAGCAATGTCTCTATCATACTTCTTCAAAAGCTAGCTGGCACCACCTTATATTACTAGTCTCACATTCATAATTCTACATAGATTGTATTTCTCCTTTATTTATGCTTTTCCCATTTGATATGTATGCCCCTGCCAGCACGTAACTATGCTCTGGCGAGACATTGGCTATCCACCACAAAATGGGGCGGTGGTATATCTATATGTAATCATTTACTGAATCTTAATTCAGTCATCATTTCCTTCTCCAGTTGCCATGCCATGGGAGCTGCTTTTCAGGTTTCTGTACTCTTTGCTCAGGTGATGAATGAAGACAGAAGAGCAGTGCATAGAGCTACAGTGCATGTTCTATGGTGATGCTTGCATCAATGGGGAAATGGAAAACAAGTTGCAGTAACCCTTTTGTTTTGTTGTTTGAGCTGTTAGATTCTCTGCAGGTATACCTACTGACTTGATTGATCACAAAATGTGAGGTGGAGAAGACTCATCAAGGATTAGAAGGAGAAAAGCTTATGGTAAGTTACAGAACATTGAGAAGATGAGTCAATCTGACAGCAACACGAATAGTCTTGTCAATGATCATTTATGGCAGTTGAAGAAACAACACTACAACTCATTTTTTTCTTGTGTAGTCGTACTTCTCCAACCAATCCGGCCATGTTGCTGAAGACTCCTTGCGTGATTAGTCTGCTGGTGAATTGTCAGTCCTCGGATGAGAGAAAACTTACGAGATAGGAGATTGGACGATTATGATGCATGCGAGTTGTGCAGGTATTCCCACATGCAATTCTTACTATCAAATTTGAAAAATGTTTATGGTAGTATGTCCTTTTAGGGTCGTTTCATATACCAGAGGACTAAGGAGTACTGTTCAATTGTCGACCTGATTTATTAGTCTTCGATCAATGATATGCTCCTTGTCTTCTTACGTACTCTCTGCAACCAAAAGAGAATCCCACATTTCATCTGTTTTCCTTTTGACATATCCATGGGGTCCCTTCATAACTTGGGCTCATTTGAAATGGACGGGGAACTCTTTTGCAAGCAAAAGAGATGATTAGTAGTTTTGTGTCCTTGTTCAAATCAGAAGTGGGTCACGATTAACTGAGATATCGGTTTAATTCGGTTGAACCGAATTAAAAAAACCAAACAAACACATTCTTTGATACCGAATTGTTAATGGGTTTACCGATTTTGGTTAATCAAAACTGTTAACCCCAGTTGACGATTTGGTTTGTTCTTGAAGAAACAAAAACCAAATAGATTATGTAATGTATGTTTGTGTAACAGTGTAAGGAGGTTGTAGTTTTCATTTTGTTGTTGGGTTTTTCGTTTTTGACCGAAATCATAAGTGCAAAACGATACAGGATCGATATAAAAAGTCCAATAAACCTCTTATTGGTTCAGTTTCATTTTGAACCGAAAAGCCAAAACCCAATTGGCAGCCCTAGTCACGACTTATAGCCTTGTTTGCAAGGATTTCAACGAGTCAATGAGTAGTAGGGGAGAGAATACAATCTTCTTTTGATTTTGTGCTGACTTATGGTCTGTTTGTTGCTCGTGATTGAGTTACTATGGGGTCGTTTGGATGGATTATTTAGTTGTGTGGTATTTGTAGGTTGAAATAACTCATTTATTGGTTATGTAGTATTTATGTGGTATTTGAAAAAATTGAAGATTCAAGTGACTTGTTTGGCTGATTCAAATAGATGAGTTATTTGATATGTGGTATTTCATCCATGTAGGACATAGCTAACTTGATGTAATCGTTTTTGTTGCTCTTGTTAGAACCGTGTGAGTTGTTTAGTTTGTAATCATTTTTATGTAGCTTGATGTACTACTCCAATTGAAATTTGAATGGAAGTGCTTGTCTTAACTCATCCTTAAGGGTTTGATTGCATTGTTGGTTGCCTTAGCATGGATCAAGTCCAGCAAACCACTATCATATAAGCTGCCATGACCTGCAATTAACCAGAAGATCAGCAACAGCTCTCACAATTCATTTCACATGGAAATTGCTATAAAACCAGTAGTACAGAAACCGAAAGTAACCTAGAAAAACCAGGAAACCAACACCTCATAACTGGTTTTCCAATTACAATTACATTTACAACATCCTACGCTTCTAGCAGGCGATCCAAAATCGGTGAAGTGAAACAAATCATCAACACCCCATGGGGAAAAGCCATCATGAGCCATTACAAAACTAAAGAGAACCCTCTTGCTTTTCGTAACGCCACAATCAGTCTAAACGTCAGAAACCCCAGTACCCATAAGTAGGATAGCAATTTCGACCTGACCCGATTTTCCCGACCTGTTTGACCTGTTATGGGCAGAAGAATCAAAAGATTAGATGAAACGAGGAAAAAGAGGCGAGAGGAGAGGGGAGAGAAGCGAGGGGCAGACTTGGGCATAATAAACGCATAACGCGTTATTCCAAAATAACATGGGGTGGGGGTGATATTTAGAATAACGCATTTTCACGTTATTTTGAAATAACCCGGCCCGAAATCACTCATCACCCAATTAAATTGTCAAACGAGTTATTTTGGCCCAAATAATTTGTTTTGAGTTATTTGAACTAAAATAACTTATACAATTACCTTATCCAAACGACCCTAGCTTATTTGAAGTATTTTCTATTTTGATTGGATAAGTGATGATGAGTAAACTAAAAATGCATCTCTTATTAAATCATTACCAAATGGACAAAATAGAATGCTAGATCATTAGATTGTGAATCAACAAATACCTGTGTGATATAATAAATTATAATCTTAATTGAGCTCCCTATATCATTAATATTTTATATAAACTCTAAAATATAGAGTATAGGGTTAATATAATGTTTAGACCCGCTATTTGTCGTCCACATTTTTTAAAACAGGACCAATTTATCCTTGACTCATTTTTAAACCCCAATCATATGTCACTCTCCACCCCGTATCCTTCCCTACAACAGCCTTTCCCCAACAGAACACACGCCTGAAACTTTCCAGCTCCCCATCCAGTCGTCGAAAAATGTCGTTCTCGACGCTGCTACTGAAGGAGTAAAAGAAGAATTTGTCGCCGCGGTGAACAAGTCGTCTCAGAGAGAGGAGTCATCAGCCGTCTTGAAGAAGGTCAGTGTTTATATTGAATTTTTTTAGTTTCTATAAAATAGTTCGACGCCAAATTTTGTATGTAACTGTTGGTCCAACGCTGACTTTAGGCTTGCAAGAAATGGGCCGACGTCGACTTTTGGGTATGGTCTTTTTGACCGAAAGTTGGGGTAAAGCCGCTTCTAGCAGGTAAAAATACTCATCGGGCAGTATAGTGGCGAAGGGAGAGCTTGAACACTGTGGTCCCAGGACGGTTGGACCTCACTTGGCAAGAAAATAGGGAGGGGGATTGGTAGGAAGATGCCTTTTCAAAATGAGAGATTTTAAGGTTTAGGACCCCTTTGTTAGAAAAAAAAAGTTTATGATCCCTTTGTAGGTTATTGCAGAGCTTTCCACATTCAAAGGTTTAGGACCCCAGTCGATCAAAAGTCTGGCTATGCCATTGAGCACGTGTATTGGTGGAGGATGACTGAGCATGGTTTGCGAGCCGAAAACAAAAGTTTTTTTGGTGGCCTGCCCTCAGGCGTCGGATGGTCTGTACTCTGTGCGGCTCTAACGCCTGCATCGGACGACCTGTGGTGGTCAGACTAGATTCAGTTGTGTTGATATGACTTGAATTGGACTATCAGCCGCTACGACTGGTAATCGGGGGTCTCGCTGTTATGTTCTCAATGTTATTTGGGTTCGGGTTCTGGGCCTGGTCTGTAACCGTTTCCTTTGCCAGATCGGATTAGGTTTAGACCCACATGGAGAAGTACTATAAATACTTCTCATACTCCTCTGTAATCTGTAATCTCCTTGATATAGTGAAACTGGCTCTCTCTCGCCCGTGGACGTAGCTAACACACATCGTGTTAGTGAACCACGTAAATCGTGTGTCTGTGTTTTCGATTCTCGCTCTCGTATTCTTGCTTTGTCGATTCCTGCAATTTCCCGATCCGTAGCAGCGCGTTTATAACAAGTTGACCTAACCGTCGTTAGTTGTTCGTTCGGGTTGTATATTAAAATTAATATACGTCTATTTAGTAATTCAATTAAAGTACTATATTTAGTTAAATAATCTATTTAGTATTACAAATTTTAAATAACTGGTCCGACTGGTGCAATGAAACTCCATTTATTTAAATATGAATATGAATTATATTGAGATTGTAATATATATAATGCCTAACTCATTTGGTATTATGATCTCAATTCTTACGCGTATTATTAGTCTATTACAGAACATCGGCCGGACCATAGTACTTCACCTGCACGATGGTGTAGACCGGGACCGGTTTACCATTTTTTTTTTTTTAAAGGGGACCGGTTTAACAAACTTATTAAGCCAACTAGGTAGTGATATGATGGCAATTTCAACTCGCTCGGCGGGTATTACCCGACCTGACCCGCAGTAGCGTGGGACGGGGCATGGTATTTACTTCTGACCTGCACTGCCCCGCCCCTTTCTAGACTCATTTTATCTCAATTTCTTACAATATTTATACATATTTCTTCTATTTTGACTTTTCTTCAACTAGTTAGAGTCGTCTTTCAACTTGTTAGGCTCAATTATCTATTCTATTATCAATATTTTTCATTCTTAAAGTGTTTTTCCCTACGTTTTATTGTAAAAAGTAAAATTTACTTGTATTTTTGAACAAAATGTAAGAGTGGGTCTACCCGCCCTGCCCCGTACCCACGCGGATTTTACCTGCCCTGACCCGTAGTAACGTGGGGCGGGACATGGGAATTGAGGTACTCGCCCCGCCCCATTGCCATCACTACAACTAGGTTGTTTCTCTCCAATCCTCTTCAATGCCTGCATATTTGAGCTCCATTTATGATTGTGCGGAACTTTTCATGACATGGAAAAAAGTGTGGCAAAAAAGGAAACACAAGAAAGGAAGACGGTAATTTTTTACAATTTTACTTTAAATAACTCGTTTGGATGGAGTATTTGTATGAGTTATTTGGATGTAAATAATTTGTTTGCCAGCGTTTTGCTGAAATGAGTTATTTGGACAGTGAATTATTTACAAATAACTCAAAACGAGTTATTTGAAAAAACTTATACCCATGTGTTATTTCAAAATAACTCGTTTTATCACTCTGCTTTTACCAAATATCACATGTCAAATACCACATTTGCATGGTTCAACCAAACGAGATACTTTATTTCAATTACTATTAAAATAACACTGAAATACCACATGAACAAAAAATAAGTTCTTTGACTCTACAAATACCACATTAACAATTAACCCCTTCTAAACGATCTCTAAAGTTCAATGGTAACATCTTCGCTCTGCACAATTTTTCACCTGCTGGCGGCCTGGGTCGGTTAACAAAAGGTTAAAGAGGAAAGAATCTGGTGTGCGCGAAACTACAGCTACTATATCATTTGTCAGAGAAACAAAGGTAAAGATCGGAAAACTGAAATCAACAAGAATCGAGTATAGCTATAACATGATAGCATCTGGTGGCCCAAATTCGTTGATCAGTGAATCAACGGTGAATGGAAATCCACGTCAAAAGTAGTGTAACACCTGATCACAGCTCCCAGTGATACGTGTCCACGTAGAGAGAAGCACTGCCCACAGCTGCTTCTGCTCCTCCGACTGCAGCAGCAGAAGGAATATCAGTACCTTCTCTTTCCTCATGTCCACCATGGAAGTAGTTATCCTCGCCGGCGACGGAAGATCCGCCATCGATGGAGTCCAAGTTCCGCCACTTCCTTTTCCGACTCCTCCGCCTGCGCTTGATCGGCGACACTAGGAGGTCCTTCGGTGGGACCGAGACAGCGCCGCCCCCGCGGAACTTTCTGGAACTCGTAGCTCCGCTGCTGTTCTTCGCGGCGGCCGGAGCGAGGCCAACCGTCTCGACTCCGAGAACCTGGCATTCCTGCCAGTTGAGAGCCTCGAGATCTCGCTTGACTTGGTCGTTCGACGGAGAGAAATCGCCTGCCCGACCGAATAACTCGCCGCCGCCGTTGACGTAATCCTCCTCTTCCAATGTCGAGCGGTACGGCCTCACCAACTCAATCGTGCTCAGCACGTTCAACAGTTCGATCTGAGAAAAGAAGGCCGTCAATGGCGGCGTCAATGAATCAAGAATTCAGAATAGAGAGCGGCGGAAAAGTAAGGAAGAAAAAATAAACGAGAAAGAGAGATCGGAATTCGCAGAGTACATGCCTTTGGTCGTCTCCAAATCCTGCTGAATCCGTGCATAAAGATCACCTTCTCAAACAGAAGAAAGAAGAAGAAGAAGAAAAAGGTTAGAAACTAAATAGTTTTTGGCATCCGAGAAAATATTTTTGCCTCTAGAGTCTGATATTTTCTTTCTTGAGCAGTTTCTTCTAGAAAACCGAACCAGCAGCAAGGAAAGGGAAAGGCGGAAAGCGACGGGGTAAAATGGCGGAGAGAGAGAAGAGAAAATTAATTGAACCTGATTGAGCTGGTCGATACTGAAATTCGCCATGAACGGATTCTCGAGGAAACTTTCGTACTCCTCCAGCGTAAAGCTCGTCTTTCCCATTCTCTCCGCTCTTCCGCGCTCTCTCCCTCTGTGAATCTACTCAGTCTGATGTGCAGACTGCAGCAGCACGGACTCAGGTCTGTAGCACCTTTTAGGCAACCAAATTTGTCATTTCTCTTTCATATCAGAAAATTGGGCTTCCCGGCGGAGCCCAGAAAGGCCAACAATAATGGGCCTGGATTAGCTACAAGCCCAGTATGAGGTCTCTCTACTTTTGGTTTTGTTTAGATTGCCGCTACACTACAGGCGCTACTCCTTAAATGTCCGCGCCAAAACGCTAGAATACAGAGAGCGCACAATTTCGAATTCCATCTCATTTGTAAAAAAAAAAAAAAAAAAAAACTTGGTGGCCGCCGCTCCTATTCCGATTTTGACGAGTCGGAGCGATGAGTTTAGTTGCCGAGGAACGAGAGTTCGCTTGCTTTAACGGAGAGTCCGCCATGGAAGTAGACGATACAGAAGAAGGAGAAGAAGATCCGTTCCTTGCGTTCGTCGAGTACGCGAGGTCTGTCCTTTCGCCTGACGACGAAGACGGAGGCGGCGACGGCGGTAGAGATCTTGATAGTGAAGCGGAGGTGAGCCGGCCTGGTTGGAGCTGGATCGCCGCTCGGATTCTCAAGACTTGTATCGCTTACTCCAGTGGAGTGACTGCCGGTATTCTACTGTCGGAGCTCTCTCAGGTACTCGCTGATAGTTACGGTTTCTGCTCCTCCGTTCTCCATTGAAGTTCTTTCAAGTTCGATTGAGTCAAATTTCGATTAGCTGAGTCTTTCGTTTCTTTCGATTTACGGTTCTATTTGAGATTAGGCTTGGAGCGAGCAACACAGATTCGGAGCGCCGAAGAAAAGGCCGGAAATCGTGAATCAACTGAAGAAGAAACACAGGAGATCCAAGCTTCCGAACACTGTTACTATCGATTCAGTGCACGAGAAGAATTTTATCACACTCAGTAGTGTTCTCGAAGCTGTCATTGTAGATATCTTCGTCCTCCCTGGTATTTCACTGCTATCTAAAGCCTCATATCTAGAACGTCTCTTAATTTTTGTCTGTGTGTTGTTTACTTTATGATTAGACATTAGAGGCATAGTTCGAATGATTGATTTAGCTTGTGAAATTGCTTCTTCTGTTCTAGGTACGAATATCTACATGCTTACCTTGGGAGATTTCTGGAGCTCCAACACCATCGATCTATTTATGCATAGAAGGTCAGTTTGACGTTTCTTTCCTTGGAAATGGTATTACAACGTAGTCTAATCTACACTGCTGGATAGAAGTAAAATTTAATTCTAGTTTACTCCAGCTTTTGCTCATTTGTCCTGTTTGTTGGGCATTGTTGTGCCTGTTTTCTACTAGTTGTCATAGGGCCGACTTTGCTGTCTCGTTGTTAATCGAACTGTTGAAAATTTGGAACCGAATCAGGAAACACTGAGTTCGTCTAAAATAGATTGTTAAGTCAGGCCGGAATTTTGTAGGCCAGTTTGCTTGTTCTGTGCTTTCACGGAGTACATTATGAAGTCTTACTGGAGACTAGAACTATTGCTTAGAACTGGTCTCTCTATTCTGGTTTCCTTGGAGCTTTTGGTGTCTTGTCTCTACTCTTTCGAGAACTTAGTGGCCTAGCCATGATTAAATAAGTGCTGATATTGCATTTAGGTTGTCCTACAGAACACGTTTTACCATAGCACGTTGTATTTTACTTTGTGTTTTGCTTAGTAGACTATTTTGCATCTTTGGTTACTTGTAACTGTTGGTCAGTGTTACTGTCTAAAAGAAAGGGAGGGAGATTTTCCTGGCAGTTTTACATAAGCTTTTTGCTTATTTTCCTGGCAGATACTATGACTTGGTGGACCCTAGTAATGAGATCTTAAAGAAAGGGAGGGAGATTTTCCTCACTGGATGCTATCTTCGGACAGCTAGAGAAGGATCTGGTTATCCTAGACTGCTTCCAACTGAATACCTTGTGATAATATTAGATGATGCAAGTGACAGAGCTCTTTTCCCTGCTCTGCTCTTCTCTTCTAACTTCCTTGTTACTTATGCTTTGACCTTGACGATTTAAATTCAATGGTGAATATGCAGGATCAGGATGACGACGCAATGCTAATAGCAGCCCGGTTTTGTTCTGATTCTTTCTCTTCAGTTTCTCTCCAACAGGCTCAAAATGGCATTTCTTATTCTCTATATGCAAGGTGAGTTCTACATTTGTCCCCTTTACAAACATACTATATACTGCCTCAGAATGTGTTACAGTTTCAAACTTGTTGAGGTCCTTTGGAAATGTGTTCCGAGTTCAAATGTACAATTCCTTTGGATTATAGAATTCCAAAATAGATTATGTTGAGAACTGTGGTAAGTGAAGTGACGATCAATTCTAAACACCGAATGCCCTTGTCTTCTATTATGCCAGTTCTAATCACTAATCTGTTTTTGTGCAGGATTGAATCTATTGGACCACTGGAAGCGAAAGGGTCATTTTGCAATGTGCAAAGAAAGCAAGTGACTCTAGTCGACAACGAGGACAAGAGGCTCAAGTTTCTCCTGTGGGGTGAGCAGGTCCTTCTGGCCAATCTTCTGAGGTAATCTAATCTCCTGCTTTATATTGAAGATTAGGACGTCAGTATTTTCTTCTCATAACTTATTCTCGCATGCAGTGTTGGAAGCATGATTGCCCTTGATCAGCCTTTCATCACAAGCTCCAATGACATCGCAGTGGAGACTGATAGTGAGATATGTCTGGAGTATGGAAGTGCCACTCAACTCTATCTGGTGCCTTTCGTTCAGCATGAAGAGCAAGTAAGCAACTTACGGCTAGTGCAATGTGTGTGTTTGTTTGAGCTTCCCGGAAGTAAAAATTTTCATCAATTTTAGAATCGAGATGTACATTTTAGTTTTAGTAAGAGGAAAAGAAGTGTTGAGGGGATCAAATATGGTTATGAAATAAGTCGCATTAGGGGATTTTAATTTATGACTTATAAACATGACACGAACAGTAAACCTTAGTTTGGAACCGCCAAGTTGGAAATGACCTGTAACTTTCTGGTTATTTATGCGGTTATAATTATTCTAAAGATTTAGATGGGAAAATTGAATGTGTAAAATCAATTATGTTTTACTCATTTCGTTTTTCAGCTCATAAAGTCTGAGAATCCTTGGTTTTTCCTTCTGTTTCTCAGGTCTATATATCATCTTCCTCTTCACAAATCCGACATCAAGGATCAAGACTTTCCTTGACTGCCTTAACTCCCACTCCCAGAGTTTCACAAGTGTCTTTACCATGTGATTCTCTTGGCTCAATTGACTTCAGTAGTTATCCCTTCCGAGTAAGCATACTCTCCTTCAAGGCCTTATAGTCAGTATACTGCATTTTCGATATTTGAACCTGATTACATTGTCTTAAGAAAATTATCTCCCTTGTTGAAGTATCACAGTCATTCATAACCGACCTCACCGATAAAATGACTGGGTTCAGCCTCTACGGCATCGTGACAGACATTCATTGTGAAAGAAGCGCCACAAAAGTAATCTTCTATCTGGGAATCGAAGATACAAGTGGGTCAATTTTGGCGAAGCTACACTTCGTTTCATCTTGGTATATTCATTACAAATCATCTCAAGTTCTCAACATTGACAAAAATGTCAAATCTCATTTTATGGTTATTGATTGGCTCTCATCTGTTCACCTCAGGTCGCTTGGAAGGTTGAGTCCCGGCCACTCTGTCTTCATTTCTGGATTGTCCAGCAACACAAGCAAGAAAAACCGGTGAGCTTTAATGATGAACTTTCACGCACACCATAATTTCTCATTAAGTTCGACCAGTTTCTTCTCCCCATCTGTGGAATCTTTTCATATGGGAATCCGGTTAATCCAACAAGTTGGAAGTTAATAGTAAAACTGTAAGAAACCATGAAAGATACTGCTCATACATGTTTTATATTCTGGCAGCCTAGAAGTGTCATGGTTTGAGAATCAACCCGGCTCTTCCTTTATAAACCTGAGTTGTCTCCCAGCCTTACTGAACTCCTCCTGCCTTCATAAGTTATCTCGCCTCTCCGATCTTTCCACGGAGGCTAGCTGCACTTATGTACGGTTCTCATTTCTTCCTACCTTTCTGTTAGTTACCGTTTTTCTGTGCAAGCTTCTTTTTATTGAATTTTTATTTTATGTTCTTTTCCGCGCAGATATGTAGGGTGCGGCTTGATCAGGTTAGCCAATGCCACGTCAACACAGATTTCGCGCACTCTTCCTGTGGCCGTCCGGCCAAACTCACGCCTTCCGGCAACCTGGAATGCAGCTTCTGCCAGTGCAGTTGTGATTCGGAGGTGGTGCGAACCTTGTTCCTGAAGATTCCTGTTGCTGATGAAACAGCCAAGATATTTGGGTGGTGCAGCGGCCCGACCGCGGCTGAGATGCTTCAAATATCCGCTGACGAGTTCTTTGAGCTCCCCGAGGTACGCAGTAGTTCTTAATTTTCCTTAGTGAATGATTAAAGAGATTCTATTTCGTCAGAAAGAGAGGATCGATCAATCAATGCATCTTTAAAACTCGAGCGTCAACTTGAACCTGAATAGTTAACGAGATGTTAAGAGTTGGTTTTGTGAATGAATGAACTGCTACTAAAGATAGAACGAAAGAAGGAGCTAGGTAATCCACGATAAGTGAAGAAGTGAACTATTAAGGAGAATCATTGATAGAATAGGACACATCACACATGTATATAGAAGGATCCTGGAAAGGATGGAAAATGGATGGACTGCTGCTAAGGTTGTTAGTACATTGTCTTGTGAATAAAATGTTTCTGCTGGCGGGTAGGAAACCGAGATAGATCATTGAATGCCAATGTTTTCATTTGGTCGTTTCTATTGCCCATCTTTTGGTTGGACCGATTCGTAGGTTAGGAAAGCTGATACCTGTCCTGCGACTCAAGCTGCATGAATTGGCATAGACACTTTGTGTTGAATATGGATGTTTAAAAGAGATGCTGATTGAGTTCCCGATTTTGTTATCAGGACGAGCAATTTATGTATCCGTCATCTTTAGAAAACGAATGCTTTGTAGTAGCGCTGGTGAATTCCAAGCGGCCAGGCTATGGGCGGGGCCATTGCATCGATCTGGAGGATAATGCAGTTTCGTGGGAGATCACCCGAGCCCAGAATGTGAACAATGCAGGATAAAGCGGTAAAATAAGATATAACGGTTGCCAGGCGGATGAGAAAATTGGTAGTACTATTGTGAAGTAATGATTCTAATTCTGTTTCTTTTCTGCACCTGAAGGTCAAAGGAAATAGGAAGGTGATGTAGATTTTTCAGTAACTGAAGGCATCATTTGCCGAGTGAACCAGCTGGGTTCATAGGTATCCGTTGCCTGTAGTTGGCCCAGAAATCTGGTGAGAACGTTGGGGCAAGAAAAGATAGAGAAGAATGGAGAAATTCTTCGGTGGGACGGGCTCACAGGTGGAGAAGAATGTGCTCGTTTCTCCCGTTTCCCGTTTTCCGCCTTCGGGCTCGTTTAGGATCCGTCTTCTATGTAGATTCAATCCTTTTTTAATTCATTTTATAGTTTTCACTTGCCTTTTAAAACTGACTCAACTTTGTTTTAATAAACCACTTGATTTTAATGAAGTGTTTAACTTTTCATAGCAATTTCAAGCGCTGTTTGTGAAAAGAAAGATTAGGATATTTCAGTTGGAAGTAGTACTAGGGATTTTGGGTTTTTACTAAGGTTTTGTATTTTTCTTACCCTGAACCATCAAAATGAAAACCATTTCTGCAAATCGGTCTTGTACAAAGCACATACAGTCCTAGAGCATAATGGAAGATAAATAGTGAGCATCGTAACAGGAAGTAGAATTGAACCGGTAAATCCAACCAATTTCAATCCATCTTAATCACTAGTTCTATTTTTTTCAATGAAACCAAAAATTCTGCCAAAGTCAAATTTAGAACCCAGCTCAGAAAACAGCTTTACCTGCGGCCCAATATCAACAATTCTATTATCGCGCCAGACAACCAATGTTTCGCTATGGAAAATAGGAAAAAACCCTAAAACTCCCCAACCTGTTCCAAAGTAGCCAGTTAGTACAATAGGCGATCAAGCTTTTCATGCCAATGCGACAACACAGACTCACCTCAATCACTTCGTTTGCTGGTGCTACTGCCGGAGTTTTGCTCGGATAGAGCCTTGAGAACGGTAACCAGCGCCCGCAGACGATCCCGTATGTTCAACCCATACAGTGCTTCCACAAGCGACTCTTGGAACTCAAAACCACCCTCCGAAACAGGATACTGTGATTTCCATGGCAAAAAGCAAGCTGGTTACATTGTGTTATGCAATGTGTAATGTTTTCATGTTGTATCTACGCTTAATTCACAATCCTGAAATTTTCTTAGATAATTATTGTATATTAAACATAACGTAAGTGAATATGATTCTACTTTTCTAACTAGATGCTGCAATTTGATTTAATTCCACCAAATTCAATCAAATAAATCCACTGAAAATTAAATTAATCTACTTCATTTAATCGAAATCCAATGGATTGGTGAATTTATTGATTGAATTCATGGATTGTTGGAACAGTTTAATACCTATATAGTTTACATTGTACAAAATTCATACCCAAACTATGATTGTTAAATGAAAATATGAAATATATAGCTCGAACTTATACTATGGTAGCTTAAATTTTTTAATGGCATTTTAGTACCAAATTTTTTCAAAATAATGATACTAAAGTTAAATGTCACTTGAATTCTTGAATTCAAACGATTTGCCATCATTTATTCTTAACATTCATATGTTTTTATTCTTAAGTTCCTTGAAATACATATTGAATATAGCCTACACAAAGTATTGATTTATAAAGTCAATTCACTCTTGAAATTTATTAGAATATTTATCCCATTTGAAATAATTTCAAAACATTTATCAACTTCATTTCTAGATAAGAAAATATCACATCACATCATGTTTCCTAATTAATTACTTGGTATCTATTTCCCCCCCATAAATTAGTAGCCAACTAATTACTCGACGCTCTCCGAACCTACCGAAGTACCCTCTTTTTCTTTTGCAACGTTCACCAAGACACTATTCGTTCTCCTTCCTCATGAATGATGAATGAATTAGCTTAGCACGTAGTTGAAGTGTTACCTGAATTGGCTTGGGTATCTTGGTTTTGACGTACGGCCACCACCTGTCCTCAACTACCGACTTCACTAGACAGCAAGCTCGCAACCCTTCGATGCCGGCAAATCGTCCGAACCCACTGTCTTTAACGCCGCCGAACGGCAAGGACTGAAACAACGGCAATGCATCAGTCCACACTCCACAGCAATATATCAACCCATGTTCGAAATCAATGGCGTTTTAGGAGCTTATGCATAAAGTGAATAAAGAAAAGAGAATATTGCCTGGCACATGTAGGAGGATGCGAAGTCATTGACAGCGGCGATTCCAGTGTGTATCTGTGAAGCTATCTCCCTGGCCCGTCTCTGATTGCCGGAGAACACACCGCAACCGAGCCCGTATCTCGAGTCGTTCGCAAGCTTGATCGCCTCTTCGTCGGTGCTGAACTTCATGATGGGCAGGATTGGTCCAAACGCCTGCGCCAAAATATAGTCATGTATGAAACTGCATTTGACAAGTGCAGTCGAGCTGTGGAAGCAGATTTGCAGAGTTTTTTTACCCAACTGGTGAACCCGTCCTAAACCCGACCCATTTGACTCAAGTAACCAGCAAAAGCTTTCCTGACTGGCATGCTCGTGATTCATTATGACTTCGTGATAGGACCAAACCTACGGACCCTACTCATTTGCCACCTCAACGTGGGATTATATTTGGGAGGATAAATCATACCTCCTCTTGCATTATCTTCATGGTATGGTTGACATTTACGATCACCGTCGGGGGGAAGAACTGATCGACGGCACCTTCGCTAAGGTGACCGAAACTTCCTCTAGCAACGATTTCTGCTCCTTTTTCCAGAGCATCATTTACGAGGTTCTGAAGCCTCTCAGACTGCTCTTGCATGCATAAAGCTCCCATGTCGTACCTTCCGGTAAGTGGCGGACCCTTCAACAATGGTAGAAAGTAGATTTAGAGAGACGATTAAAGAATCGGAAAATGTTATGTGATATGTTTTGGGGAAATATCAAGAGATTATTACTTACGGCGGAAACAGATTTTACAATCTGGGAAACTTCGCTGACAAATGAAGCGTATACGTCTCTGTGAACGTAGAACCTCTCGGCCCCAGCACAGTTCTGTCCAGATGATTGGAGGGCGGTCCGAACAGCCACTTGTGCGACCTAGAATTGGACGAAGAGGCATGAGAAAAGAATTTACTCAAACCTTATGAAGGAGATGGAAACATAAGAGGAGGAGACTTACATGAGGCACATCAACGTCTTCACAGACAATGAATGCATCCTTTCCTCCGAGCTCAAGTGTAACTGGGACGAGATTATCGGCGGCATTTCTCATTATCTGCAATCATATGATAAATACACCAGCTGTAAGCGAAGTTGAGGCCGTGAAAGCCACAAAAGGTTGCAAAGAGGATGAAGAGGAATTATAAAAGTTATGTTAATGGCGCAAGGCCAACTAAAGCAACTAGTTAGAAATAAACTCTAAATAAGTAATTAGCTCATCACTAAAATAATTTGTAAACTCTTTCCTCGCACATTGCACTACTTGGAAGTTCTCTTTAATGCCCGATAGCACCTAATAAGCAAGTCTTCCAGGAATGTTTTACATGGTTTCTAGGATTTTCTTAGTCTGCAAATGATTTTGGAAGGTTTTCCGATCTTTCTACATTCACATCTTTGATTGTAAGGAGAGCAAGTAAGCAAACGGGACAGGACTATTCAGCTGGTGAAATGACATGTGCCTGGTAAGCGTTTTCAGCATCTACGGTTACGAATCAGCAAATAGGGAAACTTACCTTCTTTCCAACACCAGGAGATCCAACAAATATGACTTTATCAACTGAAGACACCAATGCTTCTCCTGTTTCAGCAAACCTATAGACCAGATTGAGCAAACCGCTTCTTAAACATGAATACATTACTAATAATTTAAACGAGTGGCATGAGCAGAAAGAAGTAATATACCCGGTAATTACATCAACCAGATTATCAGGAGCACCAACAGCAGCAAGAGCTGCTTGGATTATCCTGAAGTAGAAACAGCCTGACCAGCTTGCATGTTCTGAGACCTATATTTCCAAGCAAATAATCAACTGTGATTCAACAGCGAAGAAGAATAACAATAGTGTGTTTTCTAGCACAAATATAAATTGAAAGAGAAGCCGTCATGGAAATAAGAAATAACATCACCTTAATCACAATGCCATTGCCTGAAAAAACTGCTGCCAGCATTGGATTAAAGACATTGTGAAAGGGGTAGTTCCAGGAAACAATGGCACCAACAACACCGAGGGGATGGAACTCAACCCTAGCTCTTTTGTGAATCATTGATCTCCCAGTTGATCTGTGTGTTTAACAATGTCCGGACAGAAAGAAATCAGTATTTACAGCAACCTCAGGATAGGCATCTTTTAACAAATAGAAGAGGACATGGAACAGGATGTCGTTAAGAACCTGTATTCAGGCTTTAGCCAACGCTCGCCCTCTGAGAGTAGCCAAGTAATCTTCTCACAAGTGGTCATTATTTCTCCTAAAGATGCATCAACCATTGTCTTTCCAGTATCACGAGACGAAACTCTGCCCAAAATAAGATAAATTACAATCCAGACTAATATATAGACAAGCCTAAAGATAATACAATGGTAAAGCTCATAATTCATTTGAGTATACTACTAGCTGAGAACAGAAGCAGCAACATCCTGGGGTTCAAACCAACTTCTTAAATCTCATGGCAGCTTTTCTTTTAGAAACAAGACTGGAAACATGTTTCACCAATCCTACCTACCACAGCAGTCCTAGAGTTTGTTTTTGGCTTATTTCATCACTGAAGTTCTTCATAAAACTGATCACAAATAATTTACATTAAAAAGTCATGGTCAATGGAGATAAAGGTCAAACTGAGAGGATTCTTACTCGCAAATGAGCTGTTGGTGTTCGATAATGTATTTCAGAAGAATCCTCAGAAACTGGCGTCGCTGCTTGAAGCTGCTCTTTGCCCACACTGTCTGTGCCTTCTTAGCCAGAGCAACTCGTTCCTCGACCTTGAAACAGATAGCAAAGCAATCAGCTGAATTTAGAGAACCAAAACAGGAAGTTTCCAAGTCCTGATCACTCGCTCCAACCAGTCCTTTACCTCAGAAGGCGACAACGCAGGGAAGTATCCCAAGTATTTCATGGTAGCAGGTTCATAGCACTGAACTTTCTTTTCCGACTGCTGCGTCCTTCCTCTCGGCGGTATCTGAAGCATATACCACACCGCAACCATCAAAATCACTGAGTACACTAGTTAACGAACGCAAGCTTCAATCTACAGCTACCGAAAATAGCAAACTGGAATCATTAATCAAAACCGAGTAACGAGCTCATGAACGCTCGACTCCGAAAATTCCAGCCGTTCTAATCAATTTCGCTCAAGATAAAAACAAACTCTGCTTCAATCTATACCTAATGCAAATACCACAAGACAATCAAAATCAATGAGGAACGAGTTAAAGAGCGGGAAGCATCTATCTATAACTACGGCACTAGAACTTCAATCATTTTAGCTCAGTTTACTCCATGAACGAGCTAACCGTTGAATTCAAGTGCACGTACATCTACACAGAAGCACGCACTCTGGAGAATCCGGAACCAGAGATTCTCGCTAGATCTCCATCAGTTCTCCACGGAACAGTTCGAAATCGCCGCCAAGAAATGAATCTAAATCTTCTATAACTACGGCACTAAAACTTCAAAATCATTTTAGCTCAGTCTACTCCATGAACGAGATAACCGTTGAATTCAAGTCCGCGTACATCTACAGAGAAGCACGCAATCTAGAGAATCCGAAACCATAGAATCTCGCTAGATCTCTGGCAATTCTCCACGGGACAGTTCGAAATCTCCGCCGAGAAATGAATCGAAATCGTCTAAATCAGGTAAGCGCAAGTAAAGAAACTACGAAGTGCAGAACGAAGAACAGAATCCAAGGAGAACTTACGTAAATGAAGCTGTTCTCCTGCGCCTGATTCCCTTCCGTAACTGAACAGCAGAGACAAACGCCATAGCTCGAGTCAACAACACAGTAGGGTGGACTGATATACTCGCTCTTTCAAGCAGAAATTCGGAAAATGCTAGAACTCGGAACTAGGCTAATGTCGACGAATCACGAAATGTATTACCGTCGGAGACGTCGACGTCGATCGAAGGCACATTGACGGGGATGAGCATGAACAAGAAGCGACAGAGGCCGTAAGCGAGAGCTAGTACAATCAACGGCCACCAGAACGCCATTGCCAACAGTTCGCGCGCGCTAGGGTTTTGAAGGACTGAAGAACATGGAAGACGGAGATCGGAGAGAGCAGTTATGGAGGGGGGAAATGCTTTGGCGTGATGATTCCGAATGACTGGTGAGAGGTTTTTGGATTTTTATACTTTGGAATCGAGCCACACGGGAGACGGGGAGAGTGAGGGAAGAAGGGACAGAGGTGGGGGACTAGGGAATATTAAAATGAGTGACGACTGGAAGAAAGAGAGAGAGAGAGAGAGAAAAAGCGGTAAATTACAATTTGGTACGCTCCTCGAACTTGGATCGCTATTCCGCCTTTTGGTTTGGCCCCCTTGGGCTCTTGCGTGAAACCTGATAAGTTGCCGCCTTGCCTGTTACCAGCGGTGTAATCGGGTTGGTGCTTGGTTTGCTCCGTGGATTTAAAATGACGAGGGTTTTATAATTTAAAAATGAAAGGACTTATAAGAATTTGAGACATTAAGGATATGTAACAATTATTTATTTGTTGAGATGTTTTATCATTGATTTAAGAATTTGAGATTTAGAATTTAAAAGTTCAAAATTACCATATTATCTTTTTCGTAAAAAAATTCATACTATCATTTTCTATTGTTTGTCATGTTTATGATATGTACACAAAACAAGGACAATACATACTAATAAGCATAATGGTGTCACAAGGACAATAATACTAAACGGAAAAATTTTGTTTAACATTTAACGTAACATATATCAGTTACCAATTCTTTGTCCTCCTTTTCAAAAGTAACATATAGCAACATATACTAGAATACAAAAAAGAAATATAAAAAAGCTAACTCGGGTTTGCACATTAATTGAATATTTATATTCTTTATTTGTTGTTAATTCATTAATTATTTATAATGTACAATAAGTAAATGTGAAGACAAATTTGGAATTTTAAAAGTTCACGAGAGTATATCAGTAAAATTCCAATATGGATTTGTGGCATGTTATAAATCTCACATCAATATGTGGAATTCACAAATCCGTAGGGTCCACAGATTTGCGACCCTTAATATCCGTGGGCCCATGGATTTGGTGCCTAAAATTCTTACCTAATTGTAACTTTTACTAAACTTGCAGCCCGAACAAATGCAATTAATATATTAGTATTTTTTTTTTTTTTTGCATTGATAGGAGGCCAAGGCATATTAGTATATATATTACTACTACTATAGATATATAAATTTATCGTTCTTGTAGTAACTTACTAAAAAATAAATTTACAGGGATACTCAAGAAAATCTACAAATGTGTTACATTATTATATGAAGCTCTATTATATTTGTAGAAGTTTATATTGATGATTATTGGTTAATATTTTTTGTCAAGATTGTTATCTAATATGAGACTCTCATAATTAATAAGTGAGTATTCAAATTAACAAATTATTCAATCATTTGAAAAGTGAAAACTGACTTTTGTGTATGGGGAAAAGGATGCACAACTCAAATGGTTGTCAAAGTCACACTACATATGTAATCTCATCCTTCATTAACCAAACCTAATTATCAAATAAGTTTAAAAACTTATTAAACCAAATCAATTATTCAAAATAATTAAATCTAATAACTATCGATTAAAATGATTACTACAAAAACCAAATCGTTTTAACACCGATACCAACCCCCTTCAAATCGAGCCACAGACGACCTCTGCTTGCTCCCCACCACGCATCCCCGAAAAATTTCCCACGGAAAAAATCATTACATCAAAGGAAAATAAACACGCACAAGGAAAAAAGAGCACTATGCTAAAAGTTGAACAAAGTTAATTTGAGAGAGAGAAACACGAATCGTCAATCGAGCTCGAGGAACTAAAGAAGTAAGAAACAAAAAAAAAAGGAAATTAAAAGCAATGGGAGACAGCGGTAGAAGGATCGGCGTGGCAGTGGACTTCTCGCCATGCAGCGTCAAGGCTCTGAGATGGGCGATCGACAACCTCGCTCGCGACGGCGACGACCTTATCGTCGTCCACACCCGCCCCGCCGAATACCACGAATCCGGCGAGATGCTGTTCTTTGAAACCACCGGCTCCCGTAAATTAATTTCTCACATCTCCCAAAATTTAATTTCCTGCCTTTTTCTCTCTCTTTGATCTCGTCTCATTTTCGTCTCTTCCTCGGGCAGCTTTGATTCCGCTGGTCGAGGTCTCCGATCCGGCGAAGATGAGCAAGTACGGTGTCAAGCCTGATCCGGTGACTCTCGACATCCTCAACACTGCTGCCAAACAGAAGAAGGTGAGAAACTTTTCCCCCATTTCTTTACCCATGAACTGATCCGGATCCGGGTCGGGCTGGTAGCGCGATGATTTGGGGTTTTTTTGTTGGGGCAGATAATTGTGGTGATGAAGATCTACTGGGGAGATCCGAGGGAGAAGATTTGTGAAGCCATCGATCGCATTCCTCTCAGTTCCCTTATTATCGGCAATAGAGGCTTCGGCAAGCTCAAGAGGTAAGAACTGAAAAAAAAAATCTCTCCCACCTTTTCATTTCTTACATGTTCTTTCTGCCGATTTCCTTTTTACCTTTTGCGTCCGGTCTCTTGGCGAAAAAAATTATTTTATTTACCTAAATTTGAGTCATTCACGTCGTATTAAGATTGTTGATTATTCACGCAAGAAATATTATTTAGTCACGCTAACTGAAGTTTATTCATATATATTATTATTTATTCATACCGTTGTAAAATAAAAATTTAAATTTTGAAATGTATCAAAATAGATGTCATCATGCAGATTATGATCAATGCAACACATTTTTACAGATTAATTGAGAATCCAAATTTAATTCAATAAATATATACAATACAAATTATCAGGAAAAAAGTCTAAATTTCCATTTACGTGAATAACTTACACTCTTATATGAATAAGCATAATATTACGTGAATAAATTTCAAATGACGTGAATGAACACAAAAATGCGTAAATTATGTGGTGTTTTGTCTCCTACTTTTCCTTACATTTTTACTGCGTTGATTTTCTTGTGCAGGGTGATAATGGGGAGCGTGAGCAACTACGTGGTGGAGAATGGGACTTGTCCAGTCACGGTGGTGAAGGCTGGAGACCATGAATGAAGCTTGGGATGACAATTGCTAGTTTAATTGTTAGTCATTCCAAGGTTGGAACGAAGCTTGGCGTATGGATTTGTAGCTTTCTAGCTAGTAAATTAATAAGCCAGCGAGTGTATGTTTTCCCTCCTTCTTGTCCTAGTTTAATCCTTTTATTATATAAAAGGTTATTGACTTGTGTCTATGCTTTGTAAGGGAAAGAGAGAGATTGGAGTTTTGGCGGAAAATGATGTATGTGATCTTTTGAGTGATGATATTTGATGTATGTGATCTTTTGAGTGATGATATTTTTTCCCCCTCACTTGCATTACCAAGAAATCATAGAAAACATACAACAACTCAAAAACCACCCAAAAGAAACCATTGTCTAAAATAAAATAAAAAGCAACATTTGCAGGACAAAAAGAAAGGGTATTTTTAGCCACCATATGGTCACCCGATTGTTCTCCCTACCAATGTTCTCCCTACCAATGAAGCCAATGTTGAACGACTGGTACAACTATCGCTGATGCTCTATCTCCTCCAAAATCCTTCCCCCGAGCATATGACAAGAATCTCGTCGCTGAATCTTATTGAGGACATCCTCCGCATCCCCCAAGAACGTTACTTCAGTGAGGCCCCCTCAAAGAGCACCACAGAATAGCATCACGAAACGCCACCAATTCAACCAACCATGGATCTTGTAAGCCCATATAATGAAATCCTTTCATGAACATCACATTTCCACCAGCATCCACCACCACGAAACCTCCTGATGCATAAGATCCCCTTGCTACAACCCCATCCACAAAACACCGCATCCCCGAATGCACCCCCCCATCCCTTGGCGTCGCCCCCAGCTATCCCATCACCTCGGCCCCCATTCATACTACTAGACAACCATTCTCGTACCTGCTCATTATATTGTCGCAGGACCACCGTACCCTCGTACTGAACATGATCAAACAATGCCCAGTTCCTCGACTTCCAAATCCGCCACAACAAGCACACAAACCTACAGATCCTTTCATCATCATTGTCCTGCTCTATGAAGTCTCGAAAGAAAAACGCAAAATTAATCTTGGACCTGTTCTGCTGAGTAATTCCCAGCCCTGGACCCTCCCAGAGCGCCACTGCCACCCTACACTCGAGGAAAAGATGCTCTAGCGTCTCCAAAGGGGCCCAACAGACTGGACACCGTGATAGACACTCCCCGCCCTTTTGAGTGATGATCTGATCAATTTCATTTGGGTAAATACAATATATTAGTCACAATTATTAAGTAGCGGAGAATTATAACCACAACTATCAAAATATAAATTATTAACCAAACGTTAATTCTCTGTTAACAATTCCGTTAGTAATGCTAATTAAGTTTTACGATGCTGAGCTGACTCCCACGTGGTAGTCACCATATCATATTTTTTAATTTTAGTTTTATAAAATAAATTATACAATAATTATGAAAAGAAAAGAAAGAAAGGAAAAATTCCGAAAATTGAAAGAAAAAATCGGTGGTGCTCCCTCTTCTTCTTCCTCCGCCCATATCTACAAGCGCTTAGTCCTCCCTCTTTTTCTTCCTCATTTTTCCTCATCAACACTACTTCGTCTTCCCGCCCCCTCCGCCAGGGCTTAGTCCTCCCTGTCAAGAACCAGCCGCTCCCAATAACTCGAGTTGTTTGGAGAGGTTCAATTGTGGATCATATACAACAACACTAACCAGTTGGTCCCAATAACTCGAGTTGTTGGGAGAAGTTTATGCTGGATCTTATACCACACTCTAATACGCCCCCTCAAACAAAAGCCAACTCATGGGCTTGAAGTTTGCACAAGCCCACCATACCTTGTGCTTTAATCAATTGTTAATATTGAGGGTCGTGGAGATTCGAACACACGACCACTTGGCCAAACCAGCTCTGTTACCATGTCATGAACCAGTTGGTCCCAATAACTCGAGTTGTTGGGAGAAGGTTATGTTGGATCTTATACCAGACTCTAACCAGTTGATCCCAATAACTCGAGTTGTTGGGAGAGGTTCAATCGTGGATCATATACCACAACACTAACACGCCCCCTCAAACGAAAGCCACTCACAAGGGCTTGAAGTTTGCACAAGTCTGAAGACAAGAATACCATGTGCTTAACAAATGGGGGTCACCGGGAATCGAACACAAGTTCTCTCGGTCACAGAAGGCTCTGATACCATGTCAAGAACCAGTTAATCCCAATAACTCGAGTTGTTGGGAGAGGTTCAATCGTGGATCATATACCACAACACTAATTCTCCCAAACCCCCTATGCTAATAACTCCAAACCCAATTCCAAACCCAGCTTACCACTGCCTCTATCCGCCGCGCATAGGTTTCGAGGGATGCAATGTCGGCGATAGTTGCGTCCGTTACTGACGCGAACAGGGGAAGGAAGAACCCAGATCCCCAAATCATCTTTCGAATCAAGCGAGTCCACTGGGTTGAGGCTTTTGAGTCTTCTCCTCCAATGAATATCAAACCGTTGCAATCGGCTTCTGGGGATGGCTTGCGATGCATAATTGAGAAGAAGCAGCGACTATTTCTCTCTTCTCCCGCTTCAATCACCATCATTGGCGAGATTCAGTGAGAGCAGGGACCGCGAGGTTCAAGTTCAACCATGGTTGCTGGGGCTGCGAAAAGGGGAGGATCCAGAGAGGGTCAGAGCTTGAAGATGTGGATATGGAAAGTCGATATGGATTCGGAGCTTGAGGGTGAGAGCTTGGGTGCAGATTGATACGCAGCTGGTCTCGGTCCATGTTGGGACTTGGCGGCGGTGGAGGAATCAGAAGAAGAGATTGGAAGAAGAGGTCTCTAGTGGCTAAGGAGGGTCTTCATGGTTCGAGTTGAGAACGATGAAGGATTTTTTCCCCTTTCGTGGCTTTGCAGAGGAAGAAGAGGAAGGGGAGAAGAAGATGAGGGGAAAGCATGGAAGAAGAACGACGACCCTCCAATTTAGGTTTTGTTTTTTTTTATTTTAAAATTATTAATCAAAAGTCATATGGAAAGTGATGTGGCCGTTGACGTGGAAGTCTCCGTTACAAAACTAATGACACTAACATATTGTTAATCATATTTTGATTTGCTACAATAATTGTCACTAAAAATTTGTATTTTAATAATTGTGGTTATAATTTCGTGATGCTTAATAGTTTAGAATTTTAGCTAATATATTATATTTACCCATTTATTTTAACTCTCTGAGTTGCTCATAATATGTATAGTCTCGTTTTTCTGATGGGTAGTTTATTAGTTTACTAGAGTCCACATAGCCCATAGTAAAGCTCAATCGATCCAATCAAATCGAATGAAAAATACTCCTACTACGAAGAAGCTCATATCGTGTTGGACAGTTTAAAAGGGAGGGAGAAACCTTTTAGAGGTGCCGCCAAATAATAAAGGTGTTTATGTTGATCTATGTAATTGGCTTGCAATTTGATATTTTTTTTTACAATGAAACATCTTCTATTATACCAAACCAGACCAGCAGAAACAAAAGGTTACAACAAGGGCGAAATCAAATTTGCAATGACAATCCAATCCTGTGGTAAGAGATCAAGTCGAGCATTCCTAGCGACCCAATCTGCAAGAGAATTAAATCGCCGAGGAACGAAGGACAACTTGATCCAAGGAGCCCCCTGAAGAAGAGACACAATCCGGGACAGGGTCGCACGACATTGCCAAGGCCAAACGCAGGGGTCTTGAATAAAAGCCACAATCAAACGTTGGCAGTCGCTTTTGATACACGTCAGACATGACTCTTGGGCCGCCAACACCACAACACCCAGAATAGCAAATGCTTCTGCCTGAATCGGGTAGGAACAATAGAATCTCTCAGCCTTGCCGTCAATAACCTGATCATGGGCATAAGCAATGGTAATCCCACAAGCCGCCAACTGAGACTCCGAAACAAAGGAGCCGTCACAGTGCACAATTCGTTCAAAAGGGCCAGGCGGTGGTGAGGGGTTTCGACGGGATCCCCTAGGCTGTGAATGACAACTAGCTGATCTCAGGATCGAGGACAGTGAGGTTGTCTCTCAAGCTTCGTTGATGTTCATGAATTCACGATTAACTAAAGTCGTCGTGATGGCTGGGGAAATAGCCCTGCTCTCAAAGATGAAACCATTTCGAGCCTTCCAAATACTCCATAAACAGCAGACAAGGCGGGCAATCTGCTCATCCGACATTTGATCATCGAGGCTAAAGAACCACTATGCAAAGGACATATCAGGATCAAGAAAGGTTGTCAGTAATCCACAGAGTAACCATGTGTTATGAGCATGCTGACAATGAAAAAAACAATGGAGAACAGTCTCATCCTGATAATTGCATAAAGGGCAGGTGGAGGCTGGAGCACACTCGCGCGAGAAAAGGCGTGCTTGAGTTGCAAGAGCATTTTTCGAGCTTTTCCAAATGAAGAACCGGAGCTTGGGAGGAAGTGAAAGTGACCATAGCCACCTCCAATCCTGTCCTGTCTATTGGGTCGAGCTCCATCATCATTGACAAGATGAATACTTCTGTCCCTCGCTTCTCGAAAGGCTCTATAGGCTGATCTCATGGTGTAGGAGCCTGAATCGGTGTACCTCCATATCCACTTATCCTCCGCCTCCGGGGGACCAATTGGAACTCTCATAATAGCCTGAGCCACCTCTTCAATGACCTCTGCTCGAATAACAATTTGAATCCCATTGGGACCATGATACACACACTTTCAGCAATTAAATTAAAATATAATGCAATTGTTTGAAATTTAATTGATATAGTTTAGTGCGCAGTCAATCACATACTATATATATAATCGATAAATTTCATATTACACTTATTCGAGTGAGTAGTGGGTGGGTTGAGAATCACCGAAATAACCAACAACCCACTTTTCCTTGACAAAATTATATTAGATATTGAAATGCAAATTACAAACAATTAGTTGTATCATAGTCACAACAAACATTACATTTCTCACAAGTGCTTGCGAACCTCTGTCAAAGAATTGAAATTTACATGCGTGAGGAGCCATGGTCTCTAAAGATATGTGAATAGTGACTATCTTTTCTCCGTCAAAAGTATTTCATTAACATACCGTTTGGTATAATTGAATTCTATAAGTTTTGAGAAATTCATTTTGAAATGAAACATTTTTATGTTTGGTATTTAAAAGAATTCATTTTCAATTCTAAATTTTGAATTCTATAAAATTGGTACTAGTTATGGCAATTCTGAGGAATTGAGATGAAATTTCTAAATGAATTCCACAACTATTTACTAATTATAATAAAATGATATAATTATCCTCTTTATTAACTAAATTACTTATATATATGGTATACCAAACACTAGAATACATTTGACAATGAATTCTACACGATAATTCATTATATTTCTAAAGATTTGAATATGACATATCAAACACAAGATTTCATTTGACAATGAATTCACCAAGGTAATTCATTTTACAATGAAATGAATTCTTGATTTATTTGATACCAAACGGTGTGTAAAAGTGTTCAATTGAAATTTTGTATGATTAATAGTTAACCTTGCACATTACAAGTACCGGAAAAATCCACAGGAGGCAAAACGAGAGATATTTTAATTGCTATAATCCTCCTATTTGCAATGAAATTATTATAAATGTTAGTCAAACCATCTAATGACTAGTAGGATAATCGCTTTGCGGTTTAAATCGCAACTCAACTGCACCGATCCACCACCCATCCAATTCAATTTGAAAAAGAATATGAATGGATGACAAATTACAATGATATCAGCTCATTACTTAAAGATAAATGAATTTAAAATCAAAATCCATCCAATCCAACCCCGTAAATATACTAGGTACTTCCCTTTCCTAAAAATTTAACAAATTACATTTCCATTGGGCTTTATCCTCTTCATTAAACATTTTTTTTTCTTACAGTCTTTTCATTAAACAATAGAAGTATTTAACAGTACATGTTACACATTGAAATTGATGAATTTTGAGTTTATTAGTTACTTGAACAAGGCAATCCGAACTTGCCAAACATTATTTTGCGGGAAAGAAGAAGTCGAAATGGCAGCGAGCGAGAGAGGGAGCGCTTTTGGACGGGGGAAAGGAAGAATGGAGCAGATAAGAAAGAGGCGTTGGAGCAGCAGGTTGGGTTTCCGTTCCCAAAACACAGTGTATTCCAAACATGGCAAAACTCCATCGATATCCCTCCTAACCCTTCTCCAAGTTTCCGCTCTCAGAATTCCTCTCACCCATCTTCCCAAAATCCAGCTAACGGAACCGGCGAGCGAAAATCTCTCTCTCGCGCCTTCGCCCTCGCCCTCGCCCTCGTCACTCTCACAAGTCACAAGGTTCTCACTTTCTCATGCTCTCTCTCTCTCTCGTTTTGGGTCACAAAGCGTCCGTTCTAGGGTTTCTGGCGACCTCGACTTTCATTCGCATGGCGATTTTGAGTCTAGGAATCCTGCTCGACAACGTACATTTTCCCACTGCTGAATCTATCAGTCTTCATCCTTATTTTGGTCCCCCGGTTGCGTTGTTTCGGCAGAATCAGTTCGCTGTGCCATGTAATTTAGGTTTTCTGTTTGATAACGTATAATTTCCCGCTGCTGAATCTGTCATTCTGCATCCTTATTTTGTTCACCCGGTTGCGTTGTTTCTGCAGAATCAGTTCGCTGTGCCATGTAATTTAGCTTTTCTGTTTGATAGCGTTTCTTCATTCACTTTGTGGCAGTGATTCCCCAGCTCTTTGACTAGTGAATGCTTGAGCTCGTTCTTATTGTGCTTCACTTGTGCTTGAAAGGGCAGGGTTCCAGCGTTTAAAGGAAGTTGGATTAAATGGGGAGCCCTCCAGGGAATGGGATCGCCATTGCTGACCTTGGCTTCGTAGCAAGGAAGAAGAGGAGTTGTGGAACTCGTCGGCCTTGTTCTGAGCCGCAGAGAGCCCTAGGAACGTATGGGTTCTTTCCACCGTCCACTTCTACTCAGAATTTAGGCGCTGGTTATGGCGAGGAGAGTTCGGGTTTGAGCCAAAATACGGCTGGTGAGAAGAATGGTTTAAAGAAGCTCAAGCTGAAAGTTGGTGGTGTTACTCGTACCATACACACTAGCCATGCAGCTGGACATGGCAGTGGCGTTGGTGGGTCTTATGCATCTAAGCATACAGAAAAACAGTCTTTTCAGGTACGCGAAATGGAACTAATGAAAAAGCATTTGTCATGATGATGATGTTAGTGATCTTTAATGCGGTTTGAATTTGGCTGTTTTATTGGATGTGTTCAGAAATCTAATTTTGGAAAGCAGAAAGTCTTAAAAGGAAAGGAATCCAATGAGAATGAGTGTGAACCGACTCGTAAGAGTAAACGAGTTCCTAAGCGACGTAAGCTAGATCTCGGATTTGACGAAGATGCTGATTTTATGGATGAGGAGATCCGTTATCTAGGAAGGATCAATGCCACAAGGGTTTCTGCTGATTGTGAAGACTACAAGAGTGTTGGAACCGGAGCAGGAATTTTGGAAGTTACAGACATCGGGGGAGGGAAGAGGTCTGAAAAGCTTGTGGAAGATGATGACTATATGGAAGAAGGAGCAGAAGAACTGGTATTGAATGATGAACCTGAATGTAAGATGAACAAGTCAGGTTTTGCAGAAGGAAAAAATGACAGAGTTCATGTGGTGAAACAAGATGTTTCATTGAGATCTGGTTCGGCATTCGTTGAATTCCCAGATGGTTTGCCAGATGCTCCAAAAAGTGAGTTGTGCCTGTCTTTACTTTCCTTGAGAAGGAAAGTTGCTTTCTTGTCATTCTGAAATTTATTCTCCGATTGTTAGAATCAAAGGCCAACTTCCCTGATGTGGAGAAGCAGTTGAAGAAAGCTGAGGCTGCGCAGAAGCGTAAATTGCACGCGGAGAAGCTTGCCAAGGAGGCTGAGGTTTGCCTCTTCTAGTTGCATTGATCCTGATTTCCAGTTAAATTATCATGCTAAGTTTCTTATGTTTGCGTAGGCTGAGGCTATCAGGAAGATTTTAGGCCAGGATTCTGCAAGGAAGAAGAAGGAAGAAAAGATGAAGAAACAGAGGGATGACATAGCTCAGGTGCTCCATAAATCCACGAGCAGCTCTTGGTTTTGATTTTACCTTGTGGCTCTTAGTCTTATCAAGCTAAAGTTGTGCTTGACTTTCAGGGAAAGGCTAGCAAAAGTGATGAACTCGGAGCAAATACAATTAGATGTGTTATTGGTCCAGCAGGCACTACAGTCACTTTCTCTAATGACGTGGGTTTGCCTCAGATACTTAGATCAACCCCTCGCAGGTATAGAAGAAAGGCTTTTTATTCTCTCTTTATGTCATTTGACTGCTGCGTGTCATGGTTTAATGTCTACTTGTGTTCTTGAACCGCAGCTATCCTCCACCTAGAGAGAAATGTGCAGGTCCGAATTGCACGAATGCTTACAAGTATCGAGATTCTAAGTCGAAGCTTCCCTTGTGTAGTCTTCATTGTTACAAGGCAATACAAGAGAAGGTGCAGCCTCTACCAACTTGTTGATATAATAATAATTTTAATCTTAACAAGTTAGCTTAGCATTAAGTTGGATGATTGAGATGGTTGGAAGCAGGAGGTTGATGTAAAATTAGTTAACCTGGTGTAGAGCTACCAGTCGAGCTCGAGATGGACGAGTTTTTGTGATGGTGTGAAGACCATGGAGTCCCAAAACCGAAGTGGAGCTTGCAATCTAACCAAAGGAAGAAATTATTGGCATTAGGCCGTATGATCTTTTCCTGACTAAGCAGGTCAATTTTTTTGATGGCTATGATTATCTGCCAAGACTTTGTACTTGAACGATGTAAATTTGCTTGAATGACTTCCATCTGATCGAGCTAACTAAACCGCCTTCCCTGCTTTTGATTAAGTTTCTATGGAGAAATTGGGACTCCTTGTGGTGTCTGGATTTGCAGGTTTGCTGCCTTAGGGGTCGTTTGTAAGTTACGATTTTAAATGAATGATTCTTTGAATTCATGTATTCCGAAGAATTCTTCATTTTTTTCCAAAACTTTATTCGATACTGCATTTAAGATGGACCATCAAATCTCATATCACCCAAATTCACTCATTTGAAATCTCATTAAAAATGTGAGATTTTTTCTTTGAGATTGTGGGTTTTAATTTGTTCAACCGCAAAAAAACGATTTTTTTTTCTTTAAATTTTTTGAATAGCTACAATACAAACAAACAAGACATTCTTTCAATTATCTAATTTATATAATCTTTATATTTACAATACATGTATTTACACATATTTGAAAATCTTAAACTTCCAAACGAACTTGGCCCGCTCTGTTGTAATTGCGACATCTTTTTTTTTTAAATGACCCATGGTTCCAAATCCACTTTTAGTCTTTAACGAGCTCTCTGATAGGGGTGGGATTCGGTCGGTAAATAATTTACCGTTTACCGAATTTACCGGTTGTGGTATACCGAAGTTGGCCAAACTGATTACCGATTACCGATTACCGATTACCGATACCGGTTTGTAACCGGTTTACCGATTACCGAATTACCGGTAAACGGTTACAAACCGGTATTGCCGAAATACCGTGAGAAGCGATTTCGGGCGGTTTTTCGGTCGGTTTACCGAACCGAATATCTGAAAGTGGGGTGATGTAATATTTTGATTTTCTTGAATTTTTTTCATCATTTTTGTAATTAATAATTTATTATTAACTCTTATTTACAATATTTTGAGGCCTATACTTACATTCATGTATGTAATATTTTATATTTTTGGGGGTAAAGCAACAAAACGCAGCATAGCACTAGGGAGTAGGGAGGTGGGATTCAGTATCGGTGATACCGATTTACCGTCGGTATTTACCGATACCGTGTCCGGTAAACCGACTCCCCCAACTTCCCGCTCGGCTGCCGATACCGCCGGTAACCGTTTACCGCCAGTTACCGGTTCGGTAAAACGATAAATCATTTACCGGATTACCACCCCTATTCTCTGATACAATTGTTCGCAGTTTTCGAACAGTAAACACTAAGACACTGTAAATGCCTTAATGACACGATTTGTCCAACCGGCTCATGCCTCGTTATTTTATGCGTCGATCGACGTGTCAAGTCCACCTGCACAGCAGTCGTCGCTAAAAAGAGGCGGGGAAGGGCGGGCGAGAAAGAGAATATAATAAACAAATATAAAACCGATTTTTTAATATCCACCACCACCACCAGTGTCCTACCCGCCATTAGCTGTGCCTCTTTCCCCTTCTTTCCGTCCCCCCGTCCCCGTCTAAATACCTCTTGGTCGGTCGTTAACTGTAACAAGCCGAATAGAAGCTCGAAGCTCCAAGAATTTGTAAGACTACGATTCAGACGGTAATTTATATTCCGCCGGCGGCGGGTGATTGATTGTCGAGATCAGAGATCTATACCTATTTATCAATTCCGGGGATCCTTGGTTGGCAGTTGAGATCTTCTCAATTCAATCGAATGGCGGAGGACAAGTACAATCTGAAGAACCCAGCCGTGAAGCGGATCCTGCAAGAGGTGAAGGAGATGCAATCGAATCCGTCTGACGATTTCATGAGCCTTCCTCTCGAGGTTGGTCTTCACTCAATTTCTCTTCCCCTCGACTCGCCAATTTCTTCTGCGTAAATTCGATCTAATTCCAATTGGGTTTCTAGCCTTCAATATAGGTGTTTTTTTCGAATTCGATATGGGATGGTTCTAGTGCGGGTTTTGTGGATTTGTGAAGTTTGGTACGATTATATTTGTTCGAATTGGATAATTGTGAAATTGGGGATTTTGGTAGAGAGAGAGGAAATTTTGTGGTCCAAATCGATGATTGATGAAATTACAGAGGTAATCTAGTTTAGTGGATTGAGGAATTAGTGCCTTTGGGCGGGACATGTAGAGAGAAATCAGATGGGCAATCAAAGTGTGGCTTTTATGCATATGTTTCTGCTCTCATGTTAGGGCGTGTATGTTCTGTGCCTTCAGGAGAATATATTCGAGTGGCAATTCGCCATCAGGGGTCCTTGTGATACCGAGTTTGAAGGCGGGATTTACCATGGGAGAATCCAGTTACCCGCGGAATACCCCTTCAAGCCACCTTCATTTATGCTTTTGACTGTAAGTCTCCTAGGGTTTTGAGACTTTTAGTTGAGAGGTTGTATAATTTCTTGGCTCCAGCTTGCTGTATGCTAAAACTGCTTTTGTTTTTATCCCTTTGTTCAGCCAAATGGTCGATTTGAGACTCAAACGAAGATATGTTTAAGCATATCGAATCACCATCCAGAGCATTGGCAACCGTCATGGAGTGGTAAGTTTTTATCGCATTTGTCAACTGGTTTCTCAGTAACTTTTCTGTACCCCAGATAGAGAAATGGTGAATTACTAAAGGATGTCATTCATGCATTTTTTGGTGAATCAATTTCTTAACTGGGCATCTAGAGGTTGCCATTGTTTTTCAAATGGGCTCTGATTTCTTGAGATGTTTATCAAAAGTGACGATCTTATGCTCTGATTAGCTCATGGTAGTGGCTAGCTTCTTGTGTTATTAATGGTTTTGTTCACTACCAGTGAGGACAGCTCTAGTAGCTCTTATTGCATTCATGCCAACCAACCCAAATGGTGCATTGGGATCGCTAGATTACAAGAAGGATGAGAGGCGTGCGCTAGCTAGCAAATCTCGTGAAGTAGCACCAAGATTCGGTACTCCTGAGCGTCAGAATCTCATTGACGAGGTTTCTTTCTCTCCTAGTTCTTGCTCTCTCTCCCTCCAATTTATGCCATCTAGGTGTAGTGGGTTTGCAAAGATTTGGTTCAAATCCGACAATATTAAAATGTGGATGGGAATCAGAGTGGGATGAATGCACTTCGATTTAGTTTTGATTCTCAAGGGCTAATATGTTCTTTTTTTAATAATTCGATTTCATGATTGTCTAAAAAAACAAAGAAATCTAGAACCAAAGAGCAACTGGACTGGACTGAGCCAATTCCGATTGAAAGATCCTTTTGTATTTCCTTTATTTTCGGATCCTACCGGATTACGCTCTGGCTTTCTTATGAACTCTGTGCTAACTTGAGCTTCTGATGGTGAAACAGATTCATGAATATATGCTAAGCAAAGCACCACCGGTCCCTCAGCCAGACGTCTTACAGTCTTCAGAAGAACATCCAACAAATACAGAGGACGAAGCACCTAAAGAGACTGCTGCTGCTGCTGAAGAACTTGCCAACGCCGGTCCTAGTGAAACCCAGGTCACGGCAGAAAGGATTGTGGAAGAAGTACCCGAGGCTCTTGTTCCCATTGATAATCCTCCTGTTCAAGCCGTAATAAGGGCAGCGACTCTGGAAGTGCCTCCGGCAAGAAGGCCGAGCGATCAAATTCGGCATAGAGCGGCAGTCCAAAGCCCTGCTGCTGGTGCTGACGATAGGCTCTTCACATGGGCTGCTGTGGGGCTCACCATCGCCATAGTGGTTCTGCTACTGAAGAAGTTCTTGAAGTCTAATGGGCACAGTCCAGTTTTCATGGACGGGTCCTAGATTGTCTCGGAGTGGTGGTGATGGTAAGGGATGGCAACACATGGAAAAGAGGGAAGTAAATCTCTTCTTTTGCCTTATCTTGATTTGCGACAAAATTTGTAATGTAGTTTTATCATCCGCTTAAGATATTCATCATTTCCCGTGTCTGTAATTAATAAAAATGTAGATGAATGAACTTAATTCCTAAATTGGGGTTGTTTTATGTCTTTGTTGTATAACCAATTGGTTTTGATTTGGACAGTCTTTGCCCTAAGGCTCCTGACCTCTGAGTATCTGCTGGACATGGAATTCCTTCCTGATCTATTATTTTTATTCAAAAAATAGATGCATAATATTTCAGTTTTCATTCACAATAAAGTGAAGCGATAGATCTACGTGATGAATGCAATTACCAATCTATACACGGCCTGATCTATGAGATTAATGCAATTTTCTGAAGTTTATACCTTGCATATGCCACCAGAAGAAAGAGCCCATTCTACCATAAAAAATAAGAAAGAGCCTTGTTTGTGCAATTGGTCGCAGTTATCAGGGGTTTTAACCTCACATTATTAATAACACAGAGTTGGAGTGTTTCTATAGCGTCAGTATATTTTAATTATTTCGATGGAAAAATAATTTAAAATGTTCATTGTTTGGTAATTGAAGGATAATATTTAGTGAAAAAATTATTTATAAGGGTATTTGATATAATAAATGAAAAGTATGAAATGATAGAGTATGAAGATCCGGGAAGGCCAGGTCGACGATGTTCTGGGTGGCACGATCTTGGAGGAGATTAGAAATTTGAGAGATTCGTTCCAGGTATTTAACATCCGTCTTCAAACCACATCCAATTGTCTTTTCAACCATCACTCACATGAAAAACATGATAATTATGATCTACAAATTAATATGTACTTTTCGAAAAAGAAAATTTTAGATAACTTCCATCGCATTTTATACCATTAAAATATTCTTCCCACACTGCATTATAATTTTTTATAATAATAATAATATAGTATAAAAAGATAAAGGATACTTCATTATTTTTTTGTCTAAAATATATCAAAGTGATTTAATTTTGTGGTGTACTATTAATCCAAATTTTTTGTGACTAAAAATTAACAAAAAAATTGTATATGACGAATAGATGAGCAGTTATGCACGTCATTCTTTCGGCCGCCAACAAAAGCATATACAGCAAAGGGGGAGAAAGGATATGGAAACATCCAATGTTGTTAACCACTTGCTCCCGAGTATGAAAGGAGAAACAACTACCTATTTTTCTCCAAAGGAATGAATTATGTTTACAACACTTCCCTAGTTGGCTTCAATCCGTCGTTTTCTACCCAAAAAACAACTCTCCCCATCTGATTATGATGGCCATATTGGCAAATTTGCCTACACTTGGAGCCCATTGCGTAGAATCGTGTCACGTATGACGTGAACAAAATGTTGTTTTCTTTTATTTGGTAGTACTGTTGCCAAATTATTCGTCGAAAAAATAATGGTTGTTTATCCGATTCATCAACTAGAGATAAAAGAAAAGCTTGTATCTTCTCACTAAACATTGTGCTCAGCTCACTAATCGATGGGGTCAAAGATCCTTAACATCATGTGTAGAGACGGGGAATCTTTTGGACGGCAAAACAAGGATAGAAATTTGCTGAATTGGTATTAGTCCTTTAACTCTCATGGTTTGGCCAATGGAGTCCCAACAATTTTGTAGTATATTCAAATTCATCCACCAACTTGTAATATGTATAGACCAAGTGTTTACACCAAAAATTAACCTTGTACCACATCGGTTAAAAAACAACGAATTAAATGGCTTTATAAGGCCAACTTAATCATTTTAGTTTAAATAAGTTGAGTGGGCCATGAGGATTGGGTTTTTTGGGCCCATTACTCCGTGCCACCACGCGCGCCATGCATCTCCAAATTTGCTTAAGTATGGGAGCCACCCCCATGACACGCAGAGGGGGGTGGGCATCATACCACCACCCCCAGGACGTGGCAAAGGGGTGGACATCATACCGCCACCCCGATTGCCGAATTTGGCTAAGGCAAGGAGTATGGGAGCCACCACCAGGAGGTACCAAGGGGGGTGGCCACCATCATACCACCCCCAGGACGTGGCGAGGGGGGTGGGCATCATACCACCCCCAGGACGTGGCGAGGGGGGTGGGCATCATACCACCACCCCCAGGACGTGGCAAAGGGGTGGACATCATACCGCCACCCCGATTGCCGAATTTGGCTAAGGCAAGGAGTATGGGAGCCACCACCAGGAGGTACCAAGGGGGGTGGCCACCATCATACCACCGGCCAAGGCAAGGGGGTCATGTGAGCACGTGGTCTCTTTACTCTCCTATTGGTGAAGTATTTTTGCCATTTTTAATTCATGTGATTCAAATACCCACCCATATGTGGCACGTGGTATTCCATCATGCCTTAGCCATTTTTTCTCTATAGACAAGCGAAGCTATGGAGGAGATACCAAGAGCAGGGAGTGAGATCTCAAGAGGAGGGGGTCAGGGCTGAAGAAGGTGGCACATCCAACGTCAGGGTAACCGTCAAAGCGGTTGAGAGGGTAACCACCACTCCACGTCAGCGGAGCAGTTTCTCGAAGTAGCTACTTCTGGTGGCTATAAATAGGAGGTGAAGATGACGGAGAAGGGGTTCGCCAAAATCACACCAGACAACACAATGTCAAATTTTATCCTTTTATCTTTACATTTTCCTCTGCAAATGTAGTCATAGCCATAGTTGTAGTTGCGGAGCTCTCACTGAACCTCCATAGGAGTAGATTTAATGTAATTTAGTTTGCCTCGTAGATCATCAAGAACATTGAACACCCTTGTTTGAACTTTGTTCAAAGAGGCGTGGACCGTGTTTGTTAATCGTTTGTTTGGAAGTCAAAGGTGCAAAAATTCAATTCTGTTCATCTAGTTTTTCTCGCCGGGAAAACACCAAGTAACTTCAAAAGTTGAATTTATAGTAGGATTTTAGTACGAGGAACAAGGTTATGATTCCGTATTGGCCGTGAGTGGACCCTTCCTCATGTGGACATCTACATCACAAGCCATTGGCTTCGGTGATTGAATTTTTATCTATCATTCTTCTCGCCTTAAACTACTTTGATAGCGGTAATATCAATGATAATGATATTTATGTGATAACTAATATTTCGACGAATTGAAAAGAATGCTAATGTTAATGTAACAATCATTGAATTTTAGATGAAGCGCTCGTAGTTGTCTCCACATGCAGAGCATAAATCATTTCCTGCATAATAGTATTATCAGATATTTGTCATCCTAGGACGAATATGCGCTAATCCCATAATGAAAGTACCGTGTAGAGATATGCATCTTTTTTTTTTTTTTTGAGGAACTGTGTAGAGATATGCATCTTACATACACAATAAGGATATAACTCACTCTTAAAGACAGATTTTTTGATGAATGACTTGTCTGCTACCAACTCCTTCCTCCATGGGTAGGCATCTCTACAAGTGACACCTATTGACATTTCTCACATGCCAGGAAGAAAGAGAGCTTCTCATCTCCTTGCTTTCATGCAAAACATATTGAAAAATTAAAATCTTGTTGTATCCGATAAATGCATCATTCGTTAGAATTTAATCGTAATGACATGTCAAACCAAAAAATGCGTATTTAGTCAAATTAAGTCTCTGGGGAGCTAATCAGCGAAAGCGTTAAAATTGAAGGAGCTCATTGAAATTTGGAACTGCATATCAACCCAAAAAACCAAATAAAATAAAATCTGCACCCAGAAATAGCTGCTACGGACGGCTTCCTTAGTTCATTTTCCAAAATAAATATTGCAGATTAGCTATGGAACAAATCCACTCATAAGAACTTATACCAAAACAGAAATTATTCAGGACCATTACCACCGCCTCCCGGCTTTCCAACTTCCTTTCCCCAAATGGGTGACGCCTTCAACTACGGCGGGATCCGAACCCAACCCGAGATCATCTCCTCCGACCCGTTCAGCTTATTCGAAGGATGGGCCTCCGAGCCCGACCCGATGGACCTCTTCTCCGACTCCTCCGACCAAGACCCTTTCCCAACCTACTACCACGACGACGGCGCCGTTTCGCATCAACTCCTCCCCCAGGCGATCACCGAGCTCGACGGAATCCTCATCCAAAGGCAAGTCCTTCTCGACCCTTCAAATACCAACAACAACAACCCGATAACCCACCACAACCCGAATCCGGATCATTCCTCCGCGGCTCTATTCGACCTCTTGAGATCCGGAGCCCCGAACAGCCACAGAAAACGGAGCAGTATGAACAGCCGTAGCAACAATTATAATCCCAGCAACAACAACATCATAATCCAGTCCGCGCCGGCGGAGGATAGTTCCGGCAAGCTGTCCACCGAGGAGCTGCTGAGAATCGCCGGAGCTAGGTTCATCCAATCGTCGTCGAAACCGGGCGGGGATAGTAACAACAACAATGCGGTCTCGTCGAACCCATTCGACCTCTCCTTCTCCGGTAAGTTATTAGGATTAATTGGTTTGTTTGTTAATATGATATGGTGTCTTTTATTAAGTGGTTATGATTTCGAATTCTTATAACGAATCCAATCAGAAATAATAATTTACCACTAAGAATGATGATTCCTTGTGCTAAATCGTTTTGCTTTCAATTTAGCACAATGGATGATATTGTTCAACATGTGCAGGGAGGCAAAGTATAATGATTTAGCACAAGAAATGAGATGTTAATCAATATTCAATATGTGCAAATGAAACCCACAAATAAGCTTTCCTCTAAATATGTGTGTAAGCGATAAAAAAATGGATTCTACACCAGCAAGTCATATTTCACTGGATGTTCCTCACGTTCTAATCGAGTAACTTCTAACCTCTTCTTTTCAGTCGAGTAACTTCGTCGCTCTCATTATATAGTTTCCTTATACTCCAGACGGCAGACAGACAATGAAGAAGACTCTGTCCGATTTCAATACAAAGAGAGAAACCTAACGAATCCATTCCCAACTACTATTCTAGTTATTGCGACTGAGTGATTTGTTTCGTTTCGTCGAACAGGTTTGTCCGACGAGGAGCTGAAGAACGTCGAGCTGGCGGAGTTCCTACTCACGGCGGCCGAGAAAGTCGGGGACCAGCAGTACGAGAGGGCCAGCACCCTGCTGACAGAGTGCGAGCTCCAGTCGTCCCCCGACGGCGACCCGGTCCAGCGGCTGGTCCACTACTTCTGCGCGGCGCTCAGGGAGAAGATCGAGCGCGACACCGGGAAGCCGCAAAGTCGGGGTCCGGCCAAGATGGAGGAGATCATGATGCCGCCGAGGGAGTGCTTCCTCGAGTTCTACGACAAGGTGCCCTTCCCTCAGGTGTCGGAGTTCGCCGCGATGCAGGCCGTGGTGGACAGCGTGGCGACGTCGAGGAGGATTCACATCGTGGATTTCAATATCAAGAATGGAGAGCAGTGGACGATTTTCATGCAGGCCTTGTTGTCGAGGGAGGTTCCGGTGGATTGTTTGAGGATCAGTGCCGTTGCGATCATGACGAGGGAGGTCATGGAGGAGACTGGCAAGAGGTATGTAATTACTGCGACCGTACTATACGTGCTACTTGGGCTATAAATGGATCTTTAATTCGTCGAACTTCAGAAGTTAATCTTTGACGACATTAGGCTGACGTAGTGATGAACATGAAATGATGATTTGATTCATGCACATGTTTACGCAAAAACTTATCCATAATGCATGAGGAATGAAATATAGCATATGCCTTGTAGAAAATAGATGTGTGCTAGGAAAACCTTAATTAGTACGACTGTAAGAGGGTTTGTGTCGATTGCATTTTTTCTTTCTGCTGGTTATGCATGTTTTGTTATGGTTCGTGTATCTGGATTGAGACTTGAGAGAGTAATGTAGTGATGAGTGATGATAATGGGGTGGGACGAGGCAAATTTCTTAATATGCATGTTTGTCCTTTATTAAGTATGATTTAGGCCGTGTATTAATACTCGTACGAGAAGATCGAGTGGCCGAATGGGAAGGAAATGATAGAATTTAAATATTTTACGAGAAAATCATTCACAAGTGAAAAAGAAATAAAAGATCAAAAATATGATTTTAATTTTTTTTTTTTTGTGTATGCACTTATTCAAATGTTCAAGGGATGTGATTTTAGCAAAGTTGAAAGAGGAGAAATACAAGTAGACATGGATACAAATTAAGATAGAACGAGATATATTGTGCTTACCAAAAGTAGTACCGATCTCCTGCCTCATACTACTAAGATTTTGGTAATATCCTATACAAAACAGGCCGAGACAGGTCCGATCACACGAGTTAAGGTAAAAAATAGCCATGAGTAGAGCAATGATCAATTTTGTAGGGGGAGTGAGGTTTCAGATGCTAGTTGCTTTTCTGCATAAGATTGTTTCTAGTCTGAGGTTGGTTTCGCGGATTTCATATGGATAAATAGGGAGTCTTGTGATTGAAATCGAAAATTTTGGGTTGTTTGCTTGATGAATTTGGTGATGGATTTGAATCTATCATGAATTTTGTTCAAACTCCATTGTTTGTTTCATGTATTTTGTGGCAACAAATTCATGGGCCCCATGGATTTAAAGGTCCAAATTCGTGGGTCTCACAGACTTGAAAATTTCACCTCTATAGGTGAAACTTGATCATGGACTTTAAAGTCCATTATTTATGATCAAACTACCCCTCATTTAACCAAATTCATCATGAAATCAATGAAACAAATAATGGTATTTTACAAGTTCATAATGAACCCAAAATCCTCATATATCCATGGTTTTACAAAACCCACTTTTTTATAAAAATCTTCATTTTTCAAAACCATGAAGCAAAGGATAATTTAAATATTATTCTTTTAGCCAAAAAACATGTTCCGATCACTAGCTTTTCCCCCTCATTTTTGTAGATGGTTCATAAAATATTATGTTTCATTCATAAAATATTCTATTTTCTTGTTCTCTCTATGTTTTTTTATTTACTATAAACTGATAACATACATCTCTAACCAGGCTAGTCAACTTCGCGGCGGCAATGTCCCTCCCATTCTCATTCCACCTCGTAATGCTCGACGACTTTGCCGACCTCAAGGAAGACATGCTGAAGCTCGACACCGACGAGACCGTCGCCGTCCTCTCCGAATACCTCCTCACCACCCTCATCGCCCCGGCCGAGAAGCTCGACTCCGTCATGCGAACCATCACGAGCCTGAACCCGTGCGTCATGGTCGTGACCGAGGTCGAATCGAACCACAACTCGCCCGTCTTCGTGAACCGGTTCATCGAGTCGCTGTTCTACTCGAGCGCCTACTTCGACTGCCTGGAGACCTGCATGGGCCGGGACAGCCCGCACCGCAAGTTCGTGGAGCTGACGTTCTTCGGGGAAGGGGCGAGGATCATCGTCGCGGCGGAAGGGGAAGAGAGGGCGATAAGGAATGTGAAGATGGATGTTTGGAGGGCTTATTTTCGAAGGTTTGGAATGGAGGAGGCGGATTTGAGCTTGTCGTGTTTGTATCAGGCGGAGCTGGTGGCGAAGAAGTTTGCGTGCTGGAGGTATTGTACTATTGGTGTGGATGGGAAGAGCTTGATTGTTGGGTGGAAGGGGACGCCCATTCATTCGGTTACGGCTTGGAAGTTTAATTACGAGTGATGAGGGTGATGGGGTTTGGATGGTTGAGGAATGAGGTTGAGCAATGCCTTTTTTTATTATTTATAAGGGTATTGTTTGAGTTTGTGTTTGAAACAAAAGTTTGAGTGAATTAAGTTAATAATAAAAAAAAGAACACTACTATAGGTATATGTAGGGCTGGGAAACGATGCGGTCTGGTCTAGACCAGACCATATGTACGGTCTATGGTCTAGACCGAGAGTCTGAAGTATAGACCACAGACCAGACCAAAGAATACGGTCCGGTCCAGACCACGCCTGTGCGGTCTTGTTCGGTTTGGTCTGGTCCAGATAGACCACACTCAACAAAAAAATGAATAATTTGTTTAGTCAAACACACAAAAATTGAACCAATACCCAAGAAAAATAATTGTTATTTGCCTTAAAACATTAATCCTAACATGCATGCATAATTTTGATACCCTAAATCTTAGTACATAACAAAGATACAAAGTAAAAGCATCCCAACTTGCACCATAACGTCATAAACATTAACATAATGCCATATTGAGACACGATTATCTCTACTCTCTAGTTAAATATAGTTGTAAATGAAGGAGGGACGAGATTCACAAAACTAAGGTTGAGACTTGGGTGTCGCTGTGAGAGTTGGTCAGTTGGGGGAGTGGTCGAATGAGCTGTTAACACATATTGACAAGTCGGTTGGGTCCACGGTTTGGTCCGGTAAACCGCGGTCTAGACCAGACCAGACCAAGAAATCAAAACATAAAATAATACAAACCATGGACCATACCAGACCATATTTAACGGTCTACGGTCCGGACCAAACTGTACGGTAGGGTTTGGACCACGGTTTTTCTAACGGTCTGGTCTATTTTCCTAGCCCTAGGTATATGAGAATGTATCAAAAGGCTTTCATGGGAAAATGATTCTTAATTAAGAACACTTGTCAACTAGCTGATGAATTCATCAAATCGATCCGTTGGTGTTTCACGCTTTCAAATTCTTTGATGGAATATTGATTTTTGACTACTAGATCGATATTGCACGAAGTGTGATAAGCAGGCATTGTAGGGATGGCAATTTACTCACCCATGGGTATTTTTGCCCAAACCCATTTATATCCATTTATATGGGTTGGGTATGGATTTATTCTATATGGATTTGGATAATGTTTGGGTGAGTGGAGTTGGGTTTGGATTTTATTTTTGGGTATGGATTGGGCTTGGGTACCCATCTCCTTGGACCCACCTGTATATATTTTTTCTATTAGGTGTTAAAATGTAAAGCAAAATTTTTAATGTACTAAAATATAATTTTCCACATATGATGTTGAACCTATTTGTATCTTCTTAAAAACTTCAGGTACTAAAATGTAACTTTGGCCAAGTCCAGCTGCTTCGCCGGTGCCGAACGCTTCGCCGGTGCCGAATGCCGGTCTACAACCCGCCGTCGCTGATATCCTTGAGCCGGTCTACACCCCGCCGGTGCTCTGCTCGCTGTTCCCCCTCAACTGGGTCGGGAATCGCCACGGCTTCTCCGAGCCCCTTCTCGGCGTTCAGGGGACGAAAATCGGAGTGGGTTTTTGGGGAGGAAGAGACGGTTTCAGGGGACGAAATCGGAGTGGGTTTTTGGGAGGAAGAGACGGTTTCAGGGGACGAAATCGGAGTGGCTTTTGTATCACTAGGCGGCGCCGCGGCGGCGATGCGATTTAGCGGTCGGAGGGAATGCCGAAATCGAAGGTGTCCGGGGCGGCGACATTCGAGGCTTCGAGCTAGTGGCGGTGGACTGGCCGGGGCGCCGACGTCGTGGCCGTCTCTGTTTGCTCAGCCGGCTCGTCGTCGACAAAGGATGGGTAGAGAGAAAGAGAGTGCCGACTCTCGATTCTCGACTGAGAGGAAACGAAGATTTTCTTTTTCTTTTTAGTTTCGTTTTTCTTTTTTTAATTATTTGGGTTTGGATTTTTTAACTCAAGTTCATGGGTAAAACCCAATTAAACCCAACATAATGGGTATGGGTTTTGACCCATCCGACTTTATCCATTTACACTTTAATTGGATTTCAGACCCAACCCAAATGGGTTGGATAGTTACAAACCCATAGGTATGGGTATAATTGCCAAGCCTAATCATGTACCCCGAATTACATTGAATTCATTCATCTACCTAGAGACTAGTGTGAAATAACTATATTTTTTATATATAGATAATGCTAGTGTGAAATAACTATCATTCATGTATTGTTTATCACCTATTATTCATATACTGTTTTTGTATAAATAGTTCTCAATGTCTATCAATAAGATCAAGTTCATAGTTTCTCACAGTTCTCTAAGAAGTTAAATCTTCAATTTCGAAGTTACGATTTGGTGTGATATTGAAACGCAGGAAACTAATTGATCATCATTTAAAAAACCACTTAGGAAAATATAACAAAAGGCTTTCATAGAAAATAATGAATTTTAGTTTCCAGGGGGTTTTATAGAAATTGATTGATAATCAATTTATTCCTAAATACTTTAAAATGTAAAAATATGATAAAATATTATATAAATTTCGAACAAAGTTTATCAGTCGCATCGATAAAACGACATTATACCCGTATTCCACTGTCATATTTGCTAGGGACAAAAATATGGTGTGAATCCCAATCCCATAGGATTGTCACTATACAAACCAATAACATATTAGCTATGAAAAATACATTCTTATTAATTTTTTTTTTTGGAAATTTACAAACCCATATCAATTACTTTTTTCCCCCCTCTCATGAGTCTCCACCTCTCACAGGTTCGCTTCTTTGGTTGCCTCTCCACCTTCATCTGGCGGGTGCCGTCATTTGTGCTTCCTTCGGACACCTAAAAAACTCACACATGACAACCTATACCAGGTATATGCTAACACTAGTGCCAATACACGAAAATCAATATCACTACGTAAAACCTATAGTAATACAACTACAAAATTCATGATCAATACACGGAATCAATATCAATACATAAAAAACCTATACCAATACGCGAAAATCATTACCAATACACAACAATCAAAACAAGTACCAGATCTCTGCCATCAAGACTAGCAACGCAGGACATCACCGACTATTAATACATGAAAAATACCAATGCACGAAAATCAATACCGCCTCGACTGATTGATTCTAGCACAGTTTTAACTTTTAAGTTTGAAACCATGCCTGGTAGAAGGGCACATGAACTCACCGGTCTTCGTGAACCAGCTCGTGGAATCGCTGTTATTCATTACCAGTGTTGCATTCTTCGACTAGATTGCATGGGGAGAGATGAGCCGACGAGGAAGTTCGGGGAGGCGACGTTGTTTGGGGAGTCGAGCAATATTGTTCCGGCGAGTGAAGGACAAGAGAAGATCATTAGAATACGAAGGTGGACGTTTGGAGGGCTTATTTTTCGACGGATGGAAATGGTTGCATCGTTGATGTATAAGGCAAACCTAGTGTTGAGATGGACGGGAAGGGCTTGATGATTGGTTGGAAGAATATATACTCGGATCAATTATGCGACTGCCTGGAGTTACAGAGCCTTGAAACTCTGGTTTTCTCTATTTGAATATGATCTTAAATAGATCCAGAGATTATTGGATAATATAATGTACGTACGTCTCTAGCAGTTGACAAGTTCTTAGAGACGTAGGTTTGGCTCCCTTGTCTTAGATTCTTTTAGCCGGCTTGGCCATCGGTTTCAGGCTTTCAGCAACGGGAATCGTCGTCTGATGGCCGACCATTGTAGAAGCAGACATGCCTAATACCCACAAGGGGACACAAAATAACGATAGTAGTAAGGGTATTCTTTCTAATTTAATTTAACGGCCTATGTTTCTTTGCATTTAGGATGGAATTCAAATTTCCTTTTTTCAGAGAAAAATCAGATTAATCTTGCACTTCAAAATAACATTCATTTGATATATTTTAAGACGAAAAAATTGAAACAACACTAATCTATACAGGGTTGGTAATGTTTGGTAGTACATAAGATTATACATGGCGATATAGAAGAGCACCATGATTATATCAATATATCATAGTGTGGACGGTAGAATTCTTGTATACGTTATACTAGGAATATACTAATCACCTTTCATCACTGTCTACCACTAGTTACCACCATGTACACCGTGGTATAGGGTGTTATATTTGGACATGCAATTTTCTTTCAGAAATTTATAGATCACGATGAACACGTTCATTCTATACAAAATTTTCAAAATTTGACTTACAAACAATGTGATAGAGAGTGGTACCAAGTGATACCAGGGTGGTATGAGAAATATTTTCTCGGAATATATAAATATATATAATATATAATTTTGTAGATCACAATGAACTCAGATATATTTGTGCAAATAATTTTAAAGTTTGAGTTAAAAATGAAAATACAAACCGATTAAAGAAATTAATAAACTTTTTAATCTCATCTCTTATATCTGACTCACTCAAAATCAAGCATCCTATATTTTAAATGCGCATAAAAAAATCCCTTCCAAGCAGACTTTAAGATCTCCTTAATTATATTTTATAAAATTTCAACAAGAATGGAAGGTCAAAATTCACAATGAGGTGAGTCCCTTTGGGAAATCCGATAAAATTGGAAACTCACATCACAATGTGGCCAAGATTAATATAAATCGTAATATAGAATGATCATTGATATTCTCACAAAAAAAAAAAAAAGATCATTGATAACGGAATATACCAATGCTGAGACCTTTTAATTTAGGAATTACAATGTTATTAGTTACAAGGTGTTACAAGTGTACCTACATTCAAAAGCTTTATTTGTGCCAAGGTATTGTATTTCAATTCTGGTTAACGTAGTGCAAACATTTTTGTTTGACCAAAGAGTCGTGTTTAAGTTATGTTAAGCTCTATGCTAATTAATGATCATAATACAAGATTTGACCAAGTACTTCATTTCAAGGGTTGGTTGATGGCATTGTAAAGATTTGGGCTTTTATGGATTGAGAGATCCCCGGTGGGTGGGAATAGGTTAGGGTGGTTACTCAATTTTGAGTAATCACGGTGGCTACCAACATCTATACCATTTATTATCTTTATTTCATTATATTTTTAAATTAACGATTAAGATTAGCTAAGGGTAATTTAGGAAATGAAAAAACATACCACACCTGATTACTCTATATATTATACTCAAACCCTAATACAACCCCACAACCGCCGCCGTGTCTCCTTTCTCCCTTCTCCCACAACCGCCGACGTCTTCTCCCTTCTCCCCCCTCCCTCCGACCACCCCAACCCCAGTACAGCTCTCAACTGGACCTCCCTCCCCCCGATGGCGTCCCTCCCTCCCCCCTCCCTCCGACCACCCCAAACAAGCCATTCGCTAGCATCAAGTGTTCTTCCTGTTAAATATAAATGAATGCCAACGTTGGCATCTACTACTACTAGTCTACTACAGAAGGACTTCCCCATTTCTTTATTCGCCAGAGCATTAGCAATGGAGTTCCTCGGGTCGACAGATTCGCTGAAAAAGGTGGGATGAATTAAAATCCTAGATCTGATTTTTTTTCCGCATTGGTAGTGATTTTTCGTAGTGGTAGTGTTTTTTTGCATTGGTATTGTTTTTGTCGTATTGGTATTGATTATCATGTAATGGTACTAATTTGCGTGTATTGGTATGGATTCAATCTGCAATGGTATTGATTTTTTGTGAAATGACATAGATTTATATTGGTAGATTGTTTATATTGGTAGTTTTCGTGTAATGGTATAGATTTATTTCTGCAATGGTATTGATATTTTTCAAAGTGGTAGTGATTGTCTAATGGATTGGTAGTGATTTCGTGTTTTTTTTTTCTTTTGCAGAAGATTGAGAAAAATAAGGAAACGGGATCTGGCTGAAGATTATGGAAGTGAGGGAAAGAGAGATAATTGTAATTAATAGATTCTTGTAACTACCTAAAATGTAATTTATTAAAAAAATTAATTAATACAATTTATTTTTCATACCCAATTTACCCTTAGTAACCACGGTGATTACTACTTACGTAGTAGTCACCGTAACCTGTCCCCCGGTGGGTGTTTTGAAGTTGTTTTGTATCCAATAATTCAATATACATTATATGGAGGAGACTAATTTATCCCTATAATTTAAATTACTGAATATTATAAGGTGAAGGCTGAAAAACGAAGTTGTTCGAGGGAAAGAAAATGATATAAAGTTGCTCGATTAGGACGAGGTATATGCGTAATTTCAGGATTTAATCTCTTTTAGTAATAATAAAAAACAACTAGAACTTTTATGAAGTAAATAACAATGCAGAAATCCCGGAGAAACACTTTTTTCGAAGATTATTTTTCTTATATCTAGAAGCGGAATTTAATTTGTTACACACTTTACTAGCATGGTATATAGTTACTCTATTGTTAGACCTGTTGAAAGATAAGCAACTAAATGAACACTCTAGTATACATATGAGTTTTGAGTTTTGACAATAGAGCTACTTTAATTTTTGGCAATATTCATCTGTGTAGCCAAAACTTTGACGTTTGTCACAATAATAGCCACTTTTGGAGAAATACCAATAATAGCCAGAAATTTGAAAGTTTGATGTCAATAATAGCCATTTCCGTTATATTTTTTTTTTTTGCATTTGAAGGAGGCAGAAGCCAGGAAAGAGAAAAAGGGGGGTTACAGAGAACGAGTAGGGGGAGCCGCTATGCGGCGCTCGAAGGTAGTGCCAAGAAAATCCTCCCGAAGAAACGTAGTTAGTCCGGTTGGTGGATCAGCAATCTCATGCACACCGTAGGGATAGACGAGACTGTGTTTCGAGAGCCAGTCTGCGACTCTATTCCCTTCTCGATATACATGGGTAATACTGATCAACCAATCCCGACTAAGCTTCCTGCGAATCGCAGCTAACAGAGTAGCATACGGATGAACCGGGTCTTCTCTGTTCTGGATAAGCTGTATAGCCAACTGAGAGTCGCTTTCCACTTTCACCGATCTATAACCCAGCCTCCAAGCGAGCTCCAAACCATGCTCGAAGGCCCGAAGTTCGGCCATCGCCGCGGTGGCAGCGCCGATGTTTGCCACAAACCCTCCTAACCATTGACCAGTGGAATTCCTGATGGCCCCGCCGGCACTCGACGGCCCGGGATTGCCGTTTGAAGCTCCGTCGATGTTCAGCGTGACCCACCCATTGGGGGGAGGAGACCACCCAATGTTTGCAAGCTGGCGCTCCGCCGGGCGGCTCCGATTGTCCGGCATCAGAGATGGGGTGAGCCACGACTCATGCCACAACCTGGCTTTGGTAATGATGGAGTGCTCCAGCGTTGGTGAGGACAAGGCGGCATCCACCCCCTGGAGAGTTGCAGTGCAGCGGTTCTTCCATAAAAGCCAGGCCGCAATGCTAAAAAAATTCGGCCACTCTATCCCTGTGCCTGTCGAAGTGTTCGAAAGAAGATTGGTTCGAAGCCAGCTACCTTGATCCATGCTGAAGAAAGTCTGCTGCTGCTGCTGAGGGACATGTCTTGACCAGAAAAAAGTGGCAGGAGGGCAGTCCCGAAGAATGTGCAAGATGGTTTCCGGCTGGCTGGAACATCGAGTGCAAAAAGGAGTTGGCGGGATCCGCCTGTTGTACCTGAGGACATTAGTAACAATCCTCCCAAGAAGGACAAGCCACATGAAGCTTCTTATTCTTTCCGGGACGGCAAGGCGCCAAATGACTTTCCAATATCTCTCGTCAGGGTGCGGCTGCTGCTGGGTAAGCAAGGTGAAGGCCGACTTAGTGGAGAATCTGCCATCAGAGGTAGCTGTCCAGAACAAAAGGTCCTCTTCCTGTGATAGGGGATCAACGGCGATGCCAAGGATTTTCTGGTGGATCTCCCTGGGCAGGAGGTGAGCAAAAAGCTCCGTTCGCCAGCTCCCGTCCTCTCGAACAAAGTCAGCAATCCGTGCCTCTTCAAGCTCGCTCGGGATCTCGCTCAAAGCCTTCTCCCGGAGAGGAACCTGCAAAACCCAGGGATCAAGCCAGAATTTAGTGCGTTTTCCGTTCTTAATATTCCAGGCACACCCTTTTTGTAAAAGATGAGCAGCTTTAGAGAAGCTGGCCCAAGTGAAAGAACTTCCCTGAATTGGCCGAAGGATGTTGATACCTTGTCTTTGCTTGCCGTATTTTGCCCGCATCACTTCAGCCCAAAGACAATCTTTTTCCTGAAGAAGGCGCCACCCACCCTTTGCCAGCATAGCTAGGTTCACGTCCTTAGTATTTCTAAGTCCCGCCCCGCCATTACTTTTGGGCACGGTCATCTTCTCCCACGCAACTAGGTGCATCTTGTTCTTTTCCGTCTCGTCTCCCCAGATGAAATCCCTGCTGATCTTATCGATGCTCTTGCAGACATTGGTAGGGAGGAGCTCAGTCTGCATATTGTAGACAGGGAGGGAGGCAGCAACTGACTTGGCCACGGTAAGCCTGGCAGCAAAAGAGAGGCGCTTCGCCTTCCAGGGTGCCATCCTCTTTTGGATCCGGAGAAGGAGGGGCTGATATCTCTCTCTGGTCACCCGCTCCTGGATAGCCTGAATGCCCAGATATCTGCCTAGGTTCGCTTTGAGGGGGATTCCTGCTTGCCGGCTCAGTCTTTCTGCTCTCCGCCGGGGGATATTTGGGGAGACATACATGATGGACTTGTTGAAGCTGACCTTTTGACCAGAGCTAAAGCAGAAATCTTCCAGGCACTGTTGAATAACTTGAATTTGGCGGGATTCTGCTTCCGCAAACAGGAGGAGATCATCTGCAAAAAAGAGATGGGTAAGAGGTGGACTGTTGGCAGTAAGCTTAACAGCTTTCCAAAGGCCATTGTCCACAGCTTCATCAATTTTATGCGATAAACGCTCCATGCAAAGCACAAACAAATAGGGTGAGAGAGGGTCTCCCTGACGGACTCCGCGGGATGGAGAAAACGGCTGAGATAACTCTCCATTCCAAAGAATCCGCATCCTGTTTTGCTCCACACAGGTCATGATGCAGTTAATCCAGGAGCTTGGCAACCCGATCTCCTTTAGCGTGTCTCGCAGGAAGTCCCAGCGAAGCCGATCATAGGCCTTCTCTAAATCGATCTTGAAAATCAGGCCTCCCTTTTTCCCTTTCCTTTTTCTGAAAGAATGGAGAACCTCCTGAACCACTATAATATTATCAGCGGTTTGTCTCCCAGGGATGAAACTGCTCTGTCTGGGGGAGATAAGTTTCCTCATGAGCGGCTTCAGTCTGCTGGTCATCGCTTTCGTGATAGCCTTGAGACTGACGTTGTTAAGGGAAATCGGGCGAAGCTGCATCACCCTTTCAGGGTAGTCGACTTTGGGGATGAGGACCAGGGTGGACTCGGAGACTGAATCTGGGAGAACACCGGTGTTGAAAAAGGAAAGCGCCATGTCCGTGAGATTTTTGCCGACAGTCCCCCACATCTGTTGGTAGAAGGCGGCATGAAAACCATCGGGACCAGGGGCCTGGAAGGGCTTCATCTCAAAGACTGCCTTGTGAATGTCCATGGTGGTGAAGGGTCTTAGCAACTGCATCAGCTCTGTCTGGGTCAGTCTTGGGAAGGAGCTCCTCGGAAGTTTATCCTCGTAAGCCGACACTTCCTGCACATAAAGGTTAGTAATAAAATCGAAAACCAAGAGAGCAAGATATTTAGGATCATTCACCTAGAGGTCATTCTCATCCCGTAAAGCCTCGATCTTATTTCGCCTTTTTCTGATGTTGGCTTGCTGATGGAAATATGCCGTATTGCGCTCGCCAAACTTCACCCACTGGTCTCTAGCGCGCTGAAACCATAAGATTTCCTCTTCCTCCAGAACCTTATCCAGATCAGCCTCCAGCTTAGAGTGGAGTTTCGCCAAGCCTGGCTCGAAAGAGATCGCTAACCTTGTTTCCAAACCTTTTAGGCGAGCCAGCAAACGGTTCTTTTTCTTCTTAATGTGGCCGAACACATTTATGTTCCACTCTCTGAGGCTGCCCGCAAGACTGGCCAAAGCACTATGAAGAGGAGCATTACCCTCCCAAGCCGAGCCAACAAAATCTTTGAAGTTGGTATGGGTAAGCCAAGCCGCCTCGAAACGGAAGGGACGATCAGTAGTCGGGGCTGCACCTGGAGAGGAAACAGTAGTGAGGAGGGGACTGTGATTAGATTGGAGCCGAGGGAGGTGCATCACGGAAGTGTTGGGGTAGACCTCGTTCCACCTCAGATTACACAGGCTTCTGTCGATCCTACTCGCTCTGTACGTCTGAAGTTGGTCCCCCCTGGTCCAAGTGAAAAGAGGCCCTGAGAAACCCAAATCGATTAGCTCCGCCATCTGGATCCTGTCGTTGAAAATGCGGCATCTCCTCAGGGTATTCGCCGTAGGGGGCCCCGACTTCTCTTCCGGGGCGCGAATCGCGTTGAAATCGCCCGTGACGAGCCACGGGATATCAATCTGGTTACTTTGAGTGAGGATGTTATCCCATAGCTCCTGCTGGTTACTGGGCTTGGGCGAGGCGTAAACAGCGGTCAGGACCCATGGGGGACAGTTGCCTTGCTCCACCCGAAGCGAAATATGCTGATAGCAAGCAGACATCAGCTGTACAGAGAACTTGCGCGCATCCCAAAACACCCAGATACCACCCTTCCTACCATCCGCCTCCACCCGCAGAGAATTTGGGAAACCCAGCTTGTCACAGGTATAGTTAGCCGCTGCGCCACTAATCTGAGGCTCGAGGAGGATGACGAAATCCGGCTGATGATTCTGGATGGCTAGCTTCAGAGAACGGATGAAAGCTTTGTTCCATGCACCCCCAACATTCCACGCAAAATTTTTAAAGTTAGTGAGAGTCGACATAGGCATAAAAGAAATGAAAAAAGAAGAGACGAGAGAGAGAGGTAAGGGGAAGAATCATCAGTTGGTGTGGCCTGATTGCTCTGCCGGTGTGCCACTAGTCGAGAGCTCCCCCGAATCAGTCGCTGGCTGCTGCGTTCCCGGAATGGCAGAGGCTTGCTTCGCTGCATTCGTCCAGGCAGCAATCTCTTGCATCGTGAGGGACGCAATTCTTGGTCTCGATTTAGTCTTCCGATCCTTTTTCGGAGACCAAATTTGAAGACTTTTCGTTGGGTTGAGTTTGGTGGGAGACCTCCGTTGGTCGGCCTTTTGTTTCTTGTTTCGTTTCGTTCTGGATGCTGCCGAGGGTGAGGACGAGGTCGTAGCGCTGTGTATACCGGGTCTGGCATCTCGTAGGTCAACTATTTGCATCACAGTTCCATTGGGCCCTGTTAAGGTTTGGGTGGCGGGGGGAGCGGGGGGTTGGGAGGTTGTCTTGGGCTTTCCAGGGTCAGTCTCCTTCGTAGTCATCTGGGCCGAGGTGGAGGCATGATGAGTATCGACACTGGGCTTCGGCCCAAGATTCGAGAGTTGCTGTCTTTCTGGCCCCGAGCTGAGGACCCCTTTCCCTTGTCTGCCGCCTTGCCCTTTGTGGTCGATTGAGATTTTCTCCTTTCCTTTCCTTGCATCATCTCCTCCCTTCTTCCCCGAGTTCGTTTTCCTTTCTTGCTTTAGGGACCGTTGCGGAGCGTTGCTTGTAGAGAGCGTCGGATGTGTAGAAGAGGAAATTCCTTCCTTGGCTGAAGATCCGCTCTTTCCCTGACTGGCTTTGAATCCGCCAGCGATCTGGCCCTGATCGAGCTCTTGCTTTCCATTTTTGCTATTGCTGAAATCCCTCTGATAACGCCAAATTTTCCGGGTGACCAGCATCCAGGGCCCAAACCCCGGGTTTGGTTCCTCCGCCGTTTGCTCCGCCGCCCCCGGTTGGATTTCGCCGTCGGAGATTGCGAGGAGGGTCGGGGGCGCCGCCGTCCTGTTCAGCGGGCAGAGTTCTGATGAGTGGCCAATCTTGCCGCAATCGAAGCAAACTTCCGGCAGGTTTTCGTATTCCACCTTTTGCCAGGCGTCGTCCAACCAGATCCGAGGAACAAGGTGTTTGGTTAAGTCAACTTCCACAGCCAGCCTAGCAAACTTAGCACGATGAAGATTGAGAGTATGGTAGTCCAGCCTGATGGTTCGACCAATGAGGTTTCCGAGCATCGTCAGCACCTCCCTGTGGTAAAAATGCACTTTCAGCGCTGGGAGCTGCACCCAGACTATCATAGTTTTGGGGAGAGGGTCGGAGACTTTGAATTTCGGTGTCCATTGTTGAACAACCAGATAGTGATAAAAAATGACCCACGGCCCATCTGTCAATGCTCGGAAATAGTCTTGTTCATTTCCAAGCTTAACCAAAAAACAGTCTTGATCAAGATCCATGACTTCCATCTGGCCGATCGGACGCCAGAGACTTCGAAGCCGAGAACAGAGTGTGGAGAAGCCAATCTTAGTGCCGAGTAGTCGCACTACCAAAGTTCGTTGCCAAGGTGCACAGATCTTTGATTTGAAGCTAGAGGAGACGTTTAGAGCGGGTTCCCCATTCTTTTCCCCTGGGATCAAATCATTTTCCCCAACCGGTGTCCATTGATTGGTCAGAGTTTGAGGCTGCATTGGTGTCTTCCAGCCTGTCACTGCCCCAGCATAGGAGAAACGGGGCTGAGTCGTCACCGTCTCAGTGGGGGTCAGGCTTTGGATCCCGTTCGCTTGGTTTTCAAGAGCCGACATTTTCACGTTCATCTGAGGAATGGGAGGAACCGCAACAGCAGTGATGTCGATGAGCATGTCTGAGGTCGAGGTGGTCGGGGGTGGTGTCGAAATTGAAGCAGGTGAAGAGTCTGTTGAAAGAGTCAGTGCCGTGTCTGGAGGCCGGTCAGAAGGGAAGAGTGACGGCGCCGGAGCTGGATTTTCAGAGAGCGCACTTGAGAGCATTTTCACTTTTCACTAATATTCACAAATGAAAGTAGCCATTTCCGTTACATAGTTTAACAGCGTCAGTGACACCGTTAGTCAAATTAATGGAACAATGATTTGGCTGCCAACTCACCGGACACATCATCAACAACTCAATAACAGTTGCCACATAGATGCCATGTCATATTTAATTTAAAAATAAATAAAAAATCAAAATTATATTTACATCCTCTCTCCTCTCTCTCCAGTGCTCGTGGTCGCCGCCCTTCTCTCCAACTCTTCCTCTTCCCTGCTGCGAATCTCCTTCCCTTATTCAATCCCCTCTCGTCTCCAACTTCTACCCTCGCCTCCATCTTCCCCCACCCTTCCGCCCTCCTCTAAATCTACTCCCACACCGTCGCCGCCTTCTCCGCCTCCCTCATCGCCGACCGAGCCTCCCGCCTCCTCCACACCCCGGGAATCCTCTTCGTCGTCCCTGACCAGATTTGCCACCTCCACACCACTGCCCCTCAACTCCGCCACGGAGTCATCATCGATGTCATCATCGGCGTCCTCGACACCAGGATCTGGCACCTCTACACTAGCTTCGACGACTACGCCTTCGTCGCCGCCGAGCGCGTGAATCGCCGCCTATAAGATCTGTTGGTCGCCCGGATGCTTCGATTTCTTCACAGACCTCTATGTTGCCTTCTTCTCCGACGATCCCGTCGCTATCACGGTGGGAAATTGAAACGAATGTTGTATTTTGGGTTTTTTGGTTTAGGAATTGAGATGTTTGCATTTGGAGGTTTTTGTTGGGATAGGCAGATGGTTGCAGAATCAGTATATTCGAAGAGGCAGATCATTGATGTATTGTGAATGGGTTTCTGGTTAATTTAAGTTTATGTGAAGAAGTGGAGAGGCGGTTCCTCAACGGCGGTGGTGAGAATGAGACAGAGGGAGAAATTCGAGAAGATGAGTGGCGGTCGGGGAAAGGGAAGGGGAAAAACCGAGAGGGGAGAGAGAAAATAATAATTTTATTTTTATTTTTTTTACTAATTTCACCTCATATTTTTATTGACTAAAAGTTTGACATGTCAGCTTTTCTGTTAGTCCAGTCAGCACGTTAACTCACACCGTCAAAGAATTGGACGGAAATGACTATTTTTGTTATTTCGTCAACATTGACTATGTTTGGCAAAATCGTCAAAGTTTTGACTATACAGATGTATTTTGCCTTAATTTTTTAAATACTCAACAAATTTATATATCTACTATCTATTACATATATCAATTCGTATTAAATTATACGCCACATCAACAGTAACATCACATCTCCTCGGGCATCGCAAATTATAAATAGATCATTGGCACTCTTGGATCCATTGTTGCTGACTTTCAACTTAATTAAGCTAATCTCTAATGATAAACTAATTTTGTTTTCTCTGCACAAATAATGTCCTTCCTACCTCTTGGTTCCTTAGGCCGGCTTGCGCAAAAGATACGAATCTGCCTACCTATAGTTTCCTTGGATTTCCTCACCTAGAGTACGCAAAGAACAAAGAGGATCCATATAGTAGCCGTTCAGTGAAGACAAGACCACATTCCTAAGCATCATATACAGATCCCTAACTATAAATTTTTGTAACTATAAGGAGCTAGGATACTCGCAGTTTCCAATTTCCTAGCGTAAACAAAACCTCTTTTTGTTGTTGTTGTTGTTGTTGTTCACGCACATATGGAAAAACATGATATTTTCCCTCCCCGGGGATCAGATTTCGGCAGCGGCGGCGTAGCTCCGATCACCGACCAAGAACTGATCCCTTTCCCGCCTTCCAACACCTTTCATCACGACCCACATACGGAGGAGGATAGCTTGTGTATCCAGGGAACGCTTGGAGATCTATTCCCAGTGACGTCATCATCATCATCGCTAGATGCGTCACTATCGGTGGAAGATTTGGTTAGGATCGCCGCATCGAAGTTCGTGGGATCCCACTGGAACTATGCGATGCCGTCGATTGTGGCCGACATCACGCTCTCTGACGAGCAGTCAGAGAGCGTGGAGCTCACGGGGCTCCTCCTCGAAGCTTGTCAGAGCGTCGATATTCGTCGATTCGATGCTGCCAGGACACTGCTAGAGCAGTGCCACTGGCGGTCGTCCCCTGTGGGGAACCCGATCCAGAGGCTGGTCTTCTACTACTCGCAGGCTCTGAGGACTCGGATTGAGAGGGAGACCGGGCGGATTGTGGCAGGAGAAGTGGCCAAAGAGCAATCATTTGAATTTTATAAAGCGGTGATGAACCCGAGCGTCCAGTCGGCCGAGTTCCATAGGAGAATGCCCTTCTCTCAGGTCGCACAGTTTGCCGGGATGCAAGTCATTGTGGAGCACGTGGAGGGCGCCAGAAGGATTCACGTTGTCGATCTCGCACTCAGGAACGGACAACAGTGGACCATCCTAATGCAAGCCCTAGCAGCCCGGTCGAAACGACGTCGTGTTCGTTTCTTCAAAATAACCGCAGTGGCGACTCTAGGGAAACATGCAATCGAACAAACGGGGGAAAGGCTCGTCAGCTTCGCGGAAAGCCTGGGCGTTCCGTGCAACTTCGAAGTGGTTGTGGTCCCCGACCTAGCTCAGTTAAGTCGGGACCACATACGAGTGGAGGCTGGCTATGTCGTAGCTGTGTATGCCGACTATATGGTCAACACTCTGACCAAACCTCCAGACCGGCTTGACTCTCTAATTCGAGTGGTTCAAAGTTTGAACCCGCGTGTCATGGTGGTTGGGGAGGTGGAAGGGAACATGAACTCACCCGTGTTCGTGGACCGGTTTGTGGAATCATTGTTCTATGCGAGTGCATTTTTCGATTGCATGGAGGAATGCATGGGAAGAGATGAGTCGATGAGGAAGTATGGGGAGGCGATGCTGTTTGGGGAGTCGAGCAAGATCATTTTGGCGAACGAAGGACGAGAGAGGATCGTTAGGAACATGAAGGTGGACGTTTGGAGGACTTATTTTCGACGGATGGGAATGGTGGAGAAGGAGATGAGCCGGTCTTCGGTATATCATGCAGACCTAGTGGCTAAGAAGTTGCCGTGTTGGGCGCCATGTACAGTGAAGAAGGACGGAAAGGGCTTGGTGATTGGATGGAAGGGTACACAAATTAATTCTGTTACTGCTTGGGGTTTTAAGTGATTCGAAAGATACAGTTTGACGATATTTCTTATTTCCGAGGACGACCAATCCTCCTCTTTTTTGTAGTGTGCTTGGAGTTTCTTGCACAACCTGACGAGTACCTAGACATCACGTTGTGTGTGTTGAGTTGTTCTTGTTGGTGATTTTCAGTTTATCATCTTGGTAGAAATCGGAAAGTTTTTAGATTGCGGTTTTACAAACATAGGTTTGTCTGTCTTTGTCTAGATTGTTCGAGCCAGCCTGCCTTCCGGTTTCAGCTAAGGGTATTGTTTAACGAACGACCAGTGTAGAACCAACTATTCCTATAAAATGTAAGGAAATTGGAAGCCCACTTTTTATAATCCAAAAAGCCCAATTAGTGCTCAATTATCCATTTACGTGTGACACACGAGGGTCGACTTGTTCAACGTCAATTCGTTGAAACATGCCCAATTTGGAACATAGAAGTTACATATTGTATACGTATTACTTACGCAACACGGGTAGGCACATGAATAACCGACCCCCCAATCTTGTAATAACCGACTCACCCTCTCTATATATATGTAAGGTCGACCAAGATAAGATAATAATTGATGATATTAATTACATATTGTATACGTAGAAGTTACACAACACGGGTAGGCATGAATAACAGACTCCCCAATGTTGTAATAACCGACTCACCCTCGTCTCGCCGTGACCTTCTCTTGAATTCTCAAAACTTCTGTCCATAAATGGCGGCCGACGGCCGGTTGCTTCCCTTGGGATAGTTTTTAGCGGCCAGTAGAGAGTAGTGGTGTCTCTCTTAGACTCTGTCTCCGCTTGATTGGTGTTGGCGTTTGCAGCAGATGCCCCATGGTGGTTTTGCAAGGTTTTCGAGGGGTTTATCGGTAGGGAAATCGTTGCATTAGTCTTCTTATTACGTGGGTAACAGACTCAGAATCTTTGATTTAGTTGCTTCGTGTTCCCTAATTCTGACGGTTTCAAATTACAGAGGTTGCTGCTCCGTCTTTGTTCTTCTGATGCAGAAGTTGCTATGAACGTGGGTTATTGGTTGTGCAATTCGCCTATACTCGTTGTTGGTTGGTTTCTTCGACAGTAGCAAAATCAATGGTTAGGGTTTTCCGTCTAATCATGCCAGTTAGGGTTTGGGTGTGGCTCTGACTTTGGGCTCCGCTGCCGGTGTAACTTTGTGAGTATTGGAGATGCATCCATTTACTACGAGAAGGTTGGAAGGCATCCAAGTGCTTCCCGGCTGGATCTATTTTACCTCAATTCTCAAGTATTCCATGTCATTCTTAATTTTTCACGCGTCTTTTTTTTTTTTTTTTATTTAATAAAAATAAGCACATGTATAAACAATCCTTACTGGGACTAGAACATACTACATACAATCGGTAAGTTTAGAATATTATTATAGTCTAAAGTTTCTAACAAGTAAGGTCGATCTTACTTGATGATATTAATTGTAAAACTTACAAGATAAACTCCATTAATTATACTAATTATTATAATGAGATTGAGACTATAAGGTCATCAAACATGTTTAATATGTTACCTTTGATTTTTATTCTATTTTTCCACTTCATTAGTAGAACCGGTATATGATTACAAATGAGTTATAATTTCAAAATATTAATAATAGTAAAAATGATCGGGCTAATGGCGGGGAAGAAAGCAAGTTTACTAATGTGGGGGTGAGTTTTAGAGCATCCACATCAATCTATTATATTGAATTGCATGGAATTAAGTCTCAGTTAAAATATTGCAAGCTTTCATTTTAGTAGAAAAAATCACAAAGCGCATTAAATCATGGAGAGCCAAGAAACTCACATATGCAGGAAGGCTACAGCTCCTGAACTCAGTGCTTCTTAGTATAGTCCAGTTTTGGATGCAATTGTTTGTACTGCCTAAACTAGCTTTGAAGAGAATCCAAAAAATATGCTCGCAGTTCTTATGGCATGGTGTCACAGAAGGCAGGGCAAAGGTGGCTTGGGAGTTTATCTCTCTGCCAAAACAGGAAGGGGGTCTAGGAGTGAAAGATTTAGGAGCATGGAATCAGGCCTGTTGTACTAGACTGCTTTGGTTATTCCTATTGAACTCAGGGACCCTGTGGGTAGCATGGATGCAAGAGTATAAATGCAAGAATTTAGACTTGTGGTCAGTAAAGGTGCAAGCAAGCAGCTCTTGGGCCTGGAGGAAACTGTTAAAGCTAAGGGTGGTTATCTTTCCCTGGATGAAGAAGCAGAATGGTATAATACACTGGGACTCAAAAGAAATGATGGTCTATTCTACACGAAGGGTATGGGAAACCCTGAGGCACAAGGCTCCCAAAGTTCCATGGTACAGTTTGGTATGGGGTAAGAATTGTCCACCTCGCTGTAGTCTGATAGTCTGGTTGATAGTTAAGAAGGCTATAGTTACAAGGGATAGGTTGCTGAGATGGGGCAAAATCAATGATGCATCATGCCAGCTTTGCAACTCTTCAATTGAAAGCAGAGAACACTTGTTTGTCCACTGTCCGTATTGGAAAAGTCTTGCAGAGGAGCTGAAGTGTGCAATGCTGCTGCGACCTGACTGGACACAGATGTTGAGAATGATGGCACAGGTTGGGACATCGAGAACAAGGATGTGGCATGGTCTGATGTGGTGTTTGATGGTGACTTATACTTGGAAAGAGAGATGTGGAGTTATCCATGGTGCACAGCGTCGTACTCCTGCTCAGGTGGCCGATCAGATACGAGATGATATACAGTTTATAGCTTATGGCAATAAGAGTTACATAGATATTTTAGTTGAGCTGGGTTACATATAGAAACCTCTTTTTTCATATCTGGTAGATGCCTAGTTGTCAGTAGCTTGATACAGTAGAAATCGTAGCTGTAATCGAGATATACTCTCGCTTCGTTGTATCGGTTTACTTGAAATAAAAGCAACTGATTCAACGAAAAAAAAAAAAAAAGCTTTCATTTTATGCAATTGCCACGTAAACATTTTTTCTTTTAATAAAAAATAATAAACATACAAGCCTTTTATTTTATTAAAAAAATAATTTAGGTCTACTTATGCAATTGCAGGTTAATTGCATTGATGTAAGTTTATGAAATGAATGCTCTTATCCATCAGGATAATTAGATTGTCTGTCGTAATTTTTCGAAACGATTTTACAATTTATGCCTAAAAAACATATAATAAATTAAATATAATTGTGAATTACTTGATAAGATAAGACAAAATTTATTGGTTGGGACATAATTAGTGATAAGATAACTCGTAAAATTTAGTGGGTCAGTGAGTGTGAGAAGCAAAACAGAATATTGGACTGAGTTGTGTGGGAAAAGGGTTAAGTATTTCCTTTAAATTTTAATAAAATCGGAAGCCCACTTTTGATAACCCAAAAAGCCCAACTTGTGCTCAATTACCCATTTGCATGTGACACACGCGGGACGGCGGGAGTCGACTTGGTCAACGTCAATTTGTTGAGACGCGTCCAATTTCGAATAACCGACTCCCCAAACGTTTTAATAACCGACTTACCATTTGTATATATACGTAGCCTCCTAGCCGTAATGGCTTCCCAAATGAGATCGTGCCACAAATGGCGGGCGGCGGTGGGTTGCCTCTCCGAGATCGTATCTCTGCTCAATCGGTGTTGGTGTTTGCGGCAGATGTCCCATGGTGGTTTTGCAAGGTTTTCGAAGGGTTTATCGGTATGGGAATCGTCACATTATTATTCTTGTTGCGTGCGTAACAGACTCAGAATCTGCAATTTAGTTGCTTCGTGTGCCCTAATTCTGGCGGTTTCAAGATAAACGAATTGTGGCTCCGCCTTTTCTCTTCTGATACAAAAGCTGCTGGGAACGCGGGTACGTAATTGGTGGAGTAATTCGCATATATTCGTTGTGGGTTGGTTTCTTTGACAGTATCAAAATCGACAGTAAGGGTTTTCCCTTTGATCACGCCAGTTAGGGTTTGGGTGCGGCCATGACGGTGTGGTTCGTTTCGGGTATAACTTTGGGAGTCTTTGGAGATGCATTTACTACGAGAAGGTTAGAAGGCAGCCACTAGATCTATTGCATGAGTTGGATGGTCTATTATATGGACATTTCATCGCTAGGTGGAGAAACCATCTCTTTGGTTTGATTCCTAATGCCCCTTATATGTTGCCTAGAAATTTTTAATCTGGATGGAAAATGGTAGAGTTGTCCCTTGATTTGTCCATCTATACACTTGATGTGATAGCATGTGCATGAGTATCTTTTGCTGAATTAGACTAATACCTGGTTTTTGGTTGATAATTCCTGGCTATGGTTGCTCGACAATTTCCGTTGTCATCTGGTTGCGCATATTTTTGCTCTTACGAAATTGCTTCATTTGAACTCTGCAATATTTCACTCGATCTGTTGCCATGTTGATTTAGTTGAAGCGACATTTTTAGTCACTGCAGTTGCCCCTCTGCTCTATCCTATAAAGTGTGGAGTCCTCGAGGGGAACTCTGGAATGATTAATCGAAAAAACCAATTAAATACATGGGTTGGTGGCCATGTTTGAGAAAAGGCTGGCCCGGAAGTTGTGTCCCGTTGTTTCAACAATCAAAATTGCCTCTAATAATTCCAGTTGCCCCTCTGCTCTATCCTACTAAGTACGGAGTCCTAGAGGGGAACTTTGGAATGATTAATAGAGAAAACCAAGTAAATACATGGATTGAAGACCATGTTTGAGAAAAGAAGTTGGTCTGGAAGTTCTGTCCTGTTGTTTCTACAATCAAAATTGTCTCTAATCATTCCGGTTGCCCCTCTGCTCTATGTTATTAAGTGTGGAGTCCTAGAAGGGAACTCTGAAATGATTAAGTTGTGTCCCGTTGTTTCTACAATCAATACTATCTCTAAACATTCCAGCTGCCTTATGCTCTATCCTTAATCAGTGAATGCCCTTACCAGAGTCCTAGATGGTAACGTTGGAGTGATTAATACTTACAGAGAAAGAGTAAAACGTTGGTTTTCTGAAAGTCCATCAATTATTAATCACTCCAGTTGCAGTTCTGCTATATATTGTTAAGATAAAATCATAAAATGAATTCTAGAAGGGAACTTTGGACTGGGGAATACCAACCAAGATTTACATGGATTGTTGGGGTGGTCATTTGTTGCTCTAAATACTGTCACCCTCAGTTGCCTTTTGCTCATTCGTATTAATTATTAAGTGAAAAACAATATATGGAGTCCTAGAAGGGAACTCTGGAATAACTAATAGAGGTAGCCAATTAAATACATGGATTGGTGGTCATATTTGAGAAAATAATTTGGTCCGGAAGTTGTGACCTGTTGTTCTTACAATTGAAATTGTCTCTAATCATTCTAGTTGCGCTGCTACTCCAATCCTTACTCAGTGAATGCCCTTACCTGTAGACTCCTGGATGAGAACTTTGGAATGAGTAGTATTTACTGGGAAAGATTAAGAATGCTGGTTGTTCGGAAGTCAAACATACTAAGATTATACTGTCCATTATGTCAGGATCTGGTTCATCAAAATGTTGTGCTCTTTGTGTTTTACTTTGAGATGATTATGAATAGTTGCCCTCTGCTCTATCTCAACTTCAATCATGACAGTACTGGAAGTCCTAAATCTGAGTCCTGGATTCGAACCTTTGACAGTAAGAATACTAGAAAATAAAATACTGTCCATGGTTAAAAACAAGAATAAAATTATATCCTTTATGGTTAAAAATACTAAGGAAATACTGTCCATTATTTCATGTTCTGGTAATAGAACTTTTATGACCCTCTGTGCATTAGTTTGAAATGATTGTAATCAGTTGCCCCTCTAATCTATCTCAAGTTCAATCATGACAGTAATTGGAAGTCCTAAATTGAAGTCCTAGAGTACTGAGAAAAAACTGTATATTATATTTGATTTGACATGAGTACTCTATAGTGTACTTACTGTAGCTGCCCTCTGCTTGAATTTTTGGTAGTACTGTGTAGATTTTAAGTCCTTCATGGAGTCCTCAATTGAATCTTGGTTACCATTGCTATCATACGTTGATTGAGGAAATACTTCATCCTTGTTGTTGCCTCATAAACGAACCAGATGATATAAAAGCATGTTATCTGACTATGTAGTCACATGACTGTCATGCTTGACGGGATATCTATAAAGGCTTTGTTACCTACTTACTTCCTTACTGCAGTTCCCTTCCTGCCTGCCGCGCTTTTGGCCTTCTTCTGTTTGTCTTTCTTGGACCTTCAGTTATACAAACACAACAAGAAGCATATCCCTTGCTCGCATCTCGGAAGCAGGAAACGAATACATTGATTTGGAGCACAGACTGAGGTATTGCAAATGTAGAGCCGATATTTAGCAAGCTAGTCTGTTATAACAGTAGTAGTAAATTAACCAACCAAACCATGCATTCATATATGATATGGATTATGTGCTTAATTAAATCACATGTTAAATGTGGGAGGCTTCTGACTAGCTACCACATGGCCTTTTGACCAGCAGCAATACAATTATGAAAACATCCTTTCTTGATCATGATCATAATTAGTTGCCCTTCTGTTTCATCTCAAGTTCAATCATGACAATTTGTTGTTAATTGAAGTCCTAACTCGGATTCCTAGAGGGGATCTTTTTAATGATCTTACAAGAATGCTGATATGACAGACATATATGAAGACATTGTCCATTATGCCAGAGTTTGCTTTATCAAATGTTCTGTCCCTTCGTGCCTTTCTTTGAGATGATCATGATCATAACTAGTTGCCCCTCGGTTCCATCTGAAGCTCAATTATGATAGTACTTTGTCAAATGGAACTTCTAAATCAGAATCCTAGAGTTGAAATTTGTAATGATCTGACAAGAATGCTAAAAGTCCGCTATGTTCAAAATTGCAGCTTACTTAATCATTGCAGTTTCCCTTTCCCAAATCGAACTATATGAATAGTATTTTTCTCACTGTAGCCATTCTTTGCTCCAGTTTTTTATGGTACTATGCTTGGAGTCCTCTTGTCTATGATTGTTACCATGCTGGTGTATGTTCCAACATATGTCAAGCGAGAAAATGTTGCATCCTTTATGGTTCACAAATAAAACTATTAATATGACAATTATGTCTTCTACGTGGACAAGTCTAGAGACTCATGAGTTTTGACAGTGTGAGCATCATGTTTCTGGTTTGGAAGCAGAATATAAGTTGTGTTTTCTGGTGGTTTTACTTTCTATATGATCGTTTGTTCCTTACTGAATAGACGCCCTTGACTCTGTTGCAAGCTTATAAAACCGTGTGCCTTTTCCATTGTTGAATTAATGTAATGGATTATGGTTATGCTTCCTTAGAAGATCTTGACAGGTCTTCTTTTATGGTCTGTAATTCTTGTTAATCTATCATGTCTTTTTTGCTTGTTCGAATGGACTGATGAAGAAGTAGATACACATTCGACGGAAAGGTTGGGTGGTCACCTTGGCGTTTCGTAGATTGGTGGATAATTCCTTTCTCTGATATTCTTAGAGCTTGGTGAAGAAATCCTTTCTCCGGTATAGTTCCTGGTCTCCCTTCTCTGTTTCAATGAATCTATGGTTGCAGTAGCTGATTTTTGCTGTCCAATTATTGTCGTTTGGTTGCCCATCTTTTGCAGTTATTACATTATTCATTCGATTTTTGCAGACTCCATCCAATATCTTGCCTTCTTCTCCCATATATAAAATGAACTACTGTGAATCATTTCATTCAATCACTGACCACCTCGTTGATGTCATTTTGAGTATGTTGTCCCATAAAATGGTACCTGTAGCCATGTTGCTTTTTGTTGATGCAACCATTCCATCACTCAGATCGCCCTTATGCTATATCCCATCAAGTGAAAATTAAAAATGGAGTCCTAGTGGTGCATTTTGGAATGATTAATTGAAAGTTGAAACCAATTAAATACATGGAATGGTGGCCACGTTAGAGAAATGAAGTTGCCCGAAAGTTGTATCCCAAAGTTCCTATAATTGAATTCATCTCTAATAATTTTAGTTGTCCCTCTGCTCTGTCCTACTCTGCGAAGCACCTAACTGGAATCCTAGGGGTGATTCAATTTGTAAATTAGAATGGTGGCCATGCTTGAGAAAGGAAGTTGGTCTGAAAGTTGTGTCATATTATTCCTACAAGTGAAATTGTGTCTGTTCATTCAAATTGCCTTTCTATTTCATCCTACTCAGTGAATGCAATAGCTAAAGACCTAGATGGAAACTTTGGAATCATTAATACTGTCTGAGGAAATACATGGATTGGTGGCCATGTTTGATTAAGAAGTTCTAGCGCTCCACGTGATTATTTAGCCATTTTGGATGCCCATATGCTCTATCTTGTTAAAGATAAAGTCACATTAGGTCTTGTATTTATATTTGAGAGAGGAAGTTGTTACTCTGAATGCTATGTCCCTTTGTGCGCTAATTAGAATTCACTATGCACCATCTCAAGTTCAATGACAGTTTATTAGCTAAATTCCTAATTGGAGTATTATAAGAACTAGTATTGGTTAAATTGGGACTCAGTTTAAAAGCTAGTCTGATTGTCCTTTTGCCTTTTTGATACATCACCTGGAACTGTGTTACTTCCTGCTTTTAAAAGCTAGTCTGATTATCCTTTTTGCCTTCTTTGTTCTTTAGTTGTGGCAAATCATACATGTTGATTGGGGTAAATATACTCGTAGCAGGGATTAAAACTCGAAGCTGTAAATCATTAAGAAGGGTCATAGAAGGGATTGGTGTTCACTAGTTGACGATATGCCAATTGATTACATTTGGTTCCTCCTGTCCTGAACATGCAATTGCTTTTCTGTTCTTTATTATGGAAGTTCCTAGTCTTTACTTGCAAAAATATTTTTTTGGGGGGGAATTTACTTTTCATGTCTCAATTGATTGATACCAGTCACTTGCTTCATCTGCATATTAGAACTCATTTCATTGGTATCATGTGGCTAAAGAGGTAAGGTACTTGGGAAAGGTTTTAGACTGAAGGCATCGAGCTAGATTGCATTTCTTCTGGTTTCAAACATAATGCATGTTGGATGTATCTGAGACAGATTATTGCTTAGTCCTTGCTCTTTCTGTTGAACTTTGTTTGTTCCAAACAGACTGCAAGTTCACAGGGTATCTATCCTAAACATTCATGTGTTATACCCCGTTACCATTCTGCTGGTCTGTAAGTAAAGATTTGTGTCTTAGGAGGGATCTTGCTTTGTCCTGCAGGCTCTTCCTGTTGGTTTCATTTCCAATTTTCACTTTTCGTAGTTTTTATATACAATTGAAATGAAGCATTTTGCTTTCAAGTCATTTCTGGTCTTCCTTCCAACCCTTGATATTGGACTCGGCTTGGTTGAAATATATAAGTTCATTACATGCCTAAGTGAAATTTCAGATGGACATAGAAATTCTATTTTAGTCTTCTGTATTATATAAGATATCTGAGTGCTAACTGTCAATGATCATGATGTCTAGCAGCCTACTGTTTTTTCTAGTAGAAAGGAAAGATCTTCATAGAACATCTCTGTTTTCTGACCTTAAAATTTTATCTGCGACACCATCTTGTTCTCAACTCTTCCCTCAATTGTAGCTTGTTTTGGAAAGTCAGAATAGCCCTACCTCTGATAAGTTCCTCTCTGTTGCGGCATCTTCTTGCAGACTTCAGGATGCTAATTCTTCTGTGCTGCTCATGTCCAGTGATGATTTCCTTTGAATTCTTGAAAGTATAGGTGGTATTCAGTTCTTCCGCTGACGTCCTGAAGTTGTATTTGAAGATCAGTCGCATTACACTAGGAAAGAGCAGTAGGGAATCAACCCAGTGAAGGATGAACTTTCATATATGGCTCGACAAAGAATGGGACTGTTTGGTCATTGGATACTGTAGCAGATTCTCTTGTGATTTGCATACAAGGATAACTGGCTTAGTCCCTAGACCGCCTGGAGACTTCGGCAATCTTCTGCCAAATCTTTGATGGCTTTTTGCACCACCATAAAAATGCTGGTACTCGCCTAACTACGAAGAATTTGACAATTTCTGAATGTCAAGTCAAGCCAAGTAACAAACAACTGGGGAGGCTGGAGTCATGTTAAGGTTTTGCCCTTTCAACTTGTGCATGGCGGCGAACACGTTGAAAATTCTGGATCTTTCTGTTCTGAGTGCCATTTCCTTACCTAGCTCCCTCACTTACCCAAAACTGAGGGTCTAGAAAGGTTATATTTTGATGGTGTCAGAGCGAGGTCCGGGGAGCTAGATATTCAAAGCTGAGAGGAACTTAAAAGTGCCGCATCTGATGAATTGTGAAGTAAGAAGCATAACTGGGGGAACTATTGGGATGCTGAAGGGGCTTCGGGAGCTTGATGTTAGGTATATTGCGTGTGAGAATAGTCTAAGAGGTGTACTTGCTGATATTGGCAAATTAACATCTCTTAAAATCTTGAGCAGGGGTATATTGTTAACTCTATGTACAAATGGCTAACCTCTACAAAGTTTCCAGGTGATTTGGGTTTCCCCAGCAAGGTCTTTTGGTGTTCGGAGATCCCACTCAAGGTGTGTACTTCTCTATGGCTTGCTTACTACAGGCGCATTCTAACTCAGCATAGTTTGCAACATCGTGGTGGCTGCTCGCTAATAGATGCATCCTTTGCATCAAAGCCGAGGAGTCTGCTGATCATCTTCTACTCCACTGTGATTAAGCCAAAAGAGCAAGGAATTCTCTGTTACTTATGATGCAGGGGATCATTCAGCAGTACAGAGATCCTTGTTGAGATGGTTAAAGGGTGGTCATCGTCAACAACAACTGTGTGGCATGAATGGTTGAATCGATGTATTCTACATGCCTATTGTTGAGAACTGTGGAAAGAACTTAATAAGCTTACTTTTATGGATCAGTATAGTACTTGGCAGATTGTTACCCAAAGAATTGGATTCCGGCTTTTACACTGACTATCTGCTGCTTGGGTGATTAACAGGCAACAGGGTGAAGATTGGTTGTCTTCTCTCCAAAGAACAACTCATATAATGCAACAAGCTTGATTTTTGGCCGACCCTTGTTCTGTGGTTGGACAGGAGTCTTATTTTATCTGTGTACCATGGTCTACTGTGTACTACCAGGGGTCTTGTTCTGTGGTTGGGCATGAGTCTTAATTTCATTAAAAAAAAAAAACTTGAGAATGATAGGAACTTTGCAAACATGGGAGCAAGGTGTGCGAGTGGATTAAGCTTTTCGCTAGTTTGAAGGTGCTAAGCACTTCGTCTTCAATTGCACACATTTTCAGAACTTTTGGGGTTGGAAGAATTGACAGTTGAATGCAGTGGCATGGGCTTCAGATCCCTGTAACTTACCACATGGATGGGTGGAAGTTATCCAAGTTGAAACAAACTTCATTTCCACAAATCCTACTGTCACTCCTGGTTCTCAGCTGCTCTGCTGATGCCTCTGCTCAATGTTTACATTTCAGTCTCTACAACTGGAGTAGCTGTTAAGTCTAGAGAATCTCGAGAACTTAATTGAATTACCCATGTTTTACTGCCCAATGCTTCGAGATATCCAAGGCCTTAGCGGGCCGAGATCTTTGGAAGCTCTCGAGATAGTTGATGGGACAAATCGGGGCTGAAATCATTGCAAGTGTTCTATGTTATTTGTGCTGACTCTGAGGGTTTAACTCCCGTCCAAGGATTTGGGAATCTCTTATGTTTGAGAAAGTTGCAGACTTTAAGGATGTCGACTTGCCCTCATCTCACGACACTATCAACCCATGAAAAGCGGCTTGACATCTAAATAGTACTCGAATCCTGGCCTCAATTCAGAGACTACCTTCTCTGTCAAAGCTAGTAATCCAACTTGATTGTGTCTGATGCTCCGAATCAACTGGTCTCTCTGCTCTAAGCAACCTACAGGCTAACGTTACTGGTTGGTGGCCAAATTCTGGTTCCACAGATTCGTACCAGGGGTGGGCATTGGTGCGTTCTGATCGCACCGGATCTCATATGCGGTCAAACCAAATTGCACCATTTAGCCTGCCGTCCAACCTGCGTTTACATGTTACACGGTTCGCGGTCGGCTCAAACAGAAACCGCGCGGTTGCGGTTCAAAACCGCAAACATGACAACCATTTCCCTATAATTGTGTGCAATATTATACTCAGTAGGATGCTTACATCTGAAGCATGATGAGTGACTTATGTTGTCTTTCTATTACATGGCAGTGTGCTCAAATTTCAACAGTATGCTCTGTTTTATCAGTTCTACATTCTTAACTGCATCTGTGCATCTCAATTATGTGAAGGAAATGGAAGGGGCCCTCTCTCTCTCTCCCTAATTCAGCAGCAGTAGGGAAGAGAATCATGTCTTTATTTTGTATATAACTGTGCGATTGCGAGATCTTGTTGATGGAGAGGAAGGGTAGCTCTGTTTTGATGGCGCGAGAAACAGAGTCAGAGTCCAATTCCTTCCAGCAATAGTCATGAGTAGAAATGTGGCTCTGTTTCGGTGGTGACAGGAGAAGTAGAGTCGATACTCTGGCCGGAAGTAGTAATTTTATTTACTCAAGTTCAAGTATAAGTCAAAATGAATAGCGGTGAAATATGTGATGCGGTGTAAATCACACCAAATTGCTAATTATGCGGTTTGATTTGACCAAATCATTAACATTATGGTTGAACATGCGGTGCGATATGGTGTGGTTTATAGAGAAATTTTACAATGCTATATAGTATTGGTGCTATAGGTTTTTGTCTTTATGGTACAACTTAAAATTGTACATTTACGTTATGGTACAACTTCAAATTGTACCTATACTTTTTGTACAAATTCTTTTATGGTACAACTTAAACTTGTACCTTTATGTGATGGTACAACTTTAAGTTGTAAAGTTGTACCATAACATAATGGTACAAATTGTTTTATGGTACAACCTAAACTTATACATTTAATGTTATGGTACAACTTTGAGTTGTACATTAAAGCACCAATGCTACATAGCAGAGTAGAAGTGCTCTGGTTTATATTGATACGGTGCGGTTGCCCACCCTTAATTCTTACGACTTAGGCTCGAACTCAGATTTGCGAGACAGCAGCATGTGGTTCAGAGTTTGCCCTCTCAAAGGATTGAAGGAGGACTGTTATATATGTGACATTTTTGGATGACCGCGAAATCTCGAATCCTGGAGGTTTTCATTTTACCACTGCATGTTAATGCTGCATCCTATTGTTTGCATTTGATATTCATATTGAGATGTAGATTGTCAAAAGAAACGTTAGCCTTCAAGGATTTCCTCTTTCCTCAGCAGACTCATGATATGGAAAAATTAAGGATGAATTACACGATTGGTCACCCAAATTACATAAATATTTCACGTTTGCTACCCGAATTACAAACCTTGCTTATTGGTCACTCACTTTACGAAACATTTCACCTTAGCCACTGGACGTCAGCCTCCGTCAGACTCCGTTAACGGCGTCAGATTTTTGATGATGTGGCAAACGGAAAATCTGACTGGGCCGACAGAAAGGCTGAATCAGCCTGAATACCCGAGCCAGCAAAGCACCCGACCTAGAAAAGGACGGAGCCCATCATTTTTAATTTTATTTTTTGCTTTAATTGTTCTTTTTTTTTTACTTTGAAGAACCCGATTCCCCTTCTTCTTTCCTCTTGTCGTGTTTTCCTTCTTCCTCCCTTTCTTCACTCCAGCAGAGCGTGCAGGGGAGAGTCGGCCGGCAGGAGAGCATACATGGGCTTTTTTGCTCCTCACCTGTACCTCCCCCAAAAGAGAAGTTTCCCTCTGTACTATGTTTTCTCGCGCAAACCTGATCAAATCCTCAAAATAGATCCGTCGTGACTTACCCAGCCCTAGATTCTTCACCCGTCGCATCTTCGATCAATCGCCATTGGAAAGCTCTGTTTCTGTACCGTCATTGGCAGGCGCTTCTTCTTCGTCTTCTGCTAACGGCAATAAGAATGGGGAAAAGGAGTCTGTGAAATCATTTGTCAGATCCATTTCTTCTGGGGTTGCGATTTTGGGCTCCAGCCTTGGACTTGGCTACTGGTATTCGTCGGAGGTTGATCGGAACGGGTTCGTGTCTTATGCGGAAGGGGCAACCGCCGATGCCCTCGAGTGGACAACGAGCGCCAATCTCAGCCTTCCTTCGCCGGACTCCTCCGAGCCTGCGCCGATTCATCTTTGGAGGTTAGAGAATTTGATTTGATTTGATTACAGCCAATGTTTACATCAATATATATATATTTCGTTTTGATTTATGTAACATTTTACATTACAGAAGGGTTCAGGAGAAGGGTGTTCTTCAATTACGAGAAGCGCATAAGATTACAGAGTCCCCCAGAAAAGGTGAGCCCTTTTGAAATTCCATCTGGTTGGATTCTGAATATCCCCCCCCCCCCCCCAATGAAATTCTCCATCTGATCCCTGTATTTTTCAGGTGTTTGAGTATTTTGCTTCGTCCAGAAGCCCCGGTGGGATGTTCTGATGACCCCTGCCGACTTGATGCGAGCAATCGTACCGGTTTTCCATCCGTCGGAATCCGATCGAGTCCGGCAGGGATCCTTGAGAGGGGAGAGGTTCCACGGCGAGCTTCAATGTGCGCCATCCAAGTTCTTCATGCTGTTTGATACTAACAACGATGGCCTCATCTCGTTTCCAGGTGAGGAGCAAAAAAAACGATGGACTCCTCCGATACTAACAACGATGGCCTCATCTCTCCCCTGTTCTGCAAGGGAAAAGAAGGAACAGGTGAGGTACAGGTGAGGAGCAAAAAAATCCCTGTATGCTCTCCTGCCGGCCGACTCTCCCCTTCACGCTCTGCTGGAGTGAAGAAAGGGAGGAAGAAGGAATACACGACAAGAGGAAAGAAGAAGGGGAATCGGGTTCTTCAAAGTGAAAAAAAGAATAATTAAAGCAAAGTAAAAATAAAAAAAAAATAAAAAATGATGGGCTCCGTCCTTTTCCGGGTCGGGTGCTTTGCTGGCTCGGGTATTCAGGCTGATTCAGCCTTTCTGTCGGCCCAGTCATATTTTCCGTTTGCCACGTCATCAAAAATCTGACGCCGTTAACGGAGTCTGACGGAGGCTGACGTCCAGTGGCTAATGTGAAATGTTTCGTAAAGTGAGTGACCAATAAGCAAGGTTTGTAATTCAGGTGGCAAACGTGAAATATTTATGTAATTTGGGTGACCAATCGTGTAATTCATCAGAAAAATTAAACTAGAATTAGGCAGGTCAAATTTTGAAGTGCTACCCTATCATCATAAATGCCATATAGATAACTAGCTTGTAACCCGACCCGTTGGTCGGAGGAGCTGAGCCGAATATTGAATTATTGGGATAAACCGTAGATTCAACCATTAAGCTAAATTGGTCTAATGGTGAGTACCGCCTAGCATATCCCTAATAATCATACCAAAGTGAATATATTGGAACATAAACAGTACATCAAAAGTTGGTACAACCATGAAGTTAGACCATTAAAAACATACCAATGAAATTGAATAGCATCGAAAAACTTCAACTTCATTACATAATTACATGAGATCAGAAAGAGAACACCATTAATTTGATTTATAAAACTTTCATCTTGTCGTCATTGTGCTTTCTGGTTTTTGTCAGGCCATGATAAAATCTAAGGAAATCAAGAACGAACAACACGATTTGGGATAGGAACCGCCGTTGTCGTATTCCTAGAGAATGGTGGTAAACACGGACTCACCTGCCAAACTGGTTTGGATTGAGATTTTTATCGGGTATCAGGGAACCATGTGATTATAAATTAGACTTGATCAAAACGGGCCAATACTTAAAATTCAGCCTGTTTGACCGACCCATGCAAAATTCTAATTATTCGTTACTTTTAAACTTTCTATTTGAAAATAAAAAATAGTGAAAGAAAATAGATGACTGCAATTCGCCATTTGCACATCACTTATTCGGGAATAAAACCATAGAAATTCAAAAGAAACTGAAAATGTTTAGGATCGTTTTAATGTTTAAAATAACCAAATAGATCTTTCTGTTTAGTTTTTTACTAACAAATACCAAACGATTCCCTATAAAATACACTATAATTTTATCATTATGATATCAAATAATTATATAATATATATTTGAAATGATAAAAATTGGACTAATTGGGTTGGTCGAGATTGAACCATTGAATAACTTTAAACTACATTATATTTTAGCCACTAAAATATAAAATAATATAATAATATATATTATGCTAGAGAAAATAGCTTGTTTTAGAATGTCAAACCAATGATGTTCATTTGTTTTACTTGATGGCCAAATCCGGTGTAGGTCAGGCCCATTCAACTCTTTTATTTTATGGTTAGCGGTTAGCCCTTTAGATACCATGCATTAGTTTATTGTTAATTTTTTTTTATTTTTAGCATAAAAAGAAGTATTGTTTTTGCCTTTTCATATATATTTTATCACCACGGAGAAATACAAGGGGTTAAAGAAAAAAATTGACACTCCTCAACCCGTTTAAATCCGCATGTGTACGGTAAGTTGGCCCGTTCCACAGATGAAAGAGAAAAAAATTAACACTACCTATTCTACCCTTCCTACAAACGCTCATGGAGCAGGGAATTTGAAATGGGGGAAGGGGTTTTTCATCCCTGCTATTATATGTTTTTGATTTAAAATGATGCAATAAATGTACTTAGTGTGATTGGTTATGTTCCTTGCTTTTCTTTAAAATGGACATGGTTCGAATCCTAGTACGTGTCTTTTTAATGAATAAAAAAAAGTAATTGTGAAGACCAAAATGTCCTTCCTACTTTCACTCTCGTTGCAGGAAATTTGAAATGGGGCTCCCGTTTTTCCCTTCGGTGTATTATATTATGTGTAGATTAATTAGAGTCCGTGACAAAAAAAAAAGCAATGGCATAAATATTATATTGCGCAAATTAACTATTATTTATGCATAAAATATGTTCTTTACACAAATTGATGAACCAGTTTTTCATGTAAACTCATCCAATTATCGTACTATTTAAATAAACATATTAATTTTTTGACATGACTAGGAGAAACTACTTTATTTTTATGAATACTGAACGCATTTATCCATTCATTTTGGACTCATCTTGGACGAAATTTGGGCAATGCCTCTGCTTCTAAGCATAGTTTATAAATACTTCGGTTAATACACATATATGAACGCATCTATTTATACGTAAAAAAAAAAAAATTCGCTCATTTTATTTTTTCCGTTCATCTAATGGCGCTTGTACTAAATATGTACAAAACCTGCATAACATTATTAATATTCGTATTTAATTAATAAAATTGATAATTTGAATAGTACTTATAATTTTA